ACTGAAGAAGGTATCTCAACCTATCACACGCCTCTTGATTCATATTGAATATAATATTACTAATCAAAATCTACTAAAATGTTGGCGTTTTAGTTTAGGTTGGTTCTAAGCACCATTTGCTGTGAAATTGCAGCTCATCAGATGATGTGAGAAGGATTTTTTTCACTTAATACACATGTAGGTTTCAATGTGCATCAGATATCAATAATGTACACTTATTAACAATGAATTATCCTAGATTGATGTGTGGTGAAATATGAATGTTTCCGCCCAGGTTTGGGCTTACTGAAGCCAGTGTAGTTTCACTCCCATTCACATGGACTAAGTAAGAAAAGACAAATCATATCATATGTTCCTGATCGATACATGGTGTAGGTCTTGGACACACTGACAAGTAAATGTTTTTAGGCGTTTTACCAAAGATAAATATACCAAAGTACATGTTATAGTCCTGAGGCTAATACTGTTTCGTATCCTGGCACAACATATTCCGATGTCTTTCTTCACTTCGATCATATGACGCATAATCTAAAACGTGTCCATCCAGAGTCCTCTTTGCCATTGCTTATTCTGTAATGAGTTATTCATTACGTCCCTTCTCATCAGTCCAGTGATACAGTTGTTTGAACTGTTGGCAATTATATCCTTTGACTTTGGGTTTATTATACACTCTTCCTGAATGAAACGTCAAAGATATCTTTCAAGAAAGCTATTACAATGACGAATGTGGCATCTTTCATTTTGGACCATGCATTTGTGCATTAATGTTTACGTGATCGTGACAAAAAAATGATTTCCCGCGATTGATTGTCCAAACTGTCGATGGTGGATGTCAATGTCACCAGAACTGTCTCACACCAGCGTTTCTCCTCGCCTTGGATCGCCATCTGTCGCGCCGAATGGTGTCACTTTAAGGGTCCTCGTCATCACATACCTGGGATGCATCCTCCTGGCGACTGTCGCTAGTGATTGGAGCTCTACTGGGGATCAGTGCTTTGTCTGTCACTGGCGATACACTGGCGATTGTCCTGAGCTTTGTATCTTTTCGATGATTCTCATCTATCATTGAATACAACGTCTTGCCATCAGACATATTGCAAATCAATTACCCTAACATTGCTGATGCTTCCCAAAGGTATGGCACCTTCACATTTAATGGCAACAATGGGTGCATCAGTGTCTGGTATGTCATCGTCACCAGAACAGTCCCCAAATGCGCCTCTCTTCGTCCTGGGATTGGTGATGTACTTTTCTACCCCTGTACAAGTGTCTACTTGGGAACCGGCGCTCAGAGAATTACTATGCAGTCCACACACATTCCACTTTCTGTGGGTGATCCAACGTTAAGGAAAGCAACACCATCCTTGAAATGAGCTCTACTGCGAATGGCTATCAGAAAACCGTTTCCGTTTTCATCTTACTCACACGCAGAACTATACGTTATTTTAACCACTCATCACAGTTTTCCTGCACATTAACTAATGGCAATTCCATCGGCGGCTACTCCACTTGGCCCCATCCAGGGCCCCATCCACTTCCAGGGCATTCGTGGTTTGTGACAGCAGTGCCTTCAGTTACACCTTCACCAAGTACAGTCTTGTGATAACGTCTTAGCCCTGGGGGTGTGATCACACGAAAACTTTCACGACTTCTATGTGCTTGGTGTCTCCGTCCCTGACACCTAATTATGTATTCACATATTCCAGATGTGCCAGTGAGCACTCCACAGACGTTAGCTGCAAATTCAGAAAGTGGAGAAACTTTAAACGGGTGTGACAATAACATTCTCGCCTCAGGCCAATTGACTCACAAGCTTCGCTCCAGCTATGATCCACTGGAAATAGCCAGGACTATTAGTGACAGCCACTGTGGTAACACTCCAAGTAACTTGTTTGGCAGAACATTTCTACACGTTGCTGACCGGCGTGCAACTAGAGGCCTGGTTTCACCACATCTCGGGCGTTACAAATGTCGTCGCAGACGCGATGTCAAGGCGACACCAGTCCACGCCAACATAATGACAACTTCATCTGAATTTCTTTTAGGTGATTGGTTAACAGCTGAACACGCAAAACACTGATGTGGGCGCTACAAGACACGACTACCATCTTCCAATGTTCGACTCTCCAATCTCAAATTCATTCTTCTGGGATCACGATCCACTGGCCATGTTCTGGAACACAATGTACACCTTCATATTATCGACACCACCACTACTACTTAGAGTACTGCTGAAGATGACTAAAACTAGTGCCAACGTCTTTCCATTGTGCCGTATTGGCTCTAGGGACTATGGTTCCAGAACTAGAATCCTGGGAACCACCCTGGGAACAGCAACTCCGCAATGCATGCATGTAGTAGACCCATTGATCCCTAGACCGTTGGCTCTGCACGTGTGGAACATCCACAACCATCAACCCATTCATTGCAGTTCCTAGGTCCAGAAGAGTGTCATGCTTGTATTTGGGGAGTCAATGCCATGAATGTAACTTAACTTAAATTTGACAATGACCAGATGCCTCATATGGATCTAATGTGGGATTTTGTGGTCAAACACCATTGTTTTCCAGATATTCTTTGTGTCACATAGTGTCACAATAACTATTCAGAGGGATTGTTGGTCTCCGATTCTACGGGACTCACGTATTATAAGCCGCGCTGCTAGACACTGAAGCATCAATTTATATGTTAGAGTTAAGGATGTGGCAGGGAATATGGATTAGTGAGGATTACTCTTGCTGAGCATATTCTTATACATACATATTCCAGAGCTGGTTAGCAATAAGGCAAGCTGCAGAAGCGGATCCCAAGTGTTGCAATATGTTGTGAAGGGATAGAACTTATGCTACATGAATTTGGTTATTCACGCTATTAGAATCCTTACATTGTCACAAAAAGTCTCTGTCCCAGGCCTAGATACCACGACACATGCTGACGAGAAGGCAGTTGAGTATCAAGGGCGGGTAACTCTGCTTGGTAACCAACGGCAACGTGTGTTCCCATGTAGAAGTGGCCTGCTTTGGCTTCTATTTTATATGATCAAATGGAAATACATTGTGCCAGGATGAGTATTCTTTTTAACATGAATAGCAAACGTCGACAAGCAAGGAATTATTCCAAACAATATCAACTTTAAATTATATTCCTTTTCAAAGATATATGATAACAGTCTTATAAATCTTGTCACACCGTGTTTTCTACTTGCGCAATATTATATTTTCAGGTAGTTCAGCTCTAGTCTATATCAACAAGGAAAAGGTGGAAGCTCACCACAAAAAACAACTTGCTGAAAAAGATGGGCAAATAGCTGGCATGCACTCTGTACGTTGTGGAGAGACAGCACAAGCTCGTCTATGTATTATGTAAAGAGTGCCCTTGTTTTGAGAAGAGATATATATTTAGATGTATATGATTTTAACAATGGTAGTGATTATTAAAAGTACATTTACACCTACGTTGAAGTTTTCATAAAAAAGGAGTGTAACATGTAAAAAAAATGACATAAACTGCTACATGTAAATGCAGTCGATATGAACTTCTTAAACGGTCGTTCGCGTTTGTTTTAAGGCAATGGAAAGACTTGAGGAACAAGTTAAACAAAAAGACACAGACTATGCTGAACTGGAAGAACAACTTATAAAAGAAAGAGGGGATCTCACAACACAGATAGAAAAGAAGAATGAGGAAGTTGAAGCTGGTAATCTGACATTAATAATATATAGTTCAATATCGCTTCTATCCACAATTTTGATTTTGCTTATGTTGCCAGTAACAAATGTTATATTTGGTATAACACTTTCTTAGTGAAGTACAGATTCTCGCACTTGTTCAAGCTATGATTTTTTCGTTTGGTTTGTTGTCTAACGCCGCACTCAGTAATATTCCAGCTATATGACAGCGGTCTGTAAATAATCGATTCTGGACCAGACAATCCAGTGATTGATATCATGAGCATCGATCCACACAATTGGGATCGATGACATGCATCAACCAAGTCAGCGAGCCTGACCACCCGATCCCGTTAGTCGCCTTTTATGACAACCATAGTCACCTTTTATGGCAAGCATGGGTTGCTGAAGACCTATTCTACCCCGGAATCTTCACGGGTCCCGAAAGTTATGAACACACAATGTCATTTAGAAAGTGGTCATATGTAACAAATGTTATATTTGGGATAACACATTCTTAGAAAAGTACAGATTCCCATACTTTTTTAGGTTGAGTCCCATCCGGGATTCGAACCCACACTGCCACTGCCGGATAGGACTCAACTTCAAAAAGTACAAGAATCTGTACTTAACTAAGAAAGAGTTATCCGAAATAAAACATTTGATCACTTGCTAAATGGCATTGTGTGTTCATATTTTGCCAGTGTTCATGGTGGTAATTGAACATCCTGGTTTCAAATGGCCTGTCTTTAATACAACTACATTGTATCATTTCTGGAAATATACTAATTCCCTATTTTCAATGGACCGTGCTATGCTATGTCCGGAATGTTGACGCATAGAACTGTTATCTAAGGCTATCCATGCATTTTTCTCGTTTCAGTGAAAACAAAATTGACAAAGGCAAATGATGAGTTGCTGCAGATTCGAGCAAAATGTGAAACAGTGGAGAAGGTGAGATTGGTTCAACTTAAATGTTGAAGGTGTTATTTTGCACAGCTTCTAAACTAAATGGAAATAAATTAACGCGTAATATCTTCATAACAAGATACATGTCTGTGATGCAGTGAAAACTGTCGTTTCAGAGACTACAAGAGGAAGAGGAGGCATATGATGCTGTATTGGGGGTTCCCAGGTCACAGTCCCCAGACGGGGTACATGTAAGAGAGGAAGTCCATCAAGCAGGTGCATTAAACAAAGTGACACTCCATCTTATATATGTTACTTATGAACATAAATACAATAACACGGTAAATAAGAGCCTGATTATGTATGTCTAATGAATCAGTTCCTTTAAGCTTTAAACTGATCATGTCACTTGTTTTTCCTCAGATTCGACTGAGCGAATGTGTCAGTTTACAACTCAGTCCTGTTGTGATGGGAGTCAGCTTTGCCTTCTTCCATGCCTTCATTCTGCCTGCAAGCCATGCATTGATCACCAAGTCACCCAAGCCAAGCAGAATTGCATACAGTGTCCCTCCTGTGGCCGTGAGTTCAACATGGAACAGACAGCAGTGGATCATGTCGGACGCAACGAAGCTGCCTATACTGCTAACGTTGATGGAGATAAAAAATGTAACTATATTGAAGGACATCATGATGCAAAGGCTGTGATGTACTGTCACGAATGTGATGACCTGCTCTGTTCCGACTGTCATAAACTGCATAAAACACCAAAACGCAATCGAACCCACAGAGTGAGTGAGATCAACCAGGCGGAGAATATCCCTATGAAGCAGTGGCTGAAAGAACCTAACTGCAGAGACCACCCTGACAATAAGTTGCAGCTGTATGACCACACATGTAAGCAGGCAATCTGCCTTGTATGTGATCGAGGGGCCCACAAGGGTCACGAGAATGAAGACATGAATCATGCCTATGTGGAAGCAAAGGGTCAGCTGGAGGAGCAAGTGCAGCAGCAACGACTTAAACTGAAAGATGTCACAGACAGAATGGGAACTGTCACCAGTCACCATAACGAACTTGGAAATAAACAGAGAAAGCTGGAACAAGATGCCACTACAGTCTTCAAAAGTGTTGCTGTACGGTTCCTTCACCGGCAGAGACAACTCATGAAGGACATTCATGCGTGCCTTCAGGCCCCAAATAAAATGGTTAAAGAGAATCTGGACACTTTACATGACGTCCATACTTCAATAGTATCAACGATAGACTACAGCCAGAGAACCCTTCAATCCACAAGACAGGAGGAGCTCATTATTCTCACCGGTGTACTACAGAAGAAATCTGATGAAAATCTGAAGAGGAAGCTTCCAGAAGATGACACACAAGACACGAGAGTCCTTCTTTCCTTTCAAGGACAGAAAGCCCTTATGGAACTAATCGACACATTTGGTGGTCTTGCCTCCAGTCTCGACTTGGATCATATTCCAGATAAACAGCCTACTTTACAGGGTAAGAATGCTTCTTCAAAATTAAAGTGATTTATCTGTTAAAAGGAGATACATGTCAAAAATACTGAAAATATTTACCAGATTCCTTATATGAATTCTTTGCTTTGTGCTTACAATATCCTTTTATCACAATGTACTCTACAATTCTAAGATGTTTCAAAGAAATTATTTTTGTTATACGTATCCTGTTCTTAGTATCTTGTAGTCTCTGAAACAAGCTGTGTTTCAACACACTGAAAAGTGAGTTGCAAACAGAATCCTGTATCATGAACGACATTCCTAGATCCTGTAGAAGAGCATTTTCCTTGTTCCGATATGGAGTCGCCCCTATCCGTGTTGCAACTGGTCGATATTGTAACCCACCAGCAAAGGGAACATGTTTTCACTGTTGAAATGTAGTAGGAAATGAGTTACACATGTTAATAAGCTGTCCTTTATATAACGACTTTAGGGATGACAGTATACTAAGTTTATAACGAGCACGCTTATAACGCATTAAAATTAGTGGTCCCCTCGAGTTCGTTATAACCGTAGTTTACTGTATCTGTTTACAAAAATTTCAAACCATGGGATTTTTTTTATTACAGAGCAGAGAAGTTGTGTTTTATTTTGTCATGCCCTACATTGTATAAACTTAGTGCCAAAACTGGAACACTGATAGTGGACTTTAGGAACAATATCCTATATCACAGCTAAGTGTTTTGGGTATAATTTAAGTTATTTTATCTTGCATGCCTTAATACCATTATTAATCGATTCAAAAGTATCTTGCTATTCCATGTACCTTGGCCCAGTTTTATATTTGACTTGTATTATATCTGAGGTGAGACGAGAAAATATTATATGTCTGTCTCTCTGTCTGTCTGTTTTCCTGTCCGTATTTACGAGGGGTAAGAGGAAAACTGTTACAAAAACTGTTACGAAAACTGTTAAGGTAATCAATCTGTGTTTGTAATTGTCTCTTCAGATCTTAATAAACAGAATAAACAGCTGGCATTAAAAGAAGAAGAAACCAGCGCGGTAAAGTATTGCTTTTGTCAACATGTTTTTTAAGAAAGGGTTTCAATGGCTCTTTACAGTGAGTACATACATGGCTCAAATTGTGAGTAAAACATATGTTAATCAACATGAAGCTGCACATCGTTCATAACACCCACATAGCTAAATGTTACATGCAGTCGATAAATAAATAATATATGTGGATGATATGAAACATAGCTGTTGTGTGAGCCAAAGGTTATGCTCTGATCTCTATGGTGTCAGCGATGTTGTTTCAGGTACATGAAGGGCGGTGGCATCGGCTTGGGGAGATGATCCGTCGCATCACAGGTACAATATAACACCTGGGTGTAGGTCAGGAAAAGCAGATTAAATACCAAATGAACTACATTAACCTTCATAATTTAATAGAGTATACCAATGTATTCAGTGCATTAATTAAAGACTCATTTTTGTTTATATAAAAGCAGTAAAATAATGAGACTTTAGTTAGATTAATTTTTGAAATCCAATACATTTATCTACCAACAGGTTCTGCTACAAGTGGAGATGGATCACAGGGACTCCGACCTGAACAGCTGACATCACAGGGACTCCGACCTGAACAGCTGACACCACAGGATCTCCGACCTCAACAGCTGACATCACAGGAAGTTTATGAAGTTGTCACACGTGTACGTTAAATGACAAACAACCCCCACCCCATCAAAATGTAAACTGCGAAGTATAGAAGAAAAGGAAATCATTCAAAATTGTCTAGCCAAGAAACGTATTTAGATTTATACATAGAACTTACATAATGTGTCAAGCTTATTAATAATATGTTTTCAGTTCATACTCGGAGCATCCATCCTTTCTGAGTCGCCTACACGTGGTTTATACTTGAGAGGTATGTACAACACGATATGGGATTTAGTTATTTAGTCAAAACTATATCTCGAATGTCATAGTTACTGTCAAGTTGTAAGATGTCACCAGTTTACTAGACTTCGAGGTAAAGGATGCATGACTCATAGCAGTTATGTATAGCAAACAGTTCCACCTGTTTAGTGAGCGATACTGTACGCCACATACGACAACTGGTTACATCAAACGTCCTTGCTATTTTAAAAGATGACATGTAATGATACGGCGAGGCCTCGGAAATGCATGACCTCCTTCGTTTGGATAATATTCAGTTAATGTAGTTCACTGCACAATAAAAGGCAAAATGAGTTAACTAGCTTCACTTGTATTGGGGCCTGTGCTGCCCATGTCAACATTTGTTTGTGTACATTTGCACCCCTTAATCGTGCCATGATCCTGTGAACTTAGTATCATGGATTCAAATCCTAGATTGGACCAGAACCTAGATTCATGGTTTTGGCTTCAAAGAACCATATGCATGTTTGCTCTTTTCAACAACAGTGTAAGACTCACTCGCACTTTACTATGCTTGTCATGATCATCTGTGAGAATAGTATTCAGAGACAAATGTGCCAAAATCATGTATTACAATGAAAACTATATTTTGCAGGGTACTCAGGTGCAATTCACATCATCAGCAAGAACAGAAGTGTCATATTCATCACCTGTAACTATTTTTTATCGTAGTTCATGTTTATTAGGCAATTAGGTTAAGCAATAGTTTCTAGCATACAAAACCACTTAAAAAGTCAGTTGCTTACAATGTATTACCTGTATTACCATCGTGTGTCACCGGCGTTGATCGTAGTACATGTTAGCAATCACCGGTGTGCTGGATGCGACTTTATAATGACCAGACGTCCATGACGTAAACGGAACATGTAAATGTAAATGAAAAGATTAATACTAAAGGGATCAAAACAAGTACATCCAGCAGTTGTAGTGAGGGATAAACGATAAATCATGGCTGGGAATACACTGAATGGGCTTCACACATTCGACCCTTGTTGGGAGTCGAACCCGGCGTGATCAAGGTAACCCTTTAAAAACAAGGCTACTCCACTACCACTCCAGCAGTTGTATTTTCCAGTTTTGCAATCGCATGGGTGTTCTCATACATGTATGTTTTCTGTGGGAGCATCTTCCAGAACGGTAGAAAGCTGTAGTGTAGTTCGGCAGAAGGTGGGCTGTGTGAAACACAAGAAAACATTGACAGGTAGCACAAATCAATGGTGTATGATGAAAAGACAATGTGCTGGAAACAAATATTGTTTATATCGGCTGAGCGAAAACTGCAATCAGGTTCACCCACATTGTGTGTCAGGTGTCCATGCAGGTTCACTGTGTTATTGCTGGAATACTTCAAAGTGGTGTAAAACCATATTCACTTACTCGCTTAAAGAAATAGGCTCCAAGCATACAATTCAAATCGTTATGAGAATATTCAGTCTTGATTATCTACTGAAACATATTATATTTGGCAGTACAGGCAAGATAGTGATGAAAAAGTATGTGACCGAATCACTGAAAATTAGTTGATGACACCAGGTTTCCGCGAAAATTGACACCCTGCTCTACCAGTGGCACCGGCAATTTTTTCAAGAATTACATGTTTTTGTGTTTATCCTAACGCCGCACCCAACAATACTCCTCCCATACGAATGCGGCCTGTAAACAATCGGGTCCTGCCAAGACAATTCAGTGATCAGTATCATGAACAATGACCCACGCTGTCGGAGTACGACGCTACGCTGTCAACCAAGTCACCAAGCATGACCAACCTATCTAGTCAGGTGAATGTCAGTGTGTGGGGATGTGTCAACACTCCCTATAGAGGTCATAGTAGGAAACAGCATCGCGCATCCTTTGACAATTAGTTTGTCATATTTGGTAAATTCCTCTGAACTTCTATCACAGGGTATCTGGTTTGTCTTGACCAGGCCTGTGCGGGCCAATTTGCGTTTACTCCTTGTGTGTGTTTGTTTTAATTTCGTTTATTATTTTTTAGTCTACCACCACATATAGCGGAGAGTTATCATCATGTCAAAGATGAGGGTTCGATTCCCCACATGTGTGCAATGTGTATGTGAATTCGATTTCTGAAGACCTTCGCCGTGATATTGCTGGAATATTGCTAAAAGTGGTGTATTTACAATATTCACTCATGTGAATCACACTAACTATGTACATATTATTCCCTCGTCACGCCGAAGACCCGTGTTCGATTCCCGACATGGGTACAATGTGTGAAACCCATTTCTGGTGTCACCCGCCTGATATTGTTGGAATATTGCTAAATGCGGTGTAAAACCATACTAACTCACTCACTCACTCACTCACTCAATGTACAAAAACAAATATACATTTGACTTTGATGGTGATTTCTTGGGTGGTGAGATGTTGTTAATGTGAAACATGTGTAAGTGCCTTTTTCTCTAATAATATAGTAATCGTCCCTTTCTTAATAACACCTGTGTTTTTGGCCGAAATAAGAATGACATTTCATAAATAAAAGGTACAGAATGTCCATGTTTACTGAGGAATTTTGACAAGAATTGTCATTTTGGTTAATCAATAATCAACAAGGTTTACCGACTTTAAAATTACATTAAATTATTTAAACACATTCGGTGTTTATGTCTGTTGAACACTCAAATATAAAGATATCACGAAACAATACTTGTGTCTGTCTCAGTCTTTACTATTATGTATAATGAGAGTTTAGAATCCCTACAATGATAGTTTAATCGTGAAATAACTTTGAAACATTTACATAATTAGGCAGTGGGAGTCTATTAGACACAGCAAAGTAGGTCAAATGCAACTTCCTAAAAAGGTATCTAAAATAACGTGTATTTGTTTATCAATGCGTGCAAAAATGAATAACAAACAATTTGAGCACCCATCCAAATTATATCACAGCGTTATTATTTAAATTAAGAGTACAGTTATCATTAAATTCGTAGGCAGATGAAAATGGCAGCCGATCAATTATAGCGCTGTTTTTTGGAATCATTGTAACAAAACTCATGAATAAAATGATTCATTGTAGTAAGTGCAATTGCTAAACAACAAATAAAATCTCTATTTCCAGGTCCTAAACTCCATCTGGCCGCTCCTCGAGCCAACACATACTGGTGCCATGTAACTACAGACGATGAGCTGGTCAACTCGCGACCCGCCACTCAACCCACGTTCCATAGGGGCAGGCTAATATATGCCTTTGGCAAGTGTACCTCCACCCCCATCCCACTTGATCTATCCCCCTCTAGTGTCACCCCTGCCCCCAACACAGCCCGATACTGGGAAACCCACTCCAGGGTGGGTGTGGTGAGTGCATTGTATGAGTCGCCTGTCCTGGATATGGGTGTAGTGGAGGAGAGCCAGGACAGTGGGACGTATTTTTATCAACAGCGCCGCTCCTGGGGTGTCAGTGTAAGGAGCTGCACCAGACACTCGGGGAGTATCTGTACCGGGGTGTGGCAGGAGGTTGAGAAGGGGAAGTGCTACAGAAACACAATGTCTGACACACCCGGCAAACAGGCCACCCTCCACTATGGAGTTGTGCTGGATGTTGGGAGGGGTAGAGTGGCCTTTATCGACCTGGACAGAGAGGTTGTTCTAGCAAAGGCTGATGTAGAGTTTCGTGGGGCTCTTCTCCCTGTGTTTGGTGTTGGTACGGCAAATGGCTTCACAGTAAACATGAAGTTGATCAGCGGGGAGGAGATCGTCATGACTGACACAAAAAGATCACTCATTAATGAAGCCCTGCCCTAAGGAATGAACTGAACATGACACTGTGTAAACTTGTAAATGTGACATATCTACTTAAACTGTCAAATACAATACAACAATAGTGAAGAGGAGGTCGTAGAAGTAACTTGTTCATGTGTTGTTTGTTGTGTAGGACCATGTAACAAGGTTAGCTAAATGTGTTGTTTTCCTACATGACTGGTTTCTGCTGTGTATTAGAAACAGTTTACATCATTTTACTCATACATGAGTATTGTTAATGCCTGATCAGTTTATGGGGGGCACGGGGGGGCCAGTCGTCTAAGGCGCCACGATTCGCTGTGCAGAGTTGGGCACGCCAGAAACCTATGACTGTGGGTTTGAATCCCGGTTCGCCCCGGTTATGTTTCTAGGTTTAACAGCACCATACCCGTGCTCTTGGGTTTCACCGAAGTGGTAAACGCGTACGTCTGAGACCTGCATCGATTCGGGCTTTCCTCCCACATTAAGCTGACACGCCGCGATATAAGTGGAATACTGTTAAAAGCGGCGTTAAACCCATCTCACTCACTCGATTACACTTCTGTCTCCGGGCAGACACTCTACCACTAAACCACTAGCACAGGCAGACCATTACACTCCGAATATCTAATACGATAACGATCAACCCACCATTTGCTGAAAACATATAGCGAGACAACACAGATAATTAATTCCATTGTCTAGGCGCAACATGTTCCAGTCAGTTGACTACTATCCCAAGTATGATGCACGGAGGATCTATTCTGTTCTGGATGAAGGCATGTGTTTGGTGTTTGGTGTTTATGAATAGGTTACGTTTGGCCAGTGAGTTGGATTTAATGCTGCTTTCAACAGTATTTCAGGTACATCACAGCTGTCTGGTCGGAACATGAGTATGGTGCTGACAAACTAAAGATCATAATCAGGACAAATCTGAGATCTTAACCTACTATCCTCCAATCCTGGCACAGCTAAGGGAGGCAACTCTTCACAATGAGTAACAGCTCTGTCTCAAAAGGTGAAAAACAATCTTGCAGTTCTTTCGGTCCCTCTCATTGATGTAAACAGAGGGTGCCAAACCCCATTTCATGTGCCAGATGCCAATTCCTTTTTGTGCTATTCCGGATGCTGCAGTGAAGTACACTGGATGCCACAAAATGTTAATCTGGAATACAGATTCAAATATTTCAATGTTGCAACACTTTTTTCATCTTTTCTATTTCTTGCATATGTGGTCATGCCTTCTTTGTGAAAATCCCGTGTAATATACTTGTACCATCTGTGTACACCGATATGGCCTAAGACTTCCCAGAGGGGTGACTGGCGATCTCAAAACAGAACACTGAAACTGATTATTGTCACATAAAACTTTAATCTTACGATGATTGTTCCCATGGTAACACAAAAGTTCACACTACATCTTAAGTAATAAATGAAACATACTTGATAAATAATGTTTTTTACATATGCTAGAACACTCCTCTGGGAATATCCGAGCAATAACACTTACATGTGACAAGTTTTAACCAAGACTTGTACTATGTCATGTACTAACACAAATGTACTGAGATGTATCACAACCACATCCACCAAGTGATCTCAACACTGAGGTTTAGTTAAACATACAAGTACAAGCAAAAACTATAAACATTTATAGCTAAAATGGATAGAATTATCATTAAACCGCCCGCACGTTATCAGAAATGAGCGGGCCACTGTAACTTGATAATGCCCTCATATTGCTTGACGACGGGCCATTATCAAGCCCGTTGTTAGGTGACGTCATAGGGTAGAGAAAATGACGTCACGTATTATAGTGACGTCATCTAGTTTGTTCTATGACGTTTCCATATTTGTAAAATGTGGTCAGTGATATTCGTGTTGATTGCAGTAAATGTTTCAAAACCGATGTTGTTGTTTCTTTTTATTTGATAACAAATTCCATCCATTTTAGCTATAATAACGGTAAAGCTCTTTTTCAGGGCATTATCATTTGCAGAAGCCCTTGGTCTTTTCAACTGCCCTCCTTCGTCGGGCAGTTAATGGAAAACCTCGGGCTTCTACAAATGATAATGCCCTGAAAAATAGCGTTACCCTTATAGCAGGACATAAACCCACAATAAATACGTTCTCTTTCAATTTTCTTTCTGTGGGGTCCATCTTCATCCAAATAATCCAGGGATTTATCTAGGATTCCAAAGCTGGTATTCAAATTGATGTTGAAAAATGGGTAATATTGAAAAATGGGATTTTATAGTTATATTTTTTTTCCAAAATCTAGAGAAGCATGAAATTTTAAAATATGAAACTAAGCATAAAGTGCCGTTTATTGGTCCTCTTATCAGTGAAGTGCAATTCACCTCCTCAAAGCCAGAACAGTTAAACTAATACTGAAACACTTTGATATTCACATTGGGCCCCTGAGCTGGTCCAGATAGATCCCCCAAACGCCATTACCTGTCAGATGCGGGGCGGTCGGGTAGCCTAGTGGTTAAAGCGTTCGCTCGTCACACTGAAGACCCGGGTTCGATTCCCGACATGGGTACAATGTGTGAAGCCCATTTATGGTGTCCCCGCCGTGATATTGCTCGAATATTGCTAAAAGCCGTGAAAACCATACTCACTTACTCATTCACATATCAGATGCTCAAAGAACCTCAAGGATTTTCTCATTACAGTTCTAAAGACCACAATATGGAAAATAGGAATATGATCTCAGTGGGCCTTAAAACATTCCATAAAACTGTCCAACTACAGACCTATGTGTTGATAATGTATGACATAATGTCACCTGGTCAACAAGTTTATGGGGAACATGTACACAAATAATAATCACTGCTTATTGATGTGGAAAAGAGATAACTTGTGGAAACATTTCCACCTTTCACATAACTATTGCACCAAAGCTTATTTTTGCAGTAATGGACCAATAAGGATGTACAAAAAATAAGCAAAAATAAATATTGGCAAAACCGAATTCATAATAATAAATACTCGAACAGATGCAAAATATATGAATAAGCAAAATATAAAATGAGCATTTGTTCTTTTTGCCACACCTGAGATAGGTCATATATATTGTAGGTCATTTTGTGAACCTTGATGTAACATGTACTACTGTCTCTGGTATACATCATAAAGAGATGTCTGACGAGCCGTTACCAAAGACAAACACCATTGTGCTGACTGACTGACAGGTTAAATATATGAGTGTATCATCAAATGAATGATCGGCTCCATCCTGCCTCCCTCACTATCTGAGATCAACGTTATGTGTGTTGAATTTCCAGCCATCTATTCCTTGTATATGATTTAATGAATAGAAAACTTATATTGACTGACATTCTACCATGACATTGAAGAATGCTTGGTTTTGGTTGGTTAAATGAAGTTGTTTTTTTCCTAAAGAAACCTAAAGTGCTAGGTTCCAAATAAGAGGTATCTACTCAACGGCTGGACTACAACAAGTTTCAAAACACAGTAACTTTTTCTCCTAATTGAACCGCAAGACAAGATGGTAAGTCTACAACACAGAGCACAGGTACCTTTATGTCATCCCAGCTCACGATGCACTGACGTGCTCCCTCCATGATGGGATGTCTACAACACAGAGCACATGTTCCTTCATGTCATCCCAGCTCACGATGCACTGACGTGCTCCCACCATGATGGGATGTCTACAACACAGAGCACAGGTACCTTCCTGTCATCCCAGCTCACGATGCACTGACGTGCTCCCACCATGATGGGATGTCTACAACACAGAGCACAGGTACCTTCATGTCATCCCAGCTCACGATGCACTGACGTGCTCCCACCATGATGGGATGTCTACAACACAGAGCACATGTACCTTCCTGTCATCCCAGCTCACGATGCACTGTCGTGCTCCCACCATGATGGGATGTCTACAACACAGAGCACAGGTACCTTCATGTCATCCCAGCTCACGATGCACTGACGTGCTCCCACCATGATGGGATGTCTACAACACAGAGCACAGGTACCTTCCTGTCATCCCAGCTCACGATGCACTGTCGTGCTCCCACCATGATGGGATGTCTACAACACAGAGCACAGGTACCTTCATGTCATCCCAGCTCACGATGCACTGTCGTGCTCCCACCATGATGGGATGTCTACAACACAGAGCACGTTCCTTCCTGTCATCCCAGCTCACGATGCACTGTCGTGCTCCCACCACATCTATTGCCCCCTTTATCAGACTGCATGGAAATACCCTGAATTTGGAAAATACGCAATTTTGACTGCTCAATCACAGGTGTCAAATCACAATAACTACCTATGATTGAAACAGACAACTTGACGGACGCATCACTGCGTAAGCTGATCATTTCTTCCTGGGTCATTGTCGATAGCCATTTTGAAATTATCATAATCATAATGAGTTACAAAATGCAGATTTATGGTTGCTATAATACATGTTTTGGCCAACAAGAGTGTATCCTTGATTCAGATGTCAAAGCCAATCAAATTATTGAACTCAACAAATGCCACGCCACTCAATATCTTCACTCACACCAAAGAGTTCACCTTCAAGTGTTTCATTAAAGAACTGAGAAAAACATACCATGTTTTTAATATAAGGCTTCATTTCCTGCAGATGTAACTTAACATTTGAAATCTCACGGTGCACCTATGTTTTCAAATTCAATTTAGCAGGGTAACCTAGCTCTACAGTGAGAACACGGCACGTTCATCATCTCAGTCGTAAAGTGACACAGGTAAAAGACAAACAAAAGCCCCACGCAGAGGTATGGCGCCGACAGATCAAGACCAATAACTGGTGTGATTCTGAGATTCAAACCCTCAATGAGCAGATACTTGCAAGAACAAGGGCCACAACTCTCCACAGTGAGTTGGGGCAACTTTTGGGTCCCGCTCACCTTAAACCTCAAACACGTCCTGTGTGGCATCTTCAACCATGAGGCCATCCATCCCCCCAAAAGCAAAAACTAAATCAGAATGGAAGCATGAGTAGACATGCAAAATTATATATTTACTGAACAATACTGAAACAGAGATGAGATTCTGTTTTAGTTTATGCCATCATATCTGTATTGATTCATCAATACTGTATATAGGTCTATGGCAAGTATTAATACTTGAGTAACCAGTAAAAGCGTAAATTGTTGGAAATAACTTAATTCACAAGACACCATCAATCTCATTAAATCTGATCTTTTACTTCAATGCAATACCTGTGTGAAGATCTATCAACCTCTCAATGGGGGATCACATCAGTGAAAATTCTTATCAGCTAACCAGCGTTAAGGCTTTTAAATTCTTGTTACAAGTGTGCGTTGCATTCAGAGCATCATATCTGATTCCTGTAACATGTAATGAACTTAAACGGACAGTTCCAAATACACATTATAAAGGCCTCGGCATCATATTGTTGATATGGTATGACGATACTCCCTGTAGTTCGCTTGTGCCATGGAAGCTTCATCTCATTAAGCAGGTCGTATCGTATTGGAATAAAATATCTGATTTTGATGCGATTAAACATATCCCTGGGATGCAGCATGATGTCACAGATATACCCTTTAAACAAAACAATGTATATGCATTACAGCATAGTTGATGAAGGAATGATTATTTGTAAATAATACTTTTCTAAAAAAACTCAATATATTGCACAAGCTCTAAAAGAGATTCAAAACAAGATCACACAAATATCACCAACACAAACATGTTATCCACAGATAATAACAATACAAGAACAATATCAGAACAACACAAGAACAATGCTGCAGAATACAGAAGACAAAGTATAAATATCCCTTATGTAGCCTGCTGGAAGTGGCAGATTTCAGAGCTATAGACAACTGTCTTCCAAAAGTATATAGATATTTTCATATGACTGACAAGGCGATTGCTTCTCGCTGTCACAACCAACTATGGACTTGTGACCATGATGTCATGACCCAGTAAACAAGTATGGCTAAAATGGCATAAAAAAGATGTTTCAAACATCTCGCAAAAAATCAAAGACGGATATCAAAGATGAAATTCTTACCATAAAAATATATGTTCTTTACCAACATCTAAGAAATTCAGCTCGGGGTGAGTGAGGTAAACTTTAATGTCATGTTGGCGATAATTCTGGTATATGACTTAATCATTTTGGTTACAGATTACTCGCTTGCTTTTGAATTTACGAACAACCCTTTCATTTTATTTTCTATCAAGAGTCAATACACAGTACCATATTCACTGTAAATAAAGTTAACAATTGACACAATGATGGGGTCACATCATGACCAGAACAGGTTGCTGGGAACCTATTCTGACCCGGAATCCCCACGCGGTGGCACTTATTGCACTGGGTGCTTTATATGGCGAATACGGTATCTAGACAGAGCTCCAGACAACCTTTTGACAATTGAGTGTTTACTCAAACGTTTCTGTTTTAATTGGGTTAATAAATGTTTATTTGGGTTACCAATATTTTTTCACTCATCTATTCATCACTCTATTGATTTTTTTTCCCAAAATGAGTAAGCATTTTCAGATTTTTCAAAAAAATGAAATAATGCTTAAGATGTATACAACAGTTCTAAATATAGGCTTGACTTGGAAAGTAAATTAGCTTATAATTGTGTTCATGTTGAAAAAGATTAATTGGGTATTTACGCGTGTTGTTTTCAAACAATTGAGTTTTTCGTTTAATGCATGTGTTTCTGTACACAAGTTAATTGAAAGTAATTGGGTTTTGAATAGTTTTGGGGGTATTTCAATGCGCAGCTTTTCTGTAGCTCTGCTAGAGGATCTTCCCAGGTATACAATGTTCCATGAATGCCTACACGCAAAAACAGACACAGAAACAAAAAGTCTCCAGTTACACAACACATTTCGATGTGTAAATGACATCATACTATTACACAATCACCATAAATAATACAGATGACGAACAGCAATTAACAACTGCTTTGCTAAACACATTCTTCTTTGTAATAAATAGTTCCGCTACAACATTGACAACACATACTCACAACCAGCCTATCACAATATCTTCAAATAAATATCACATAAACAACATTATGATTGTTTATCATAAATCAGATAGAATGTATAATAGAAGGAATGGATTGCACATTTGTCTCTTGAAAAAAACCAGATCCTTTAAACAATACTGACAAGTACATCAAAACATTCTCTGTAATCTCCATTGGACAACAAACAGCAAATTCACAATAACTACTGATAAACATAGTTGTCTTCATACAAACATTAAAATCATTTTTTGTTCCAGTTTTCGATTTTGATTTTGATAACATCATTGTAATGTTTGCTCCGTGTTCAGTCTATCCTAGAGCAGTATGCCAATAAAAGTACATACAACATTAACCCTATTTCGAAACAGAAACAAATAGAGGATGCTAATTGTGTAATGTCTAAAGTTACAAACAAATCTTATCAGTCTGTCTTTCAGTCATGTGACTAATTTGAAAAAAAAGTACCTAGATATTATACTTAGCACTTGTATATTAGTAATTACTATAAGTAATAAACTCATTTCAAAAATGAATATAACTATTTATGAATTAACTGCAATTCATTTTGGATAATGGACAGATACAAAATCAGGACTTTTCGGGTCTAAAAGCCCGTCAGTAATGCCAGTACACACAGAATGCCATCTTGTCTGACCCTGTATTATGCTGGCTTGCCATTTATGGGGATTCATACACTGTCCATCTTCCTTAGGCAAGGGAGTTATCTGAGTGTAAACGATCAGTGTCCATCAATTTCTGGGCTCGATCGTAGCGCCACCAGTGGCTATTATGGGTTATGTCCCTTCTATGCCCCTACAACTGGCTAATCAGATTCCATCTCTCATATCACTTGCATTTGCTTCAAACAAAATAGCAACGCCCAGTCAAGACGATCTGATCGATGATCAAGATCTATATTGTAATAAAACAGGTCTTTCCTCGCAAAGTGCATCAAATCATGTGACAACTTGATAAAAAAAACCTGAAAAGATTTTGAAAATATCTGGCGTACCCATCTGTTGCAAATTCTACAGTCGACAGAAAAATGCACATTGAAATCCATGTTGCTTACAAAATGTCCAGCCAAAATATAACTCCATATTTGCAGCATAGTTTATCAAGGGTTGAAACTGGACTTTTACAGTTAGTATACTCCCTTGCCTCTGGAAGATGTATATTGTCTTCCTTTCAGTGTCGTCCAACACCTTCGGACTTCAGACAACAGCGCCAAGTTACGGAACGTAGATCTCAAAATTTTTCTTGAGGAAATTTGCAGGATTTGTGACATCTCTTTCAATCTGCGTCAACAGACGAGGAGGGGGGGGACGCGGGGGAGGGACCGCTGATGACCGTTTGATTGTCTTGAATCTGAAAGTAATTTGACATGGCTTTATAAAAAACATGGTACAGCGACATCAAAAACATTGAAAGGACAAAATCCTCAAATTACTCTAGGATCAAATCTATTATATTTAGGATATTCCTCTTTTGGTAAAAGTTTCATACCAAAGATAGTTATAACTAAAATGACAGGCCAAATGATTAATTAGTGACATCAAAAACAACGAAAGGACAAAATGATCAAACTGCTCTAGTATCACATCTGCTACATATTAATTTTCTTCCAAAGATATAGTGAACTTGGGAACTTATCAACTGGATTGTCTGGTCCAGACTAGATAATTACAGACTGACATCACAAAGCTAGAATATTGCTGAGTGCAGCATTAAACAACAAACCAACAAACAAACCACCTACTTGATTCTCTGAGCCTCATCGGAGTCTGTGGACAATGTTGGTCCTAGATCCCCAAAAGAGTAGGACTTGGTGGCGAAGGTCTTGCGTCTCTCCTCGGCGGAGTGTGATGTGGGAGTGTGGAGTGAGGACGTGCTGCCACTCCGGTCCCGCCACAACTCCTCTGAGGCAGCCAGCTGGTCCTCCGCAGATAGAGTGGAAGGGGTGTCAATGGAGACAGGAGTGCCGACCGAGTCCTGCTTCAGGGTGCTCTGGGAGTCCGGGAGTGCGTAGCGGAGGTTCACTTTCATCATTTCTCCAAACTAAAATAAATGGTGGCTGGTTTTCAACACTTATTTTTTCGTGATTAAAAATCCCTATTGTATTGTAGGTACCTCGTAATAACCTCTTGAGAGGTTTTACTTTTTCCTAGTAAGACTTCATCCCTGGTATTGGGTTTTACTTTTTCCTAGAGAGACCTCATCCCGGGTATTGGGTTTTACTTTTTCCTAGTAACACCTTTCCCGGGTATTGTGTTTAGTAGTATAGGTAATGGGGGTTCTGGACCACTTCCACCAGAGCCAGATCTATATACCTATAATGCTACTACAGAGGGATTTTTTTATGGAAAAATATTGATAATTCTTTTAATACGATCTCATGACCATTGTTCTGGAGAACTATAGCCAGGAACATGAAATGTTCGCTGGGAATACCACTGGGAGTTAACTAGGAGCATTCGTGCGAACGCTGAGTGCTTCGCGGATTTTGTAGTTCGTGTAAATCGTGCGGCACGTGAAATTGCCTATGTATAGCAAAGCTTTGTGAAAATAAAGTCAGTTCGAAAAACACTGCGTAACAAATGGTAGCAGAGCGTGGTTTTGAATAGTTTAGAGTAGTGTGCACGTTTGTGGAATAGTTGCATGTTATGTCGTGTGTTGACATTAGTTAGGGTTATAGTGGAGTTAGTCACAGTTTATAGAACAAATAGATTTTGAACTTATTTGTTGACTGTTTCTTTAAATCTCGTGCACCAAGTCATGTCGCAAACAGGGTCTAAAAAGTCAGCTCATGACTTTCCTGACTATGTGGCAGAAATAGCAGAACTTAGACGCAAGAAGGCTATAGTCAAATCAGCCTTCACTAAAGCAACGAATAGACTTGAAAGACTTATTGATGACGAGAATCGTTCCACTCGGACAGAAATCCGAGACGCGATTGACAAAGTTAATGATTGTCAGCTGAAGGCTATCGAGATAGTTATAGCATTGTCTGAAACATTTCACACAATAGGTGATCAAGATAGCATGACGAAAGTTACTGGCGAGGTAACACAGATAGAGGAGATAGGGAATGAGATACAAGAGCGAGCTCAAGAATATTTGCGAAACAGGGCAGATACGAGATCGTTCAGCAGCGTTAGAACAGGATTATCCAGATTATTTACGGCTGAAAAAGAAAAGCATGTTACTGTTGTCACTGCTTCTCACGTCGAGCAAGCGGAACCACAGTTGGGGTTAGATGTTGCTAGTTTCGGTCAGAGGTCACAAACAAATGTCATTGGGTTAGGTCGGCGGCAGCAGACCAATGCAGATGAATTTAGTCATATGAATAGGCCAGAACCCATCACACAGAAGAATGTTAGACATACAATTTCCCCAGAAACTGTTGGAAATTCGAGAAATTACAATTTGGGAAATGATATGTGGAAGCAGTTGCGACGTGTTTCCATTCCTACTTTCTCGGGTGATGCCAAATCATATGAGGGTTGGAAAGCGGCTTTTATGGCTTGTGTTCATAAGGCTCCAGCTACACCCGAGTACAAGCTTTTACAGTTGCGTCAGTACTTAGCTGGGGATGCAATGAAAGTCATACAAGATTTAGGTCATAGTGCGGCTGCATATGATGTAGCACTAGATAGATTAGAGAGGAAGTATGGGGGCAAGAGACGCCAAATTACATTACAGTTGGAGGAAGTGTGTAACTTTAGGCCAATTCGTCCTGGCAATGTCAAGGATATTGAGCGGTATGCTGACATGTTAGACACTGTCGTGGTCAATCTTAGAGATACTGACAGACTAGAAGAGTTGGGCAATGGAGCATTATATAATCAGTTACTGAAGAAAATGACAGAATCTATGTTAACTGACTATCAAAGATGGGTCTTTGATCGAGAGCGTCAAGAATCGGTAGACACATTGCGTGAGTGGGTGTTGCAAGAAACTGAGTTTAATGTTGTAGCATCAGAAACTTTGCATGGCGTTTCCCAAAAGGGAAGGATTACAGTTAGAGGTCAAAGCAAATCGGGTTCATACTTTGGCGATCGACAGACTAACACGAACGCTCAGTGTGTGCTCTGTAAAAGTGGTCATCATATTTGGAACTGTAAACAGTTCAAGACAATGACTGTTCCCACAAGATGGGAAACTGCTAAACAATTGAACCTTTGCTTCAGGTGTTTGGGCACTAACCATCGAGGTAATAGTTGCAGACGCAGAATCACCTGTGGAATAGATAACTGTACCGCAACTCATAGTAGATTTCTTCACTCAACAAAGAGAACTTGTGACAATGTTTCTAAAGCTGAAACTCCTGAAACTGAAAAGCAACATGGAAGTCATGGTCCATCTGTAGTTACAATGTCTTCCACTAAATCTAGCAAGTCAACGCTAGTATCATTGAGAACGGTGCCAGTAGTTCTAAAGAATGGAAAGAACAGAATTGTTGTTAATGCACTATTGGATGATGCCAGCACACAGACTTATATTAATCAAGATGTTGCCTCAGAATTAGGGTTATGGGGTCCTACAGAGAAAGTTTCAGTTAATGTCCTCAATGGACAACATGAAACATTGGAAACTATGTCAGTTCAAGTTGGACTAGAGAGTTGGGATGGTTCAGTCAATACTACAATATCTGCCTTAACAACTACCCGGGTCACGGGACAGATGCAGGTTGTTGATTGGCAGAAGTTTGCAGGAAGATGGAAACACCTTGACAGCATTGAGTTTCCAAAAGTCAAATCTCCTCATATAATAGATCTTCTTATTGGAATGGATTATCTTGAACTGCATAGATCCTATCAGGATATCCCAGGTCAGGAAGGTGAGCCAACAGCACGGTTAACTCCATTGGGTTGGACCTGTGTTGGTAGGATACCAGGATTAAGTGATTGTCAGAATTCGGGCACATTCTTCACTGACAGTAGGGAAGTTGAATTAAGTTCAATATTACAGAAATTCTGGGAAGTTGATGAAGTTCCCCCTGTGACATCTATCCTTTCCAAGGATGATGAATTTGTGATTGAATCTGTAAAAGATACAATCAGATACCAGAATGGTCGGTACCAAATTGGCATTCCATGGAAGGAAAATGCAAGTCCTTTACCGGGCAATTGGGAAGTAGCTTACAAACGTCTCTGTTGCACAGAGAAGAAATTATCAAAAGACAAACAGGTTGCTGATACTTATGATGGTATCATATCTCGGTATCTTGAAAAAGGTTACATTGAAAAGGTGTCCATTGATGAAACAGATGTACCCTGTGGATGGTACTTACCTCATTTCCCTGTAGTGCGTCCCGATAGGGAAACTACCAAGGTTCGCATTGTCTTTGATGCATCAGCAAAATGTGAAGGTGTATCATTGAATGACAGTATCCATCAAGGTCCAAAGTTACAAGGTGACCTATTTCAGATATTGCTCAGGTTTAGAAGGTACTCGGTAGCCATAGTATGTGACATTGCAGAAATGTATCTTCAGATAGAAATGTTGCCAAAGGACAGGTCATTCTTTCGATTTCTTTGGAGGTCAAACAATCAGAATGACATGACACAGGTTTACCAATTCTCAAGAGTAGTCTTCGGTGTTAATGCCTCTCCGTTTTTGGCACAGTACATATCACAAGAACATGCTAGAAGGTTTCAAGATACTCTACCAAAAGCTGCTGAGACTGTATTAAAGTCGACCTATATGGATGACAACATAGACTCTCTTCCAAATGAGATCGAAGCCATAGAGCTGTTTGAGCAGCTTACAGAGTTGTGGGGAAAGGCAGGCATGTGTGCACGAAAGTGGTTAAGCAATTCACCTGAAGTCTTACAGAAAATTCCCATAGAAAATAGGGCTACTGAGGTTGATCTTGGTAGGGATGAGTTGCCAACTACAAAAACACTTGGTCTGACGTGGGTGGCAAAAGATGACGAGTTTAGCTTCCGAAGTACTAGTGCACAAAACAGTTGGATACTTACAAAGAGGGGTTTTCTTAGAGAAATGGCTAGGGTATTCGATCCGTTAGGATTCCTTGCTCCTTTCATCATCAAAGCTAAAATCATCATGCAGGAAGTCTGGCTCAAGGGTTTAGATTGGGATGAAGAGCTTGATAATGATTTGAAACAGAAAGCATTGCTTTGGCTCAATCAAATGAAAGAGTTGGAGACTGTTAGATTCCCGAGATGCTTGCAACTCAACTTCAAAATTGAGAACAGGAAATTACATGTTTTCGTTGATGCATCTGAAAATGCATATGGGGCAGTAGTCTACAACGTGACTACCTATCAAAATGGGATGGTGTCTAGTCGCTTGGTGGCATCAAAATGTAGAGTAGCACCTCTGAAATCAGTCAGCATTCCTCGAATGGAGTTAATGGCAGCAGTATTAGGAGTAAAGTTGATCTTGACTGTAGTCAAAGCTCTTGAAATACCAATGACTAGTGTGATTCTTTGGTCAGATAGTCAAAATGTGCTATATTGGATAAAAAACCATAGCCGCACGTTCAAAACATTCGTAGCTAATCGGATAGCTTTTATCCAAGAAAATACTGTTCCTAGTCAGTGGAACTACGTTCCTTCTGTTCAGAATCCAGCAGATATCCTGTCTAGGGGTACAACAGTTGCTAATTTGAACAAAGCATGGAATTCTGGACCTGACTTTCTAGAAAAAGATGTGACAGAATGGCCTTTACAGATGGTGAACAACCAAACATTAGATGATTCTGAAGCCAGGAAACCTGTTATGTCGACAAAGCAGTTCTTTGCAATGGCAACACCTGACCGGTGTTGGAGATTAGATCCGAGAAGACACTCAGATTGGCAAAAACTACTTAGGGTTACAGCATGGGTTTATAGATTTGTGAACAACAGTCGTTCTGACTTAGGTTTGAGAATCGCTGGGGGGCTAAGCCACGAAGAGCTTAGTGATGCAGAGATGTATCATTTAGGTAGTGCACAAAAGGAGGGATTCACCAAGGAGATATCGGCACTTGAATGTGGGAAACAATTGCCATCAAATAGTAAACTCACTGGACTTGATCCCATACTTGATGAAGATGGGTTGATTAGATGTGGAGGTAGACTGCAGTATGCAAATTTTCTCCCATTTGATGCACGGTTCCCGATAGTATTGCCCAGAAGAAATTGGGTAACAAAGCTAATCGTGAAGAAATATCATGAGGATGGAAAACACATCCTTGGTACAAATCAGATCCTTGCTCTACTATCTTCACGTTTCTGGATCGTTTCTGCTCGTGAAGAGATCCGTGAATATGAAAAGGAATGTTCTTGGTGTCGCAGACTTAAGGCAAAGCCTGGTGTGCAAATCATGGCTCCACTACCAAAGGTTAGACTGAAATACTCATTGAGAGCATTTGATCAAACTGGTGTTGATTTTGCAGGACCTTTCATCACAATACAAGGTAGGGGAAAGCAGCGAGTTAAACGCTACCTTTGTCTCTTTACTTGCCTGGCAACTAGAGCGGTGCACTTGGAAATGGCATACGGTCTTGATAGCGACTCGTTCATGAATGCCTTTTACAGAATGGTCAACCGTCGAGGCTTGCCAAGTGTAGTGGTTTCAGATAATGGGACTAATTTCACAGGAGCCGTTAAAGAGCTGAAACAACTTAGAGACAAACTTGATGAGGATTACATTAAAACCTCCTTGGCCAATCGTGGAGTTACTTGGAAGTTTAACCCACCATATTCACCACATTTTGGGGGTGCTTTTGAAGCAATGATAAAGTCTTCCAAACGAGCTATATATGCAATCCTTGGCAATGGCGACATCACTGACGAAGAACTTGTGACTGCCTTTACCGGAGCTGAATCACTGATCAATTCAAGGCCTTTAACTTACCAAAGTACACATCCACATGATGACGTTCCACTAACTCCTAATCACTTTCTTCATGGTCAGATGGGTGGAATATTTGCTCCTGAGTCGGTTGATAAGACAGGGTTCAATCCGAAAAAACGTTGGCGAAGAGTGCAAGAACTTGTACGCCACTTTTGGAAACGGTGGATGTCTGAATGGCTTCCTTCTCTACAAGCAAGGAAGAAATGGTTTATACCAAACCGTGATCTTGAAGTAGATGACGTCGTTCTGGTTGTCTCCCCTCAGTCACCTAGAGGCAGTTGGATCACCGGACGAATCATAAAGACACATCCTGGAAGAGATGGACACGTTCGAGTCGTTGACATACAGACAAGTAAGGGTGTTGTCACAAGACCAGTGACAAAAGTGTGTCCACTGGAATGGAATGTTTCAGGAACTGCAGCTGGAGAAGGCTTCAAGAACGGAACGGAACAGCAGAAGGATTCGAGGAACGGATAGAAGAATTCGTGAATGGAGGATTCAAAGAACAGCAGAAGGATTCGAGGAATGGATAGAAGAATTCGTGAATGGAGGATTGACAGAAGAGGTCATGTATAGAAGATGTTATTCAAGGATGAACATTCAAGGAAGTATTTCGAGTGACTGAAACATTAATATTTTTCATTTTGTAAAACAGGATGTGTTCTTTTTAACAATGAACATTATACTTACCAGTGAATTGACATACTTTCAAGTGGAATATTTCTTATTTACAGAGATGTGGACGTTGAAATGACTGCTTTGTTTTTCAGGACATGTGTGGACTTTTTTATGAACAATCTAGTCTCATATTATTTCATGTATGTACATATACTATGTTGTGATGGATAGCTACTATTAGAAATGATAGACTGGGATCTATCATTTGTAGGGGGGAATGTTCTGGAGAACTATAGCCAGGAACATGAAATGTTCGCTGGGAATACCACTGGGAGTTAACTAGGAGCATTCGTGCGAACGCTGAGTGCTTCGCGGATTTTGTAGTTCGTGTAAATCGTGCGGCACGTGAAATTGCCTATGTATAGCAAAGCTTTGTGAAAATAAAGTCAGTTCGAAAAACACTGCGTAACAACCATCATTAAATCGCATCATCCTTTTTCCATAAAAAATTCCCTCTGTAGAGTAGCAGTATAGGTATATAAATCTGGCTCTGGTGGAAGTGGTCCAGAACCCCCATTACGTATACTACTGGTTTTTACTTTTTCCTAGCAAGACTTCATCTCGGGTATTGGGTTTTACTTTTTACTGGTTAGGCCTCATCCTGGGTATTGGGTTTTACTTTTTCCTAGTAAGACCTCATCCTGGGTATTGGGTTTTACTTTTTACTGGTAAGACCTCTTCCCGGGTATTGGGTTTTACTTTTTACTGGTAAGACCTCATCCCGGGTATTGAGTTTCACTTTTTACTGGTAAGACATCTTCCCGGGTATTGGGTTTTACTTTTTACTGGTAAGACCTCATCCCAGGTATTGGGTTTTACTTTTTACTGGTAAGACCTCATCCCGGGTATTGAGTTTCACTTTTTACTGGTAAGACCTCTTCCCAGGTATTGGGTTTTACTTTTTACTGGTAAGACCTCATCCTGGGTATTGGGTTTTACTTTTTACTGGTAAGACCTCATCCTGGGTATTGGGTTTTACTTTTTACTGGTAAGACCTCATCCTGGGTATTGGGTTTTACTTTTCCCTAGTAAGACCTCATCTCGGGTATTGGGTTTTACTTTTTACTGGTAAGACCTCATCCCGGGTATTGAGTTTTACTTTTTCGAAGTAAGACCTGATCAGCTGGGTAGCACATGAAATTTTGACTTAGTGTTTCAAACACCCTACGTTCTAAAAGCGACAACAACAAATGAAACTTTTTCATTATGGATGACGGGAATCTAACTTCCATCCTCACATATCATGTTAAGTTTTGTAACCCACTATTTTCTCAAAGAGCCACCGGGGCAGGTGGTGAAAGGTTGTTCAACTTTACATGTCATGAATAAGTTGCATCTATGTTGCACATTTTTTTCTCACAAGCTTTGACTCACAAGCTAACTATCTCTATATCCATGTCTATCTTCTCCTTATATTAGACCACTAAAACTCCTACAGTATTCATTGATTGCTTCATAGATGTGTACTGCGACATCTTACCTCGTAGAGTCCTGTCTTCAGCAGCTGAAAGGACACACTGACCGGCATAGTGCAGCCTCGTGGACAAGCTCTGGAAAGGTCAAGGTCACTTGATTACTTTATGCAATATGAGGAAATAAACAACAACAAAATATCTATTAATCTCAGAAAAAATATCAAGTCTACTGCAAATAATCATGATAATCTCTACGACTTTAAGAAATTAGTTGACTCTTTTATTTGTGAATGAGTTTGGTTTAATGCCGCTTTGAGCAGTATTCCTGTTACATCTCATCATATCAGCTTAATTAGGGAGGAAAGCCTGAAGTGACGCAGGTCTTGGAAATTTACCACTTCGGTGAACCCCACGAGCACGGGTATGGTGCTGACAAACAAAGCAACATAATGTGCTTGGACCCACGATCATAGGTTTCTAAAGTGCCCAAGGGCCACAACTGCTCAGCGAATTAGACGACTGGGCCACCTGTGTCCCTCCCGATTCATATACTAAATAGAGGTATCAATTCATGAATAATACATGGGACCCCATCGTTATTTCATAATGTATCAAATTAAAGGGTATTGGCAATATGGTTAACACTTACCAAGCCAGGCATGTCCGGCCCACTTACCCCACATAAACGTCCGGGTCGTGACACACCACAGAATTCTTCAAGTCCTCCAACTGCTTCCGAGGCAGAACATCCTCCACTAAACAAACACATAACAAAACAGGGATGAGTACTGGGCAGGCTGAGGGCCTTTAATTATTGGTACTGCAGCAGCTATGAACACTCATTCCTATCTGTAACAGAGCTGGAGTTACAACAAATAGTTTGGGAAATAGGGTCATACAGGAAATACCCAGATGAATCCCTTGAAATAGGTCAATTATTGACCCATGTAACTATGCTCATGATGCCAATCGACCCGTGAAGATCTGGAGTAGAATAGGTCTTCAGCAACTCTTGCTTGCTATAAAGGTGACTATGCTTATCGTAAGAGGCGACTGACTTGGTTGATGAATGTAATCATATCCCAATTGCGTGGGATGTCAATCACTGGATTGTCTTGTCAAGACTCGATGAATTGCAGACTGTCATTTTTTAAGATGAAATATTGCTATTGTGCAGTTCAAACAACAAACAAACAAAACACAATATTTTGTCACACATAAAAAATAGCATCAGCATGCACCTGTGTGTGGGTCTGCTCTTACTAGTCTGGACGAAGGTGGGCAGAGAGACAGACTCACCGACATCCCTGAAGGTGGACCGACTCACCGACATACCTGAAGGTGGACCAACTCACCGGCATCCCTGAAGGTGGACAGACTCACCAACATCCCTGAAGGTGGACAGACTCACCGACATCCCTGAAGGTGGACAGACTCACCGACATCCCTGAAGGTGGACAGAGAGACTCACCTACATCCCTGAAGGTGGACAGACTCACCAACATCCCTGAAGGTGGACACTCACCGACATCCCTGAAGGTGGACAGAGAGACTCACCGACATCCCTGAAGGTGGACAGAGAGACTCACCGACATCCCTGAAGGTGGAGAGACTCACCAACATCCCTGAAGGTGGACACTCACCGACATCCCTGAAGGTGGACATAGACTCACCGACATCGGTGAAGGTGAAGAGAGAGACTCACCGATATCCCTGAAGGTGGACATAGAGACTCACCGACATACCTGAAGGTGGACCGACTCACAGACATCCCTGAAGGTGGACAGACTCACCGACATCCCTGAAGGTGGACAGACTCACCGACATCCCTGAAGGTGGACAGACTCACCGACATCCCTGAAGGTGGACAGAGAGACTCACCTACATCCCTGAAGGTGGACAGACTCCCCAACATCCCTGAAGGTGGACAGACTCACCAACATCCCTGAAGGTGGACACTCACCGACATCACTGAAGGTGGACAGAGAGACTCACCGACATCCCTGAAGGTGGACAGAGAGACTCACCAACATCCCTGAAGGTGGAGAGACTCACCAACATCCCTGACGGTGGACAGACTCACCAACATCCCTGAAGGTGGACACTCACCGACATCCCTGAAGGTGGACATAGAGACTCACCGACATCGGTGAAGGTGAACAGAGAGACTCACCGACATCCCTGAAGGTGGACATAGAGACTCACCAACATCCCTGAAGGTGAACAGAGAGACTCACCAACATCCCTGAAGGTAGCCATAGAGACTCACCAACATCCCTGAAGGTGGACATAGAGACTCACCAACATCCCTGAAGGTGAACATAGATACTCACCGACATCGGTGAAGGTGGACATAGAGACTCACCAACATCCCTGAAGGTGAACAGAGAGACTCACCGACATCGGTGAAGGTGGACATAGAGACTCACCAACATCCCTGAAAGTGAAGAGAGAGACTCACCAACATCCCTGAAGGTGGACAGAGAGACTCACCAACATCCCTGAAAGTGAAGAGAGAGACTCACCAACATCCCTGAAGGTGAACAGAGAGACTCACCGACATCCCTGAAGGTGGACATAGACTCACCGACATCGGTGAAGGTGAACAGAGAGACTCACCGATATCCCTGAAGGTGGACATAGAGACTCACCGACATCCCTGAAGGTGGACCGACTCACAGACATCCCTGAAGGTGGACAGACTCACCGACATCCCTGAAGGTGGACAGACTCACCGACATCCCTGAAGGTGGACAGACTCACCGACATCCCTGAAGGTGGACAGAGACTCACCTACATCCCTGAAGGTGGACAGACTCCCCAACATCCCTGAAGGTGGACAGACTCACCAACATCCCTGAAGGTGGACACTCACCGACATCACTGAAGGTGGACAGAGAGACTCACCGACATCCCTGAAGGTGGACAGAGAGACTCACCGACATCCCTGAAGGTGGAGAGACTCACCAACATCCCTGACGGTGGACAGACTCACCAACATCCCTGAAGGTGGACACTCACCGACATCCCTGAAGGTGGACATAGAGACTCACCGACATCGGTGAAGGTGAACAGAGAGACTCACCGACATCCCTGAAGGTGGACATAGAGACTCACCAACATCCCTGAAGGTGAACAGAGAGACTCACCGACATCCCTGAAGGTAGCCATAGAGACTCACCGACATCCCTGAAGGTGGACATAGAGACTCACCAACATCCCTGAAGGTGAACATAGAGCCTCACCGACATCGGTGAAGGTGGACATAGAGACTCACCAACATCCCTGAAGGTGAACAGAGAGACTCACCGACATCCCTGAAGGTGGACATAGAGACTCACCAACATCCCTGAAAGTGAACAGAGAGACTCACCAACATCCCTGAAGGTGGACAGAGAGACTCACCGACATCCCTGAAGGTGAACAGAGAGACTCACCAACATCCCTGAAAGTGGACAGAGAGACTCACCAACATCCCTGAAGGTGAACAGAGAGACTCACCGACATCCCTGAAGGTGAACAGAGAGACTCACCAACATCCCTGAAGGTGGACAGAGAGACTCACCAACATCCCTGAAGTTGAACAGAGAGACTCACCGACATCCCTGAAGGTGGACATAGACTCACCGACATCGGTGAAGGTGAACAGAGAGACTCACCGATATCCCTGAAGGTGGACATAGAGACTCACCGACATACCTGAAGGTGGACCGACTCACAGACATCCCTGAAGGTGGACAGACTCACCGACATCCCTGAAGGTGGACAGACTCACCGACATCCCTGAAGGTGGACAGACTCACCGACATCCCTGAAGGTGGACAGAGACTCACCTACATCCCTGAAGGTGGACAGACTCCCCAACATCCCTGAAGGTGGACAGACTCACCAACATCCCTGAAGGTGGACACTCACCGACATCACTGAAGGTGGACAGAGAGACTCACCGACATCCCTGAAGGTGGACAGAGAGACTCACCGACATCCCTGAAGGTGGAGAGACTCACCAACATCCCTGACGGTGGACAGACTCACCAACATCCCTGAAGGTGGACACTCACCGACATCCCTGAAGGTGGACATAGAGACTCACCGACATCGGTGAAGGTGAACAGAGAGACTCACCGACATCCCTGAAGGTGGACATAGAGACTCACCAACATCCCTGAAGGTGAACAGAGAGACTCACCGACATCCCTGAAGGTAGCCATAGAGACTCACCGACATCCCTGAAGGTGGACATAGAGACTCACCAACATCCCTGAAGGTGAACATAGAGCCTCACCGACATCGGTGAAGGTGGACATAGAGACTCACCAACATCCCTGAAGGTGAACAGAGAGACTCACCGACATCCCTGAAGGTGGACATAGAGACTCACCAACATCCCTGAAAGTGAACAGAGAGACTCACCAACATCCCTGAAGGTGGACAGAGAGACTCACCGACATCCCTGAAGGTGAACAGAGAGACTCACCAACATCCCTGAAAGTGGACAGAGAGACTCACCAACATCCCTGAAGGTGAACAGAGAGACTCACCGACATCCCTGAAGGTGAACAGAGAGACTCACCGACATCGGTGAAGGTGAACAGAGACTAACTCACCAACATCCCTGAAGTTGAACAGAGACTAACTCACCGACATCCCTGAAGGTGAACAGAGACTAACTCACCGACATCCCTGAAGGTGGACAGAGACTAACTCACTGACATCCCTGAATGTGGACAGACAGACTCACAGACTTCCCTGAAGGTGAACAGAGAGACTCACCGACATCCCTGAAGGTGGACATAGAGACTCACCGACATCCCTGAAGGTGAACAGAGACTCACCGACATCGGTGAAGGTGAACAGAGACTAACTCACCAACATCCCTGAAGGTGAACAGAGACTAACTCACCGACATCCCTGAAGGTGGACAGAGACTAACTCACTGACATCCCTGAATGTGGACAGACAGACTCACAGACTTCCCTGAAGGTGAACAGAGAGACTCACCGACATCCCTGAAGGTGGACATAGAGACTCACCGACATCCCTGAAGGTGAACAGAGACTCACCGACATCGGTGAAGGTGAACAGAGACTAACTCACCAACATCCCTGAAGGTGAACAGAGACTAACTCACCGACATCCCTGAAGGTGAACAGAGAGACTCACCGACATCGGTGAAGGTGAACAGAGACTAACTCACCAACATCCCTGAAGGTGAACAGAGACTAACTCACTGACATCCCTGAATGTGGACAGAGACCAACTCACCGACATCCCTGAAGGTGGACAGAGACCAACTCACCGACATCCCTGAAGGTGGACAGAGACCAACTCACCGACATCCCTGAAGGTGAACAGAGAGACTCACCGACATCGGTGAAGGTGAACAGAGACTAACTCACCAACATCCCTGAATGTGGACAGAGACCAACTCACTGACATCCCTGAAGGTGGACAGAGACCAACTCACCTACATCCCTGAAGGTGGACAGAGACCAACTCACTGACATCCCTGAAGGTGGACAGAGACCAACTCACTGACATCCCTGAAGGTGGACAGAGACCAACTCACCGACATCCCTGAAGGTGAACAGAGAGACTCACCGACATCGGTGAAGGTGAACAGAGACTAACTCACCGACATCCCTGAAGGTGAACAGAGAGACTCACTGACATCCCTGAAGGTGGACAGAGACTAACTCACCGACATCCCTGAAGGTGAACAGAGAGACTCACTGACATCCCTGAAGGTGGACAGAGACTAACTCACCGACATCCCTGAAGGTGAACAGAGAGACTCACCGACATCGGTGAAGGTGAACAGAGACTAACTCACCGACATCCCTGAAGGTGGACAGCTGGGTCTCCACGTTCCAGTACAGCTTCATGCTCAGGAAATCCTGGAGTCTGTTGACGATGTTGTACGTCAGGGTAAAGCTGAAACAGTCAATGACAATAAAACACTGACATGGTTTATATTGAAAATCAGAGCTTTCAAACTGATTACTGGGAAATAAACTAGCTAAGATAAAAAATGTTTAAAGTGCATGTGAAATGTAAGGATCTGTATTCAGAACATACATTTCAAGATCTCACAATTTTAGTCCAGATTTTACTTCATAACACATTACCAACATAAGGAAGTGTCTTCTTGGCTATTTGAAAATGGAGAACTAGACTAGCACGACATTTCAGCCTACCTTTCTCCAACCTTGGGTTGGGTGTTGCCGGATATTGACACCGTAAAGGGGGCTCTTCTTATTCGTAACTTTGGCAGGCTGATGAAAAATATGATGACATTAGTATAAAAACCTGGTCTTTCTCTCACACCTAACAGGTACTTTCTCTTGTCACGTGTTTGAGGTAGAGGTAGGATAAGGGCAATCTTTGGCCCAATGAAAATGTCAAATTTGAAATTCCAGAAAACTTGGAAATATTGGTATGAAAATTTGCAGATATTTTCAAATGGTTTCCAACTAGCCTTGTTTCTTCCCCACACATGCCAGTTAAGGACTTCTGACATAATCAAGTTCGGCTAAATGAAAAAGGCAGATGTTTCAAGCATCAAGTGAATTATTGATTTAGTTAATTATTTCGGACTGGTCATTTATTAAAGGGGGAAGGGTGTCAGCTGTTTTTGATGCACATATGAAAATCATGACCCTCCCCCAATGCTTGTCATATTTTGGGATGACCCTTCCCATGTCCTTGTACATTTTTCTTATGACCCTCCCTGACAAGACAAAATGCAAAAGTACTTAATATTTTATTATAAAATGTCCATTTTTCATGACCCTTCCTAAATATGTGTATTATTTTTCATGACCCCCCCTGGAGACTGTCATATTTTTTGGTGACCCTCCCCTGCTTCCTAGCCGACCCCCCCTACCCAGGCCCCATAATAAATGACAGTTCCCTTGCCATATGTTTGTCACATCTTCATCTACATCTTCTGATGAAATGAGATCAGATAAAAGACTTACTTATGTTCAGATGTAAGATAGCCATGGGATAAAGCACAAAGAAGCGTGGTTTATTTCATGACAAAACATTGTTCTATCATGATGTTATTTTTGGAGATTCGAACTATATTCTATATTGGACGACGTTATTTTTGTGAGGGAAGTATCTAATAAGTTGTTCCTCCATAGATGTAGCTTGGCTACACAGATAAATGCAGAGGCCAAACTATCCCATCCAAATGTGGGAGAGATTTGACAATCAGTATCAGGAGAAAAGGTACTGATGATCGATGTGAGGATTGTGAGAATAACCGGGAAAATACCAAACTTAACCCACTGTTCATAAAATGGACTTGTCCGACATTTCTGAAGTCAAATTCTATTCAGGGAGTAATCATTATTAAAATTGGGCAAATAGTTTTAAAGTTTGTACATTTTATTAACATCCTTAAAGAGGGTGTACATAATGTTGATATCTCACAGAAGAAATAAAGGACTTGAGGTCGTTGTTTATCGTATGATGCGCCCCTCTTGGTTTATTCTCCCTGCAGTGTTTTATAGTACAATAAACAATTTATTTTGTAACTTATTTCTTAAATATAAGCAAACTCTACCTGAACACCTCTAACATCCGCCTTTTGGTCATTTTTCAAAGGTATCGCTACATTTGATATCCAAATCATGTAAGGTTTGAAGAAAACAAACTCGAGTCTCATTACAAAGAACACAAATTTCCCAACAAATCTTACATGTACTGCTACTGTGGACCCGAAAGGGCCCTTATCATACATGTCCTTTAGTTTACACAACATCGGAATGAAACGTATGATCATGATTATTACTTTTAACTAAAAGTGTCATCTTCACACAAGCAAACAGTGATGATGACAATACAGAGACGTGACTCACTTGAAGACAGTTATTATTTCTGGTTTTTCTCCAATCACATCCTTGTGACTCCACTTCAGAAACCCCTTCAAGGTCAGTTCCTGTAATTACAAACACAAACATCAACACTCCCACATTCATAATCATAAAATTGTTAATGATAGTACAGTCAAACTCTGTTATCTCGAACAGAGTGATATCCAGACATTCCAGATAGACCTGTGAAGATCCGGGGTAGAATAGGTCTCCAGCAACCCATGCTTGCCGTAAAAGGCAAAGTAAGAGGCGACTAACAGGATCGGGTGGTCAGGCTCGCTGACTTGGTTGATGCATGTCATTGTATCACAATTGTGTGGATCGATGCTTTTTTTTTTCGTGCAAGGAAATAATATTTCGCTTTGCTTCAAGGTTATATATCTATCTGTAGGGACATGGTCTTGAATCAAAGTCAAATATTCAGAGAAATAAAGAGAAAATTGCGATTGAACATTGTGCAATGACATGTAGTTCTAAATAAGTTACTTTAGAAATGACATCACTGAATTTGTCAGCCATGAATGAAATTAATGTTGAGATAATTAAAACCAAGTAATTTTCATATGATATTTATTTTTTCAAGTTTGGACTGACTTAAATTGTGTGGGACTAGTAATTTTTATAGTTGTCGGTCCGATAAGACTTGCAGTTTGAAAAGAAAGCGGGAACATACCTACGTTGTTAGCATATAAGAAAACATTCTTATTGACATATTTCAACAATCCATTGATGACGTCATACAGCAGGGTGACAAAATGAGTAAGTGAGTGAGTTGGGTTAAACGCGGCTTTTAACAGTATTCCAGTAATATCACGGTGTGTCAGCTTAAAGTTGGGGGAAAGCCCGAAGTGATGCAGGTCTCAGAAGTTTACCACTTCGGTGAAACCCACGAGCACAGGTATGGTGCTGACAAACCTAGAAACATAATCGGGGCGAACTGGGATTCAAACCCACAATCATAGGTTTCTGGCGCGCCCAAGGGACGCAACTCTGCACAGCGAATCGCGGCGCCTTAGCCCCTGGTGACAAAATGAGGTAACAATGCAATAACATGATCAAAGGTTGATTCAGACCTGCTCAGAAGCTGATGTTTGACCCCACATCTGCAACACATGTCCATAAAATTCCCAAATTGGAATTATCAATTCCTAGTTCATGTTACTAGTTCACTAATGTCATGGCTTTGGAGAGGTAACTGTATATCACTGATAACAGGACCCATAAAGACGAAGAGGCTCTAATGTTTATTTTTACAATACCTCAGAAATTATAACTTTTTTCAAAGTTGACAAGCTTTTAAGACTCCTACATAAATCCCTGGTCTTAGTTTAAAGAGCATTGCAGTGCTGCTCTCATTTGAACAGGAAGTGTGATTGGAGTTATCTGCCCCTGGTTGATGAAAACAAACACGGCAGACGTGATAGCTTGAGAAGTATGAGGATGGCACAGTTTCTAAAAGCCTTGTTGCACCTATATAAGAGAAAGAAGAGTGCTACTCGAGGCCTTTTTCAACCTGACTTGTGTCTGATCTATTTGTGTTGATTGGATACCTATCTGAAAACACCAATTCCTGCCGGCTTCCATCACTTTTCTGGCTTCAAGACATTCTTCAAGGAATTGCTTCTTCCACGTATTTGACCAACATATTATATTGTAAACCTAAAACAGTGTGCTTCAAAATAAGTTACCGTATTTGACGTAATAAGCAACCTGCTCTAATAAGCACCCACAGAGATATTTACTAATATATTGGCTAGTGAACATTCCACATTAGCACCTCTTCCTATTGATCAATGTACACAAGACTTATTTATTCTTGTATAATACACACTCGTTTGTTATATGTACCCTCATAAAGATGGGCAATTAAATTCTGGAAAAATATATCTGTCATAAACATTTCAGGCTGTCAGCATAAACCCCGAAATTAATGATCTTTCAACTGATTTTTCACCAAAATAATATTCTAATAAGAGCGCACTATTTCTAATTTTGCGTGCGCCCTGGGCACTCATTATGTCGAATATGCTATTAATTGTTCTTTGTGGCCATTCACTGAATTCACAATTTAGCTCTGTATAGAGCAATTTTTGGATTACCTTTGGGTATAATTTTTGAAATCACTTTGTAACAGATGAGTGAGGGAGGAAACACTATTACAGTATTTGTGATTTTTTCCAAAATTTGATGGCTAGCAAATACTACATACAGACAAGGTTAATGTGACATTAGGTCAGGGAAAAATTGGATATTAAATTTTAAATCTTCTCCTCGGGGAGACCTGCACTAAAGTTGTTAATTTGTGGGAAGTATGACCTCTACTGACCTGTTCCATGACCTCTGCGTCGAGGTCTTCAGTTGCTAGTGTGTAGGCAAGAGACAGCTTCTCCTGACTCAGCAGTGTGACAGGGTAGGAGAGGGAGTCGGACGACAGCGAGGAGATCAGACCACACCCACTTTCCCGTGAGAAGGGGCTGAAATGAGGAGTGAGTGAGTGAGTATGATTTGACGCCTCTTTTAGCAATATCCCAGCAATATTATGGCGGGGGACACTAGAAATGGGCTTCACACATTGTACCCATTTGGTGCGACAAGTAACCTCTTTTACCACCAGGCTAGCCCACAGCCCCTGAAATGAGGAGAATTAAATATATTGTATACAAATATGCAGGCCAAAATCAGACTTGGAAATATATGTTTTCGTCTTTCTCATTTATATAGAAAATGCATGCCCCACGATCGTAATTTTTTTAAAACCCTAAATATGTAAAATATATGAATCTAAATTTGTTTAAAATTCAAATAAACTGACATGATGATCTATACATAAGTGACTCATTATTGAAGTGACTCGTTTGTGACTGCACAAAATCTTACTGCAGCCAATGCTAGCATTAGATTTGTTGATGTATTAATGTTAACTAATCTAACCAAGAATTTGGAACATTCTTGTCATGTTGAAAACATGTTGAATTGAAAATTGTTGAAACAATCAACGGTGTCAATATCATTATGATAACTGATATTAAGCCATTTATCTGACTCTGATTTTATTATCGTTTGCCGGAGTTGGTCCGTTCAATTTACAAAATCTGGTCTGGCAACTTTCTAAATGGGTAGGCAACTTTTGTGAGTTGTCAGTCTCACTTCCTGGGTAGATTTTTTTGTGAATATTCAGCACTGCCTTTATCTTTGAACTGTTCTCGGACATCTACCATTATAAAATAGTAAATAGTAAATTCAGTTTTCCTTGTAAAAATGGAGTTTCACCATGTTCAAGGTATCCACACGTTTTTCTTCCATGATTTAATACAGAGTCGTGTTTGAAAATGTTGCAAGAGATATGTCTAGTTTGATTCCTATTTTCCAAACATATTCCTACTAGCAAGGATGAGGAGTCTTTGTCAGAAGCTGGGTACTGATGGCACTAGTCAGGATCTGGGAAATGGCAAATAGAAATGTGTGTATAAATAATTAAACATCCCTCATACCTCAAACATTTCCGAGGACTTATTCTTTTTTACAAACCCCAACCTTATCTCACTGTCAAATGATGTGACCCCATGGGATTCCTAGTAAGAACAGGTCCCCAGCAAGCTATGCTGGTCATATGAAGGAACCAAATGGATCAGGTGTCAGGGTCGTTGACTTGGTTCAATGCATGTCACTGTATCTCAAAGGTGTGGATCATTGCTCATAATATGAATCACTTGATTGTCTGGTCCAGACTCAAATACTGACAGGCCGTCGTCGTTTAGCAGGAATACTCCTGAGTACGGTGACAACAAACAAACAAAGTTTCAGCTGGTTTCTCAAAATGTCAAATATATAGGTACATTGAGTTTACAACAACATAACTCAAAACAATTACTCAAACATCACTGCAGTCATTAAGATGTAGAGTATTATCTAAGGTCAAAGAACAAAAACATGTGCTTCAGGAGTGATTGAGGTTTTATGCCGCTTTTAGCAATATTGCAGCAATATCACGATGGGGGACACCAGAAATGGGCTTCACACATAGTACCCATGTCGGGAATCGAACCCGGGGCTTCGGCGTGACAAGCGAATGCTTTAACCACTAGGCTACCCAACCGCCCACATGTGTTTTCGGAAAAATATTTGGACAAAGTTCTCAATTCAAAATATGAAAACTGAACATTCTACAGTGTTCTAGAACGTCTGGCCAGGACGTTATGGCTTTACTTCCCACTGACTATGAAAATGTCTCTTCCATTTCTAGCGTTTATCCCACAGAAGCGAGAAAAACAGCCACACAGCCCCTGTCATTCCAAATACCCTGTGGTAACCTTTTTGCATGATCAAAAATACACATCACTAAAGCGATGCTCTGATCGGATAAATAGTCGTTTGAGCTTGATATTTTGTTTTCATTTAAACCACAATGGCAGATTGAACTAAATAAGGCATATAAAACTTGAGAGATAGATACTTTTCATTATCAGTGGAGTCACTGTCGCTGGACTCTGGTTTGTCTTCCTTCTTGTTGGGGAGGATGCTGCAGTCATGGATGAGGAGAGACTTCCCCGTCGTGTTGTTGACTGCAACACAGATAAATAAAGGTCAAGGTTTCCTTAAGACAAGTACTCATAACAGAGAAAACACATACGAGTTGAGGTGAGTGAGTGAGTCGGGTTTAACTCCGTTTTTAACAGTATTCCAGTTATATCGCGGCGTGTCAGCTTAACTCTTACAACACCAGTCAACCAGAAGTGTTTACTGCTGGGACACCGAGTTCCCAGAGACTCTTGTGTGATAGATGAAGCCAACATTTATCAAAGAAAATACCTGCTTCTAAAATATATTTGCTACTACATGTTATACACCATTTGAAAAGTCTGATCCTATGGTTTATAAATATGAAAGTTATGTTTTTCACATTATTTAAAGTAATGCATTTACAACTTAATTAAATTTGTTGTATATAAAAAATGTACGCTGACACGTTGTTAACATCCAGATTAATGACCAAGGAAGCGAAAACGTGATGATTTTCGGCAAATATATGATTTCATAATATCCACGTACCTATTTCTGTTTTATTTTCATTGTTTACGTAATTGGAAAATCATTTTAAAAAGAATTATAAATAGTTTCTGTCATCACCCATTTCCCGATAACAGCGACTGTCCGCTCAGTAAAATGAAGAAATACCCCCGTTTTCGAGGTTTCGTATGAATAACACGTTCGTCGAAGAATGGCACATGACACATCGCTGGAAAGCTTATTCCTTCATCTACACGCTCGTAACATCGACTGTTTTTTTCCCGTAGTTATAACAAGCGATTTCATTGGATAAAAATTGGTTTCTAATGACACTTTCTTGCTGAAATCTGCTACAAGTTTCGTGATTGGTCAATTTTGAGCACGTGACCTAAGGCAGCCAATCAAATTACAGCTGTGATACCAAGCTCATGTACGATAAATTACAGAAGTTTGCGAAAGAAATTTGTTAAATCGTGTTATTCTGAACGTTTTGAGCAGGAAATCACGATATATATTAAAAATATGGAACTTCGTGAATGAATCGTGCTAGGTTACGAGCTGTGACAAAGATTTTTCATGCATATATTTTTCCATTAAACATCGTGTCCGAGCCGAGAATTCAAGGCGACGAAAGCCAAGATGTCATTTGACTTACATTACACGCGATTGCACGAAAAGATGGAAATAATAACTTAGATGTAAGTTTGATTACTTTTAGATATATTACTGTTGATTTTATTTATTACTTTGTATAATATATTTAAGGATTTGTTTAAAACGTCTTTATTTTCCTCTTTGACGTGTTCGATGTGGACCCGTTGTCGAAATGTGTGTCCGAGAATTTTATTTTCAATAACATCGCGGGAAATAGTGAATAATTTTTTAATTTAACGATAAAAAATGTTAAATTGAAATGGAATATGTATTTCAGACATTGTGAAATGTGATAGATTTAATAAATGAATGATATTACAGGTAGGTCCAAAAAAATATATACTATTTTGACAAGACTACGGATTGGCCGGATAACCGGCCTGCAGTGTCTGGGGACTCGATGCTTCTTGGCCGGATAACCGGCCTACGGTGTTGAAAGAGTTAATGTGGGAGGAAAGCACGAAGTGATGCAGGTCTCAGACGTTTACCACTTCATTGAAACCCACAAGCACGGGTATGGTGCTGACAAACCTAGAAACATAATCAGGGGTACAGGGATTCGAAACCACAATCATCGGTTTCTGGCGTGCCCAAGGGATGCAACTCTGCACAGCGAATTGTGGCACCTTAGACGACTGGGCCACAACCCCCCCACCCTCCCCCCCAGGGGATGGAATCACCGACATGCTGCTCTCCCGGGAGAGTAACCACTAGCTCACATAGACCACAGAGGTGGTAGCTTTCCCTATTTATCATAAAGACTAGTGATTTGAGTAAGTTCAGGTCTACTAAAGGAAATTTTCAGGCGCAAAAAAATTGGTTCTTAGACAATGGGTTTTGAAAATATAGTGCGGGCGGTGGATTTAAAAAAAAATTGTTATCTTCAAGATTTATTTACAATAATTTCGGCGAAATCACATTGTTTTTAAGTATTGTAGCATTTTGGGGTTTTTTTAAATGGAAATAAAACGAAACTACGGAAGCCTTTTAGGGCCATTTGGTTTTTTTGGTTTTTTTGATACTATCTTGAAATTTCAAGATAGTATCTTGAAATTTCAACTTAGTATCTTGAAATTTCAAGATAGTATCGAAAAAAATAAAAAAACAAATGGCCCTAAAAGGCTTCCGTACATACACATGGGGCAGACTTTATGATTTTGCAGGCTGTACCTGAGAAACAAGACTATTATTTTCTTTTTAGACTAAACCAGAAGACGCTTTACTAGACTCCTGCAGCATTTGTTCAATGTGACTTTGAGTAGCTATTTCATGTGAATCGGTGTACATTTGACAGATTTATAAATATGACACACAGCAAGTTTCTTTGATAGGTCGCTAATTATTTTTTACCCCTGAAACCCATTCAGGCACCGCCCGCATCATCATAAAGTTTGCTGCATGTTTTGTTTTTATTTCCATTCCTTAAATATTCCAAGTCCAACAGTAATCAAATAGATTATTCCAGTATTTTACTCAACAAGGAATACATTTATGTAGGGAGGCCCTTTCCCAGGTTGATTGTACACAATTGTTTATTGATTACACAACTGTTTATTTGGTTACATACTAGTTTGAACTACCACAAACACACAAAAAACACCGCCCGCCAGCACTATATTTTCAAAAACCATTGCCTGAGAACCAAATCATTTATTTTGTCAAGCTTCAATTACAAGAACATAATCTGACAGATCTGCTGTTCTGCTTACTCTGTAGAAGCAGGAGTTGTCTCCCCCCTGCCGAAACATGCTTCATGGCCAGGACAGGTGGGTTGATGACGGTCAGCTCCTTGCTCACTGAAAACAAAAAACAGATCTCAGCTCTCTTGTTTCTGTGCTGGTCGGTTCTTGGGTCATGGTTGTATCACATGCCTCAAAGATCAATTACAACATGGGGCAAATAATTCCCAAAATGATTCTTTAACTGTATTATCATCCTAGTCTTTGAAAGCAACTAACGTACTGAAAGAGCAAAATTAGATGGAGGTTTGACTGCAATATGGTGACCAACTATGAGATAAGGGACCTTTTGGGTGAAAATCACATTTTGGCTTCTTAAAGGGGAAGTGTACACGCAAAAATCACTTTCTTTCTTATTTTAAAGAAAACGGAATTTTAGAATTAGTTAGTACCTGTGTTTGAAAATATACACTCATTTTTTTCACAGTGAAAGTAGGAAGCTCACAATAGTGTGAAAATGATATGCCGTTATGAGGCCTTCGTTTTTCGAGCTAAACAGGCCTGAGTTATCCCCCTTAGATTATGACGTAATTGGTGCCAATTCAACTGGGTCCCTGTCTATTCTCAACGCAAAAGATATCAAGTACCAGTTTGCGGTTAAACAACATGGCCTACGTCACACTCCCACGCAGTGGTGACTCAGCATAACACTATGCTGGCTGGCATCTGAGACGCTAGAATCACACACCTAGACCTACACCACGTGAAGCGGCTCTAACAAAGCATGATGACGTCATAATGTTTATCAATTGGCACCAATGACGTCATATTGCAAGGGGCATAAGCCATGGTGTTTTTGTTGTGGAAATAGAACACTTGGTAAATGTGAAAAATATAAATCGTTTTAATGTGAAAAATATGTTAATTAATTGTGATATTTTTATATTTTTGTCTATGACACTTCTAGGTTAACACTTTTAATGTGGAAAAAGTACAAGAAAAATAGGTTAATTTCCGTGTGAACTTGCCCTTTAATGTATTTTAAAACCACGGTATCTTAGGACCATGAAAATACAATTTATAAGCTGCAATTCATATTACAGAGATGCATAGCATCAAACATTTGGACTCATTTTCTGCAAAGTCCCATTTTCAGACTTTTCATCATGATCATGCTTGCAACTGTTTATGGTTTAATTGCAGATTTTAGATACTGTAAATCTTTAAGTTAACGTGAGCGTGAATTAAATGTGAGGGGTCTTTGTTCGCATTAATTAACTTCCCATTTATGTCCCCCAGATGACATTCAACAATAAGACGGCCTCACTGCATATTTTGGATAGCGGAAATACAAACTTGAATATAAGCACAAACATGGTTTATTGAGCAACCCTGTAAAATGTACATAACAATGTCATTCAAAGAATAGGAATACAACAATGGGCATCTGCAAGCCAATCAGTGAACTGTTGTTGGTTCAATTATTTTATTGCCTTTAAACTTTGTAAATGCCAGTCGACAGAATAAACACATAAATAGCGTGTTGCTTTAAGGAAAACACTGTTTATTGTTTTTACAGGCATGCTCTACTCAGTGCTAATAAGCGGTGCTATTTGCAGTTTGATTGGATTAAGATGAGGCTGGATTTAGGTAAGGATATGTATCATTCCACTGGGGATGGGGTGGGGGAGTTGCATTGATATTGAGTCACATTTTTGGCTGGAGACGCATTAATTTCCAGATTTACAGTATAAAATCTGATTAATTGAAGGTAGATGTGTATGCTGATAAGTTTGGAAATAACATTGATATTAAATTACAAATTAACGAGAAATAAATGAGATATTTTTTACCATGTTTACAGTTCGCACACATGACCTTTTATAACGGAAGTAAGTTGACGACAAAGGTCCCTCTTTATGATGTCACAGCACAATTGTTTCCTAGCTCCCATAAGATCCTTTTCTCCAGGTGAGTTACAATTGTTAAGTACTGTCTTGTGCATAATTCCTTAAATCCATTGCAATAAAACAGACTAAAGGAAAAACTTGTTCACTTCAAATGTCTCGTCAACATCACTTGTTTGAGGTAGGCAGGTAATTAACATATATTATATCTTCAGTCTGTGATCTGTGAAAACTATTTGGGATGACTAACATGGCTAACGCCACCATTATTTACAATTTAACCCTTCTTATTCGGACACTTGTGTATTTCATGGAATTATCCGGATAAAGAAATGTCTGGGTATGTGAATCAGTTTGTAAACTGACCAGAGTTAGCTCCCCTACTTAACGCAACATGTTATACAACAAACAGCTCACTTACAGAATGTTAAACACACACATTCTCTTCATACAAGTAAAAACAATGAATGAGAATAACACTTGGCTGACACCTTACCCTGTCAAAGGAAAGGAACCAATCGCAGAAGAGGTTGGAGGTCAACCATGCCAAAGGGTTCTTCAGAAAGTGTGCATACTCTCTTAAGTCACTACCACAACTGCATGGTCGTCTTGCGTGTTAATTGATGACAAAAACTCAAGCTTCACCTTAGTGTCAAATTCCTATCTGATACTTATTTCCTCATGAAAATTGGATTAAGTAAGTGAGTATGGTCTTACGCCGCTTTTAGCAATATTCCAGCAATATCACGGTGCGGGACACCAGAAATGGGCTTCACACATTGTACCCATTTTTGGAATCAAACCAGGGTCTTCGGCGTGACGAGCAAAAACTTAAACCACTAGGCTACCCGACCACCCAATTGGATTAAGGGCCAATCTACGTGATCTATCATTCCAAACTGTGCTTTGTTAATGCGTTCAAGAACACATGCACCCCCCAATCTTCCGCTTTACCGGGCAGATGCTCCACCACTAGACCACCGAGGCAGTCTGATATTGACGGCACCTGATACTGAATATTGAATGTACAGAAAGATTTCTTAAAGACATTGCATTCACTGCAATAATTTCACACATATTAAAGTCCTCTTTATTGGCCCTGTTATCAGTGATATACAAGTCACCTCTATAAAGGCAAAAACCACAGGATAACATGAATTGGGGAATGTTTAATTCCATTTTGCGTATTTTTGCTGCCAACTTGGGAACGAATATCAGCCTCTAAGCTAGTCTAGATAAATCCCTTATTCTTGTGTTAAGTTGCAATGTCACAAGATAGAGGCAGGAGCCCCCTTCCACAACATGCACAAAGAAATCTTAGCATGGAGACAAATGGAACTCCCAAACTTTACTACAGGTTTATGACAGTCGTAGCCCTAGGATCACTTTGTGGGACTGGGACCTGGAAGTGATGAATGGAGTTTCAACCAACCTGTTTTCTCCTGCACCGTCTTGCTCTTGAGGTAGAAGCGAGTGGCTTTTTAAAGAAATAAACCACCAAAGTAAGTATTTATGTTTGTTCTTTGCAGGATGCGATTTAATTTTTCCAATCAAAAAGCAGCAAAATTACGTATACAACATAATTTTGATGATCGATAGTAGTATAGGTAATGGTGATTCTGGACCACTTCAACTAGGATCACTTTGTGGGACTGTGGCCTTGAAGTGATGAATGGTGTTTCAACCAACCTGTTTTCTCCTGCACCGTCTTGCTCTTGAGACTGACAAAGCTGTGGAGCTGGAAGTCTTTCTTGGCCTCCTGGTCCGGTGTTGGCTTCGCCGGTGATGCACACAGCCAGACTGTGACACTGAACAAAACTTTCTGGTCATTGCAGGGGGTGGAGAGATTGTTCAGGACTGTTTGTAGAGGGAGGATGAATGTGTTGTCATTGAAGAAATATGGCTTCACGATCTGAAATTATTGAAAAGAAGATAATTGTTGTTTCCAAGGAGCAGTACCTTGACAATGACTATAACCATGGTCATTACATTTGCAAAACACCATTGATCCTGTTTTAGTGTTCATGATTTTTACATGAAGCCAAGCTGCTTGTACTGGATACTGTTACCATGGTTACTTGTGTTCCAATTAACATTATTAATTAAAATACTGTATTCAACGTAATAAGCACCCCGCTCCAATAAGCGCCTAGGGTGATATTTGTTAATATATTGGCTAGTGAACCATCCCAATTAGCACCCTTCCAACTGATCACTGTACACAAGACTTATTTATTTGCGTATGATACACACTCGTGTGTTATATGCACCCTTAATTATGGGCAATTTAATTCTGGAAAAATATATCTGTCGTACATAAACATTTCAGGTTGTCAGCTTAAACCACAGAATTTATCTTTCAACTCTGTTTTTTCCACCAAAGTAAAATTCTCATAAGAGCCCCCTATTCCCAATTTTGAGAGCGCCCTGGGCGCTTATTACGTCGAATACAGTAATCAAAGACTGATCACAGTCTAAACGACCGAGCAATCAAACATGATTTTCCATCTCACTCCTTAGTTAGTTTTGTTTCAGGAGAAGGCTTATTTACTACTTTCTAATTCAATTCAAAATGAGAAGGGTAGAAGCGAGTGGCTTTTTAAAGAAATAAACCAACAAAGTAAGTATTTATGTTTGTTCTTGGGAGGATGTGATTTAATTTTTCCAATCAAAAAGCAGCAAAATTACGTATACAACATAATTTTGATGATCGATAGTAGTATAGGTAATGGTGATTCTGGACCACTTCAACTGGAGCCAGATTTTTATACCTATACTGATACTACAGGGGGGATTTTTTATGTGTAAATGATGATCAGTCGCAGACGTAACGTGTACGCGTGACGGCTCTGCCGTCTCTTGTACGCGAGACAGGTGCGGTCCGCAGTACTCAGTGAAGCGCTTGATACTAATTAATTCAATCACCGTGGCTGTGCTGTCACCCGCGACCTCCGCGAAAGTAATTAAAGCGCTATGTAAAATCACCCACTGCCGAGAGGGACCACAACAATCCACCCAAGGTCGTGACTGGCGGGTCACGTGCGCATCAGGGCATCCGCCTTCCTATTTTCACATACCCTATTTTCGAACAGTTAAAACATGTCAACATGTCATTCTGGACTGGATACACTTGAAAGTGTACACGTCGAAGCTAGCGACCAGTTATCGCCATTTTTTCATGTTATTTCTGGCATATTCCGTGTATACTCTGACCTCGTGATACCGCCGCATTCATCGTATCGCGGCATTTGTGATTTCCGGTCGCTCACGCGGGACACGCCTTTTAGCGGGTGTCTGTTATGACAATCAGTAACCAGGAAGTGCTCGCTCCATAAACAATTTCAATTTCCTCGGAATGTTCCGTCTGCTGCAAGTTAGGGATCATATCGCATACTTACTTCTGGTATCTTTTTATTTTTTTATTATTGCCTTACCCCCATCTATCAATGGACAGCGATATGACCGGCAGTTTCCCAAATAAACTTTCTCTCTCGACCTGAACTAGCTCATCTACATATTCATGGCGACTAATAAGGTAACGGAAGTTACGTGGCCCGCACATTTCCCCGCGCTGTGGTCAGGATATATTAGGAGATAATTAGGGCCAAAATGTCATACTTAGCAGTACTTTCTTCACTAGTAGCCAAATCATATATACATACTTTTGGCATAACAGGAGTGCTTTATATATATTTTTAACATGTTTCCATTTTTTTACAATTTATTTTCATCCAATGTTTATCCCCAAAAATCTTAAAATATCATTTCTGATATTTTATTAGTTTTCAATATTTTGTTCTAACTTTTCAGTTACTTTTCAGGAAATATGCTTTGAATATGTATTAATGATAACACATTCAGAATTTGACTTTGGACAAATCACTGAAGTCTGACATCACCATACTTATAACACGAATAATCATAAATGTTAGTGAGTGCCATTTGTTCCGTTTATGACAAGTACCACGAAACCCGAGGCTGCAGGCTACAAAGTTGAATGTACCAATAACTTTAATTTTTGTGAAACTGTGAGCATATGCGCTTTCTTGAATAAGATTCAGTTGATTTCGGTTATAGGGTTACAATGTCTGTCTGTGCTACGATAGGGAACAGTGGAAACTTTACCGGTGACTTATTGTACCAGCTCTTGCAATCGCCTTACAGCACGTGATCACGTCCACAGTTCCAGTTTACAAATTACATTTTGGGGATATTTCAGTTATCGCACTCAATATTATTTTAATTCACCAAAATTAATAAGAAATGCTATTATCAATTTGTTCTTTGCAAACTGACAATATTCCCCAAATTCGATCTTGCTTATCCCTATGTGTACCTCAAATCGATTTCAGAATTGTATTTTGAGGAAGATAGGAAGCAATAACAGAACTGAAAGGGAATCAGCTACTGTCGCGTGAATTAGTCACGTGACACCACAGACATGTCTTTTCTAAAGTTGTATTGAGCAAGGTGATTATGGCGGATTTTGAAAAATATTTGTGCACAAGAGTCCTTTTGATCATTGTTTTCGGATAAATATTTCTCTCCTCTGATGAAAACTAAGACTCTCAAAACTAAAATGAGATGCAACCACGTGCGCGCTATAACGGTTAGCGATAATTGTTCCTCGGCGATATAACAAGAAAAACTATCAAAATGTCCGATCACGTGATATACAATTTAGCCTTTTGTGGCAGTGGAGAAACGCTTAGTCATCATGATAAATCCGCCTGATTGCGGTTCGCTCTATACTTGCTGCGCCAAACGACACCTATCTGAGCAGCAGCCACATTGACGTGTTTTTGTTGTCGATTAGTGTTTACACGATCATTATCATATTATGCGCAGTATCCTATATTTTCTGTTGTGCTTGGCATTGTTTTATATGCAGATATTAAAATTACCGCATGTATTTTCTCGTAACTTATAGGCCGGAAATAGCATCAGCTCACATCTACCTGTTCGTCAGCGGTGTTTCTGGAAATAAATCTGTTCATTGATGCACGATTCGTATATCTGAAAAGTATTGAATGGAATATTCAATCGTGTAATAACAGGATTTCCGGTGTTATGCTAATTTGCATCTTGTGATTACGCGATCTAATTGAAGAGGCGCCGGCGAGACGACTGACCCGCGTTTTGTTGTCCTCATAATAAAGTGATGAGAATAGAATAGAATACTACAATGATGAAAGCGCTTATAGCAAAATAACGGGTACAGAGAGAACCCGTGTGTATTGTCAACGACAATGTTTACGATAGCGAATGGTTAATACCTGAGCTTGGCTGCTCACGTGTCAACAGTCAGCCTATCAAAATGCGCGTTGTTAAACGACAATATACAACTGAAGGCAATTGGTGCTGGTACCGTGTTCTCAAATTACAGCCTCAATTACACAGGGACAGTGACAGTGATTAACTATAGCACAGTATTTGCTGCAAGAACTTTGATAGTAGGCTCGTTAAAAACAAAGAAGGTGCTAACAGTATAAAATATATTTCGTTTGTAAAAGTCTGGAGGATTACTATTTATACGTATCCCCTCGAGAGACCCGAAAGTGACCGAAATACGATTCCCGCACCAATTGATGCCCCCTCCCATATATATTTTTTAACTGGTGGTGTAATGACAGCAGACGAAATTGAATTATGTTCTTGTATGAACACAATTGAAAACAGGCAATGATAATGTATAGCATTTCGTATTTAATCCCGTATTATCAGTAACATGACAATGTCTGAAATAATATAAATATAGACGAGTGCATATTTTAACACGATACAGCTGTATATTGATCGATCAGAAGGGGATTAGCCAGTGTGAGCCAGTCGGTGGTCAGACTATGCCCACAACTAAGCGGTTTTAATCACCTGCATCACATGTAGGTCCGTGCTGTTTCATATTGAATATATGTTGTTACCGTTTAGCAATTACTATTTATGAACAAATATCCATGCACGACGTAGTGGTTGATGTCATGTAAACTAATGCAACTGTTCAACAATTGTTAATTCATTCGTCATATTTAGATTTGTCAAGCGTGAGCATAACCGTTTATTCATCCACACTAGACTAAAGTTATGGATCTGCTGACGAAAAGGTTTTCGTCCTTAGTTCAATATGTGCATTCTTTCCGTGGACCTACTGGATGGGGATCCGAAGTTTTTCCAGTCACTACACACGCGTCGGTGTATCCTGTAGTGGTATTTTCCACAATTTATGGGTAAGTAAGGAACTGTAGCAGCGTACTAGTTCAATTTCTATTCCGCTACCAAACTTTATTTTAAAAGCGCATGCGTGTAACCAGAAACGTTAGACGGATGGCATGTTATGCTACAACAAATATACTACTGATAATAGTTGATGTCATTGATTCGACGGGATTTGGGAATATAACATATGCCGAAACAACTCGACTTACCCTAATGGTTACTCGACAGTTCTGAGGCTTGCGAAGTAAAGATGAAACCCACACTTGTGGAACATGCAACCGTTCAAAGATATCATAAATTTTCATAAATGGTCTACAAACAGCTATACACACAGCATTCGATGTATTCGAAATAACTGAAAAACAGGTATTCATCAATTGGATGAAATCGACATGTCTTTTTTATTCTGCAGATATCATGCTTTCCGGGTATAACCACCAATCGCCTTGCCGTTGAACAAGATGAAGATTCACCAAGAACCGGGCAACCAATTCGACACCTCAGCCATCAACTGCTGCTACCAGATGGACAATGTGTGGGTTGGGTCCCAAAGACCTGGCGTCATCACGTCAGCGATGAATGAAGGATCTCTGCAGAACGCTACCCCGTTCTTTCACGATAAATTTAGTGCAGTAAATACACCACGGCAGTGGTCCAAAGTTAATCCCTTTTAAGTCTCCAACAGGCACACGCTTGATCAAAAACCGAAAACTGGCAGGATTCCAGAAGATGACTTGTACTGTTGAGACAGACACACATGTATATTATCATGATTTTTTTGTCATTGTATATTTTTATGAATAAATAAGTCTTGGGAACAGTTGTGTCAATTACTATCCTCTGATAATTCCATTATGAAAGAACATGTAACCGGTGCTTATGCAGATTAGTTAACCTCAATAAGTGTCAATTCCAATCCAAGTTGAATCACTACTCGCACCAATCGGCAGCATATCAGGGACGTGTATACTGATTTCGCTTAGCAACTCGAATCACACATGTGGGTAGGCTGTGTCAGCCATATCCAAAGGAAGCCAACGAAATTTATACAAGCACGGTTTCTGCGAAGTCTTTGATAGGGATATATAATGGTTTACATCGCTTTAGCATAAATGACCTAATAAAGTATAAATAAATCAATCTTTGGTGGGGGGGGGGGGGGGGGGGTTGGGGGGTACAAACCCACAAGCAAATCCAATTTTATATTTACTTTACCGCATCTATGGGGTATGGTGTTAGTAATGAAAAAAATATATATTTGGAATTGTATATTGTATTTGGAAATATACATTGTATGCGCGCACACAGCCAGTCCTCCACAGCCAAAGGGCCATGTATAGGTACGGGGAGGGACCTGTAGGATTTATGACCACCTCAAATTGCACTGAATATACAGGCAGTCTCGGCAATTAGGTAAAACAGGTGCGATGCAGTAGTATATTCTATATAGTAGTGTATTCTGCATGCGTGATAGGCCGTTTGGACCAGATTATATAATTTCCTGTCCACCTGTGCTCGGGTATATTTTGTGTATAAAGAAAGTTTATCGTGTCATACATGTTCCAAGACATCATCTCCCAAATTAATGTATATTCTGTCCTGAATATTGATCTGACAGTCATTAAAAGTGCCGATACGTCGATCGTTCGCGAGGCAAGATTGACAAACAATTGCCGATAACCCCCGAGCTCACTCGGCCATGCTCGCCTTATTTTCACCCCCCACTGCGGTTGTGCAGGGTATCACGTGATCGAACCTTTCTCTTGTTAGAAAACTAACGCACCTATTCTGAAATAAGAGTGAGCGAATTAATTTTTAACGTCGAATCGGTATTATTTCAACCATATGGCGACGAGACCAAGTTAATATGTTTACATTTTGAACAGAGGTGCCTAATGCATGCCTTTCGGACCGTTTCAAATATTCTTTTACATAATCATATAGAGATGCTAATTAAACTGCGACAGTGAGGTGCATGACAAACACCATGCAAAATGACGCCAATTATTCGTTAGTTTTGATGTTAAACTGTTCGATAACAAGTATTACAACAGTCAATAACTACATATGTTTGTTTTTATGGACATCTGTAATCTATGGATGTTGACCAGGCAGTCACGCCTACAAGTGACTCTCTCTCAGGCCGTGTTTCACTGCTTGTTCGGAGAGCAGTCTCTCGTACGCGTAACGGGGCTGTGGGACGACTTGTTTAGCAATTGCAAGCAGTTTGAGGAAAGTAGATATGTTTCAACGCGCTGGCACATAGGTGTGCATTCGTGTGCCTGAATAAGTATATATATGTTGTTACACTACGACGAATAAGCTTTAAGAAAATACTGAAATTATGTATCTGAAAAATATGCACATAGGAGAAAATCCCTGTCCAAAATCGGCAAATTTGGCTCCAAATTTATTTTTCTACTTTGTATATTGTTCGATAACAAGCATCTAACAGTCAGCTACGTATATTTGTTTATATAATCACATAGGAAGCGTTTAGAGACATTTTTTGGTGTGTTACATGCAGACATCTGTAATCCTTCGACAGGCAGTCACGCCTACAAGTGACTCTCTCTCAGGCCGTGTTTCACTGCTTGTTCGGAGAGCAGTCTCTCGTACGCATAACGGGGCTGTGGGACGACTTGTTTAGCAATTGCGAGCAGTTTGAGGAAAGTAGATATGTTTCAAAGCGCTGGCACATAGGTGTGCGTTGGTGTGCGTGAAATAATGTATATATGTTGTTACACTACGACGAATAAGCTTTAAGAAAATACTGAAATTATGTTTCTGAAAAATATGCACATAGATGAAAATCGCTGTCCAAAATCGGCAAATTTGGCTCCAATTTCGTACATTTCTCTCCAAATTTGACTCCTTTAATTTATGTTTCTACTTTGTATATTGTTCGATAACAAGCATCTAACAGTCAACTACGTATATTTGTTTATATAATCACATAGGAAGTGTGTAGAGACGTTTTTTTGGTGTCACATGCAGACATCTGTAATCCTTCGACAGGCAGTCACGCCTACAAGTGACTCTCTCTCAGGCCGTGTTTCACTGCTTGTTCGGAGAGCCGTCTCTCGTACGTGTAACGGGGCTGTGGGACGACTTGTTTAGCAGTTGCGAGCAGTTTGAGGAAAGTAGATATGTTTCAACGCGCTGGCACATAGGTGTGCGTTGGTGTGCGTGAAATAATGTATATATGTTGTTACACTACGACGAATAAGCTTTAAGAAAATACTGAAATTATGTTTCTGAAAAATATGCACATAGATGAAAATCGCTGTCCAAAATCGGCAAATTTGACTCTTTTAATTTCAATATTGTATGTGCATTACTCATTTTTTTACAGAAATACTTTGTTTTCCAACAATTTTACTTCCACCTAAAAATATATTACCCACTGCAAAATTGTTTTTCTAAAACGTGATCAAAATACATTTCCTCCTTGTTCTAACCACGAAACTACGCGCTAAATAAATATCGTGCATATTACACGCATCATTCTGATTCAGACACATTTAGTGTAACAAGACGGATGTTCCGATTGAACATTTTAGTCAGGCATCGGTTACCTCCCTTTATCGGCTTGTCGACCAGTCACTTGTACGCGAGACGGTTCGCGCAGTTTCGAAGAAAGTAAACATGTTTCAACGCGATGGAAAATGGGTGTGCGTTGGTGTGCGTGAAATAATTTATATATTTTGTAACTCTACGATGAATAAGCTTTTAGAAAATACTATGTGTTAGTTTCTGAAAAATATGAACATAGGAGAAAATCGCTGTCAAAAACAGAACATTTTGCTCGATTTTTACACATTTTTCTCCCAATTTGACCGTTTATTATTTTTCTTATGACATTTTTTTCATGTCATTCGATAACTAGTCGGATAATCAATAACTGTACTTAATTTTGTTTTATTATTTTCACAAATAACGCTTGTAGAGACATTTTTGTGCAACATGCAGAAATCCATGGTCCACTGACAGGCCGTCACGCATACGAGTGACCCCTCTCAGGTGGTCACTTGTACGCGAGACGGGAGAGCCGTTACGTCCTCTACTGATGATGCGATTTAACGATAGTCATGAGATTCAGCTAAATTGGCTCTAGCTCACCAACATAAACCTGGCTCCAGTTGAAGTGGTCCAGAATCACCATTACCTATACTACTTCGATCGATTTTGATTGGACATAATCATGATAATAAATACTTCTGAACTTGCTGTTTCTGTTCAAATTTTTCTCCTGTATGATTGTCTATAGGACTCTGTGACTGAAAAACCTCAAACGACAGGTAGGTAGTTTGTCAATATTTCAATAGCTTCAGTCTGTAAAACATTCTGTCTTGACTTAATGGGCAAAAAGTTTATTTATACCATTTCTGACAGTACTTTAGTACGACTACGACCTGAGAATAGCAATGCAAAACAAAACATTGATCTACATATTATTAATCCTGCATGAAGTCTATGAAAATTAATATAGGGAATATCTAATATAATAAATTCTGTCACAAAGGTAGGGCACAAAGTAAGCTAAGATGGCTTCATAGTGCATACTAAAGATTCGTGAACGATGATAACAGAAAGAAAAACACTGAATTATAGAAACCAAAAGGAAATACTGCTTACCAGAGAGCTGGTTGGTTGTGCTGACAAGGGTTGTCTGTTAAAAATAGCTGTGTTGTATGTGGCAGAAACTGAACAAGTTACAAAAGAATCACTGCCATTATTTGATTTCGCAGCTGTTGCCTTTTTCTTGGGGCTGTTATTGATCTGCCCAAAACAGCAGTGCCCGGCGAGCTGTGTTATCCGTCGTTTCCACGCTTCTTTCTGATTTTCGTTGGGGCAAGTGACAATTATTGCACTTTCAACTGCTTCTCCTACATATATTGCTTTCTTGTCACACAGATCTTCGAGGGAATAGTTTTCAATATTTCCATTTTGAGGAAAAACCAGCTGCACGTTTCTTAAATCCCCCTCCTCATCCTCCATTGTTATGACCGGAAGTGGAAGTCTGAAAATGTATTTTGCGTAAGAGGTATTTTGTTCTCACCATGACACTTATTAGAACATGTATTTAGCTTCTCAGACTCAAGAATGGCGGAGGTCATTAGCAATTATGGAAATTGTCTTCTTTGTATGTATCTACTCAATTCTACTCCCTCTCTCTCTCTCTCTCTATCTCTCTCTCTCTCTCTCTCTCTCTCTCTCTCTCTCTCTCTCTCTCTCTATCTCTCTCTCTCACACACACACACAAACATTTCTGACAGTCGATGCAGTCGGCCAGTCGTTTTTATTGTTAAAAAAAAAAATCATACACGTTATTACTGATGTGCAAGTAAATACATACATATATTATATACATATATATATAGAGAGAGAGATAGACATACGTATATTGTTTGAATACAAAACATATTAACGGGGTAATACCTACCGATTCAAGTTGTATATCCAACAAAACCACGTGAATGAGTCTCAGTGTCCCCGTTGGAGTATAAGATGGACTAAAACTATATAGCTGTCCGTTCTCAAACCAGACGACCCGATGTATAAGTGGTTGGGTTTTCTCAGCTTAAGTATTTAAGGAGACGTCTTCTACCAGACAGGTATACGCGTGTTTTCTTTGTTGTGTCTAGGTGTCATGAAGTGTTTTTCTTTGACCTTTATAATTTATGAAGTGTTGAGTAAGAACGGGAGATAATGGATGACTCCCTCTCCTAAATGCCATCAATCAACGTGTTTGACATCACTGATTGGCTTAATCACTGCTTGTACAAACAACTTGCGAAGCAGTGGTATTGTCACACAAGTAAAAGCGACTGTCTGCATGACGTCATACAAGTATGTAGCTGTCGTCCATGGCATCCAAATGACATTACATAAATAATAAAGAAATATATGTCGTTTATGGATCATCGTGTATTAGTACTCCCCACACTCATAAAACATCACTTATCCAAGGATAATATAATAAAACATCACTTATCCAAGGATACGTATAATAAAACATCACATATCCAAGGATACATATAATAAAACATCACTTATCCAAGGATACATATAATAAAACATCACTTATCCAAGGATACATATAATAAAACATCACATATCCAAGGACACATATAATAAAACATCACATATCCAAGGACACATATAATAAAACATCACTTATCCAAGGAAGGATACATATAATAAAACATCACATATCCAAGGACACACATAATAAAACATCACATATCCAAGGATACATATAATAAAACATCACTTATCCAAGGACACATATAATAAAACATCACATATCCAAGGACACATATAATAAAACATCACTAATCCAAGGATACATATAATAAAACATCATTTATCCAAGGACACATATAATAAAACATCACTCATCCAAGGACACATATAATAAAACATCACATATCCAAGGACACATATAATAAAACATCACATATCCAAGGATACATATAATAAAACATCACTTATCCAAGGACACATATAATAAAACATCACATATCCAAGGACACATATAATAAAACATCACTTATCCAAGGATACATATAATAAAACATCACTTATCCAAGGACACATATAATAAAACATCACTTATCCAAGGACACATATAATAAAACATCACATATCCAAGGACACATATAATAAAACATCACTTATCCAAGGATACGTATAATAAAACATCACATATCCAAGGACACATATAATAAAACATCACTTATCCAAGGATACATATAATAAAACATCACTTATCCAAGGATACACATAATAAAACATCACTTATCCAAGGATACATATAATAAAACATCACATATCCAAGGATACATATAATAAAACATCACTTATCCAAGGACACATATAATAAAACATCACTTATCCAAGGAAACGTATAATAAAACATCACATATCCAAGGATACATATAATAAAACATCACTTATCCAAGGACACATATAATAAAACATCACTTATCCAAGGATACATATAATAAAACATCACTTATCTCAGGATTAATGTATATAATATAAGACACAAGTTGGTTTAAACATATTTTTATTTCAACACATACGTGTATGATGAAATGGGGATTGGTAAACAAGCAACAATGCCTATATACATACCGCTCCCGATGATGACATATACACATTGGCAATTTTAATACAGAAATTAAAAAACCCACGTACAATATAATAGAAAGGTATAACTAATGCACAGTTCATGTACCACTATAGAAGTTGGTATTACCAGAGACCATATAATTATATGGTCTCTGGTATTACTATTAAAGACTAAGTAAAATATTACTTCCTTAAACACAGGGAAATGCATTCAAGAGAGAACTGACAAAAGGTATTCTCATATTAATAGAAAGCCTTTAAGTTTCACTAACAATCGCTTTAGTAAAGTGAACATTTTTGTTCATTTAATGATATGTGGAAATTTAGAATTGCGAGGGAAAGGATATGAGTTAATATTTTTGTTGTTCGTTTAAAGTGCGATATTCACGCACAGACTATAGCTGTGAGAAAGTACCATCCAAGGGACATAATCCACACATCATGGCGCACGTTTCGTTAAATTCGTTTTTACAGTCGGTACGATTATGATTTAGTTGTAGATTCCGATGTTTATTCGTGTCGTTTTACAAATGTCAAGGTTCAACTCTTAATGGAGTGTAAATGTCATCTATATTTTAGAGTTGAGACTCTTATGGGTATTTTTTTCACTTTTTGGCTCCCCATTTTCAGATTGTCATTGCGAAGATTTTAAAATCAAAACTCGCCGAGCAGTGAGTAAACAAGAAAAGCATAATGTTTTGGCAACTCTGCATTTTACAGAAATGCAGCGCAAACTTGCATGTCGAGATGGAAGAAATCAGTCATCAGTCAACTAAATTTGTTCCTATGACAATTTTCATAAATAACCCATATTTCCAATTTGATTTTTTCAGATTGACTATGCTCTACAAAACAAAGATGGATTATCAGCCGGGGTATGTATAGCTTCAACATATTCAGAGGGAAGTGTACACATATTGTTATTGTGGAAAAAATCTTCAATGCTCCATTTACAAGAGAATCACTAATTCGCCTGGATTCAAGGAGACAATAGATCGGGTCTACTAGATTGGTCAATTGCTTATACCCATTAATGTTCTACCCATAAAGATCTGGGTTGGAATTCGTCTTCAGCAACCCATGCTTGTCATAAGAGTTGACTATGCTTGTCGTAAGACGTGACTGAGAGTGAGAGGTGACTATCGGGTGGTCAGGTTCAGTGACTTTGTTGATGCAAGTCATCATATCTCAATTGTGTAGATCAATGCTCATGATGTAAATGACTGGATTGTCTGGTCCAGACTCACTTATTTACAGACAGCCGTCATTTTGCTGTAGTGAGTGGGTATGGTTTAACACCGCTTTTAACAATATTCCAGCGATATCACGGCGGGGGACACCTTAAATGGGCTTCACACATTGTACCCATGTCGTGAATCGAACCCGGGTCTTCGGCGTGAAGAGCGAACGCTTTAACCACTAGCCAATTTTTTTATATTTTTTTTTCTGTAATATTGCTGAGTGTGGCTATTAACAACAAACAAACAGAAATACTTCACTTTGATAAAATAGGTCATCTGCTATTTCTGCTTGCCACTGGCCAAAGGATCAAGATATAGGATGGAAATTGTGTAAATTAGAAGAGCATCTTTGTACCTGTTAAATGAATCTCTCATTGTGCCTACCTGACCTATGTGAACAGTTTACTCATTGATGTTTGCAGGAGCTTTTGTCATTTCAACACGCCCACATTGCAAGTCCTCGGTGCCAGTTGGAACACCCAGAGTCCCAGGTGCAGAGGGTCCTGGATTCCCCCTTTGATGAAATGGTAGCAGCCCACGTCAGGTAGAGTACTGTTGGTACTGATACCCATGTCATTGGGCTGAGAGGGGTCCGGTGAAAGTCAACTCGTCCCATGTCAGGATCTGCTGGTCAAGTTTCAGTGCAGGTCCCAGTCATGCTACTTCTCCTTCCAGTGTTTGAGGAATACACTGCTACTGTATGGGAGGGACAGATACATTTAAGTCCAGGTCAAGGTTGGAGGCACCAGTACTCAAGTACACCAGTACTCATTCTTTCTTCTCATCAGGCCCCGTTCCATAACAATCTCATTAAACTCAGATCCTAGTTCTCCCTACCGCTAAACAAAGATCTGAGGACATCCAATTAGGGGTTAGTCACAACGACCTTTCATCCGACCACACAGAGCTTCGCTTACAAGATCATGAATGTGACAGTCAGAATGTGATTTCTAATCATGCAACCTCGATAAACTTTAACACGGGGTGTTCCGAACGATAGTTAGAGGCTTAACGACTGAATCCATACAATCTAGACTATCTATTTGCCATTTCAGAATGTTCTTTTGTTTAGATTTCAAATTTTTAATCAAGAATTTGTCAAAATATGTTTCGAAGCGTAGTCGCCAATTTGAAATTAGTGCCATAAAGCAGGAGAAGGCTACCTTCTGATTGGCTAATTGTCATCAGTCATTCCATTGGTCGGTCAAAGTTCACGCAAGGTCGGTCTGACGTGACCCTAAAGGGGTGTTCTCAGATCTTTGTTAAGCGGTAGCAAGAACTAAGATCTGATTTAATGAGATTGGTTCCATAAGCAATCATAGCGCTAAGACTGTCGTAGGTCTATGTTAAAGTATGGGAGTTATACACTTCATAATCTTCTAGGATAAAGAACATCAGTACATCGTCTTTTCAGATTCCCACTGAACCAACAGTCAGGCCGATTGACTGAAAAAACCCACAAAAACAGACCATTACAATATGATACAGGGAATAATCTAGCAAGTGAAGTAAATTTCAGCTGTGGTTCTATATCATTTATTATCTATGTGTATTTACCGTTTCTTCATGCTTCTTATCTTGAAAGTACCTTTTTGAATTTAATACTGCTTTGGTAACCAACTTTACAACCACATGGCCAATATCCAGTCTCTTCCAGAGTAGCCTCCCTTGGATTAATTAACGGAACATACAAAACAGGAGCAATAACCCGAGCGTAACCACATTAACAGACAATTTGGCCGTTACAGGAGTTACGATCATCTTAGCGCTATGATCTCTTTGAGGAATGGACCCCAGAACCCTATACCTATGATGAGGTTAAATGGGATTTAATGTCACGTTAGAGATTATTGCACATGCATAGCGACACGAGATGGGGATGTGTGCGCATGCATGTCATTGTGTGTATGGCTGCTTGTACTTGTCCGGACTAATGCTGAATGTCCGACTCAGACACAGTGTACTGACTCCGAGCCGACCAGTTCTTGTTTTACCATATCTCCTTAGTGCCGAACGCCAGGCAGGGTAACAACAAGTACCAATTCTTTTACCATATTTTACCGGTGGAAGTGGTATACGTCTAAGACCTGCATCACTTCAGGCTTTCCTCCCACATTAAGCTGACACGCCGTGATATTACTGGAAAACTGTTAAGAGCGGCGTTAAACCCAACTCACTCACTCACTGTTGTGTGAGTTATATAGTTTAAAATTGGTCCCCAGCAAATTCAGCAACCCATGCTTGTCGTAAGAGGCGACCAAATGGATCAGGTGACTGGTGACTTGGCTGAATACATGTCTTCATGCCCTGGATCGTTGCTCATGATATCAATTACTGGATTGTCTAGTCAAGACTCAATTAATCACAGGCTGCCATCGTATAGCTGGAATGTTGCTGAGTGCAGTGTTTACCACTGTGTATTCCACAATCACTTGTACACACCGTCTCCAACACTTGTTAATACAACTGTAAAACCAGCGGGAATTGATTTCAGCTTCACCAGTTATCACATGTTAGGTCAATATGCAAATGCTTACCAGTACTTCCGGCTCTCTGCTCACGGATGTTGATTATTTTACCGTGTCAGGTGGTTTGACAATCTGCATCGAGGCGAGGGTCATTTCAACTTTATTTGCAGAAATTATTAAACTTTATTCAAGGAAAAGAGATACAAATCATGTTTATGTATGGAAATAGTTATTGGAACAGTTATTTAGGACGAAATGCAAAGTTTTATTGTCAAATGCTTGGCTGGCTATCGGACGCCGGTTGACATCGCCAGTGGAAAAAAATGTGAGATCTTCGACTCCGTGTATAAGACGACCCCCCTTCTTAGCCCCCTCATTTTAGGTACGAAAAACTTGCCTTATACACAGCGATATACGGTATCAAGAAACAAACAAACAAACATTGTAATGATACTTTTCTCCACCAGATGCTGTTGGGCTGTCGCCAACCATGACTTCATCGAGGCCTACGGCTGTCAGGCTGTCGTCGTGCAATATCCTTCACCCACATGACATTGTACATGTGCATGCAATTATGATTAGTGTTTTCATACTTTCATAATTTTGCAAATGTGACTTATATTTCAACAAGGCTAGTAAGGAGGAAAGAAAAAAAGTTTCCCGAGAGAAGTAAACATCAGCTGAGTACAGACCTGCATAACTTCAGGCTTTCCTCCTACATCAAGAATTGTTAGGCATTATTTAGAAGTTGACGGATGACAAAGTAGAAACAGTTTATAGATATTAATGAAATTGTTATCCATGAATTGTGTCTACTTTGTTGTCTCCTACATCAAGCTGACCATCTTCCTGATGCAAGGGAGTTAACTGATAAAAGTCCAGTTTACACCCTTGCCGAACTAGGCTGGAATTATGGAGCTGTATTTTGGCTGGACTAACGAGTCTATGCATAGTTCAATCAAAATCGTGTTACAAAATTGACATCCGATTTTGGTTGACTGCAGGAAAAGAATGTGTACTGCCAACCTGGCATCAACAGATATTTTCCAAATCTTTTCATGTGATGTCTGAACTTGTTTCACGCTTGTAAACTCAAATGTTTCGACAATCACTGTATGTGAGCCTATTCCTGGATCGAGCATGCATGTTTGTTGACCTTGACCTATGACACAGCATTCACCAAGGCCATGCAGAGTCAGAAGGAGGAGAACTGGTCCCTGCCTCTCATGTTCAGCGTGTGCCTGGACCTCCGCCGCTTTGCCATCAGTGTGAGTACACCAGTCTTTATTCCAGTGTGTATCTTTTCAACTTTATCTTTTAGAGAAGTTGTACTCTGTCCACAGACAACCTAAATCTGAAAATCTACTTTGATGGTAACACTGATACCACACCCTAATGCCACCACCTTACAACCCCTGGTACCTCCCCCTAACACCATTCACTCACACTACACCGACCCCCACATCATCCACTGATGCCACCCTGCCACCATCCCCTGACAACCCCCTGACACCCTCTCCCCCAACACCATTCACTAACACTACACCGACCCCCACATCATCCACTGATGCCACCCTGACAACCCCCTGACACCCCCTCCCCCGACACCACCCCTGACACCACCCCCTGACTGACACCATTCACTGACACAACACCGACCCCCACATCATCCACTGATGCCACCCTGCCACCATCCCCTGACACCCCCTCCCCCGACACCCCCCCTGACACCACCCCCTGACACACACCTCCCCCTGACACCCCCCCTCCCCTGACACCACCCCCTGACTGACACCATTCACTGACACTACACCGACCCCCACATCATCCACTGATGCCACCCTGCCACCATCCCCTGACACCCCCTCCCCCGACACCACCCCTGACACCACCCCCTGACTGACACCATTCACTGACACTACACCGACCCCCACATCATCCACTTATGCCACCCTGCCACCATCCCCTGACACCCCCTCCCCCGACACCACCCCCTGACACACACCGCCCCCTGACACACCCCCTCCCCCGACACCACCCCTGACACCACCCCCTGACTGACACCATTCACTGACACTACACCGACCCCCACATCATCCACTGATGCCACCCTGCCACCATCCCCTGACAACCCCTCCCCCGACACCACCCCTGACACCACCCCCTGACTGACACCATTCACTGACACTACACCGACCCCCACATCATCCACTGATGCCACCCTGTCGCCATCTCCTGACACCCCCCTCCCTCTGACACAGCCCTCCCCCTGACCCCCCCAAGACACAGCCTTCCCCCTCACAGTGTGTATGATGTTGCAGGCTGACGTGCAGGCAGTGATGAAGAGTCGAGGGAAGGCGGGGGAGAGGATGGAGAAGGCAGCCGAGCTACTCATGGGCTGCTTCCGTGTGTGTGCCAGTGACAAGTGAGTCACACGTTCATATCTGGGGGAAGTGACAGTATGGCTGCTTCAGTGTGTGTGCCAGTGACAAGTGAGTCACACGTTCATATCTGGGGGAAGTGAAAGTATGGCTGCTTCCGTGTGTGTGCCAGTGACAAGTGAGTCACAGGTCCATATCTGGGGGAAGTGACAGTATGGCTGCTTCCGTGTGTGTGCCAGTGACAAGTGAGTCACACGTCCATATCTGGGGGAAGTTACAGTACGGCTGCTTCCGTGTGTGTGCCAGTGACAAGTGAGTCACATTTCCATATCTGGGGGAAGTGACAGTATGGCTGCTTCCGTGTGTGTGCCAGTGACAAGTGAGTCACACGTCCATATCTGGGGGAAGTGACAGTATGGCTGCTTCCGTGTGTGTGTCAGTGACAAGTGAGTCACACGTCCATATCTGGGGGAAGTGACAGTATGGCTGCTTCCGTGTGTGTGCCAGTGACAAGTGAGTCACACGTCCATATCTGGGGGAAGTGACAGTATGGCTGCTTCCGTGTGTGTGCCAGTGACAAGTGAGTCACACGTCCATATCTGGGGGGAAGTGACAGTATGGCTGCTTCCGTGTGTGTGCCAGTGACAAGTGAGTCACACGTCCATTTCTGGGGTAAGGGACAGTATGGCTGCTTCCGTGTGTGTGCCAGTGACAAGTGAGTCACACGTCCATATCTGGGGGAAGTGAAAGTATGGCTGCTTCCGTGTGTGTGCCAGTGACAAGTGAGTCACAGGTCCATATCTGGGGTAAGGGACAGTATGGCTGCTTCCGTGTGTGTGCCAGTGACAAGTGAGTCACACGTCCATATCTGGGGGAAGTGACAGTATGGCTGCTTCCGTGTGTGTGCCAGTGACAAGTGAGTCACACGTCCATATCTGGGGTAAGGGACAGTATGGCTGCTTCTGTGTGTGTGCCAGTGACAAGTGAGTCACACGTCCATATCTGGGGGAAGTGAAAGTATGGCTGCTTCCGTGTGTGTGCCAGTGACAAGTGAGTCACACGTCCATATCTGGGGTAAGGGACAGTATGGCTGCTTCCGTGTGTGTGCCAGTGACAAGTGAGTCACACGTCCATATCTGGGGGAAGTGACAGTATGGCTGCTTCCGTGTGTGTGCCAGTGACAAGTGAGTCACACGTCCATATCTGGGGGAAGTGACAGTATGGTTGCATCTTCATGTTGTTCCTTCCTTCATCAGTGCATTTAGCATGTTAAGATTTGGTAGTTTTATATCAATGGCTGATGCTTACTCCGTACCAATAGTACACACCTATGAAAGTAATATCACAAGTTGTTATTTGTGGAATTTTCAAACCAAACGACCAATTAGGAGAAGTAACCACACATACAACTACTTGCTGTGTCTGTTATGAGAAGGGGCAGTCAGGTAGCCTAGTGCTTACAGCGTTTGCTTGTCACGCCGTAGACCCGGGTTCAATTCCCGACATGGGTACAATGTGTGAAGCCCATTTCTGGTGTCTCCCGCGGTGATATTGCTGGAATATTGCTAAAAGCGGCGTAAAACCATACTCACTGACACACTCACTGTTATGAGATGGTAAGCACTGTGCCAAACAAGGACATGTGTACCTTATGACATCTTCTGAGTTAGGGCTTGGATCGGTCACTCGGGTACTCGGGTTGGGTGGGTACTGAGTAGGACCTGGGTACCCACAGGACTACCCGGACCCGTGGATAGTCACGTGATATATTGTTTAATGACAAAAAATATTTGGAACACTATGGGTACACTACAAGTCACTAATTCTTTCTGACTAAGGAGAATTGCTTCTGACCTTTATAGGTTTGAATAAAAATAAAACTTCAGTCAGCTTCATTGTATGCATGACCAGAGCATTTTATACATGTATCTAAATACATTTTACCAGGGCTTCGGTCAAACTATTCCGGACATTTTCGGACATGTCGGACATTTTGGACATTTTGTATCTAACTCTTGAGACCTGCAGCGGGTACCCGGGCAGGGTCGGGTAATAACGGGGCGGGTACCCGGGTAGTAAATTTGGACTCGTCCCAGCCCTATTCTGAGTACTGGGGTGATTGTCGTCTGTGTGATTGGTCGTGAGCTACTTCTATATTTGTGTTGCAAACTTGTGTAATTACAGCCGAGCCGCCGTGGAAGACTCCAAGAAGTGGGGAATGTTGAATCTTGTCAACCAGCTGTTCAAAATATACTTCAAGGTAATAGGAGCCTCTATATGTTCTATGCTCGGAAGTGGCTTCGACTCCAGAGTCATCTGATTATGTTTCTGGGTTTGTCAGCTCCTTCCCAGTACTCGAGGGTTGCATCAAAGAATGTCAAAGAAAGGCATCACTTCGGGCTTCTTCTCATATCAAGCAGACTCACTCACTCACTCACTCACTCACTCACTCACTCACTCACTCACTCACTCACTCACTCACTCACTCACTCACTCACTCACTCACTTTCACATGAACTAGTATAAAGTGTTCATCTGCTGAACAGGGGTGATCGGGTAGCCTAGTGGTTAAAGCATTCGCTCGTCACGCCGAAGACCCGGGTTTGATTCCCGACATGTGTACAATGTGTGAAGCCCATTTTTGGTGTCCCCCGCCATGATATTGCTGGAATATTGCTAAAAGCGGCGTAAAACCATACTCACTCACTCACTCACTCACTCACTCACTCATCTGCTGAACAACCGCCTCTGTGGTTGAGTGGATACAGCTTTTGCATGAAGTGTGGAAGGTGGAACCTTGTATCAAAAGATGTAAAAATATGGAACTTGTTGTTACCCTGCCTGGTGCTCTGCATTGAGAAGATGAACAAGGTCTGTTCAGCTCAGAGTCGGTATGCTGTTTCTAAGTGAGGCTTTAGTAAACACACACTCTCCACACAACTGGATGTTCAGGCTCTAAGACTTTCTTGATCTACGGCGTGGGTCGTTGCTCATAGTATCTGTCAGTGGATTGTCTGTAGCACACTCACCTATTGACAGGCTGTCCTCATTGACGTGGAATGTTGCTGAGTGTAGGGTGACCTGGGTTAAACAGGCACTCATGCCCCTGGTCCCACATATAATTGGTGGCCTTATCCTTGACTATGTGTCACTTCTACTCCAGATTAACAAGCTTCACTTGTGTAAACCTCTGATTCGAGCCATCGACAGTCTGGCGATCAAGGATCGGTTCAGTCTCTCCCAGCTCATCACATACAGGTAGGTCTGTCTGTCTCTCCCAGCTCATCACATACAGGTAGGTCTGTCTGTCTCTCCAAGCTCATCACATACAGGTAGGTCTGTCTGTCTCTCCAAGCTCATCACATACAGGTAGGTCCATCTGTCTCTCTCATCTCATCATGTACAGGTAGGTCTGTCTGTCTCTCTCATCTCATCATGTACAGGTAGGTCTGTCTGTCTCTCCCAGCTCATTACATACAGGTAGGTCCATCTGTCTCTCTCATCTCATCATGTACAGGTAGGTCTGTCTGTCTCTCCCAGCTCATTACATACAGGTAGGTCCGTCTGTCTCTCTCATCTCATCATGTACAGGTAGGTCTGTCTGTCTCTCCCAGCTCATTACATACAGGTAGGTCCATCTGTCTCTCTCATCTCATCATGTACAGGTAGGTCTGTCTGTCTCTCCCAGCTCATTACATACAGGTAGGTCCGTCTGTCTCTCTCATCTCATCATGTACAGGTAGGTCTGTCTGTCTCTCCCAGCTCATTACATACAGGTAGGTCCATCTGTCTCTCTCATCTCATCATGTACAGGTAGGTCTGTCTGTCTCTCCCAGCTCATCACATACAGGTAGGTCCGTCTGTCTCTCTCATCTCATCATGTACAGGTAGGTCTGTCTGTCTCTCCCAGCTCATCACATACAGGTAGGTCCATCTGTCTCTCTCATCTCATCATGTACAGGTAGGTCTGTCTGTCTCTCTCATCTCATCATGTACAGGTAGGTCTGTCTGTCTCTCCCAGCTCATTACATACAGGTAGGTCCATCTGTCTCTCTCATCTCATCATGTACAGGTAGGTCTGTCTGTCTCTCCCAGCTCATTACATACAGGTAGGTCCGTCTGTCTCTCTCATCTCATCATGTACAGGTAGGTCTGTCTGTCTCTCCCAGCTCATTACATACAGGTAGGTCCATCTGTCTCTCTCATCTCATCATGTACAGGTAGGTCTGTCTGTCTCTCCCAGCTCATTACATACAGGTAGGTCCGTCTGTCTCTCTCATCTCATCATGTACAGGTAGGTCTGTCTGTCTCTCCCAGCTCATTACATACAGGTAGGTCCGTCTGTCTCTCCAAGCTCATCACATACAGGTAGATCTGTCTGTCTCTCTCATCTCATCATGTACAGGTAGGTCTGTCTGTCTCTCCCAGCTCATTACATACAGGTAGGTCCATCTGTCTCTCTCATCTCATCATGTACAGGTAGGTCTGTCTGTCTCTCCCAGCTCATTACATACAGGTAGGTCCGTCTGTCTCTCTCATCTCATCATGTACAGGTAGGTCTGTCTGTCTCTCCCAGCTCATTACATACAGGTAGGTCCATCTGTCTCTCTCATCTCATCATGTACAGGTAGGTCTGTCTGTCTCTCCGAGCTCATTACATACAGGTAGGTCCGTCTGTCTCTCTCATCTCATCACATACAGGTAGGTCTGTCTGTCTCTCTCATCTCATCATGTACAGGTAGGTCTGTCTGTCTCTCCCAGCTCATCACATACAGGTAGGTCTGTCTGTCTCTCTCATCTCATCATGTACAGGTAGGTCTGTCTGTCTCTCCCAACTCATCACATGCAGGTTGGTTTGAGGCTTGTACATACAGACTTGCACCTCTGCAGCGTAAAATAACTTTCACTTTCAATTATCAACAGGTGGGTATGTACCAATCAAAAGACATGTTGCTAGCTGCTGTGGTCCTGCTGCACATAGAATAACACCATTAATTTGGAATTAAGGAGCAAAGTCATAATGTTTGTTCCATGCACTCCTTGGTATATAATATTTCAGCCTTGTTTCGTATTTCAGGTACTATGTCGGGAGGAAGGCCATGTTTGACAGCGACTACAAGGGAGGTAAGTGTTGACTTGAACATACTAGTATTCCATAGCTTGTAGGTAACTGACCGTTACATGATTCCAGGGCAGGATAAGCTTGTAGGTAACTGACCGTTACAGGATTTCAGGGCAGGATAAGCTTGTAGGTAACTGACCGTTACAGGATTCCAGGGCAGAATAAGCTTGTAGGTAACTGACCGTTACAGCATTCCAGAGCAGAATAAGCTTGTAGGTAACTGACCGTTACAGGATTCCAGGGCAGAATAAGCTTGTAGGTAACTGACCGTTACAGGATTCCAGAGCAGAATAAGCTTGTAGGTAACTGACCGTTACAGGATTCTAGGGCAGAATAAGCTTGTAGGTAACTGACCGTTGCAGGATTCTAGGGCAGAATAAGCTTGTAGGTAACTGACAGGTACAGGATTCCCTGGGCAGAATAAGCTTGTAGGTAACTGACCGTTGCAGGATTCTAGGGCAGAATAAGCTTGTAGGTAACTGACTGTTGCAGGATTCTAGGGCAGAATAAGCTTGTAGGTAACTGACAGGTACAGGATTCCTGGGCAGAATAAGCTTGTAGGTAACTGACCGTTGCAGGATTCTAGGGCAGAATAAGCTTGTAGGTAACTGACCGTTACAGGATTCCAGGGCAGAATAAGCTTGAAGGTAACTGACCGTTACATGATTCTAGGGCAGAATAAGCTTGTAGGTAACTGACCGTTACAGGATTCCAGGGCAGAATAAGCTTGAAGGTAACTGACCGTTACATGATTCTAGGGCAGAATAAGCTTGTAGGTAACTGACCGTTACAGGATTCTAGGGCAGAATAAGCTTGTAGGTAACTGACCGTTGCAGGATTCTAGGGCAGAATAAGCTTGTAGGTAACTGACCGTTACAGGATTCCAGGGCAGAATAAGCTTGAAGGTAACTGACCATTACATGATTCTAGGGCAGAATAAGCTTGTAGGTAACTGACCGTTACAGGATTCCAGGGCAGAAAAAGCTTGTAGGTAACTGACCGTTACAGGATTCTAGGGCAGAATAAGCTTGTAGGTAACTGACAGTTACAGGATTCTAGGGCAGAATAAGCTTGTAGGTAACTGACCGTTACAGGATTTCAGGGCAGAATAAGCTTGTAGGTAACTGATTGTTACAGGGTTCCAGAGCAGAATACGCTTGTAGGTAACTGGCCGTTACAGGATTCCAGAGCAGAATACGCTTGTAGGTAACTGACCGTTACAGGATTCTAGGGAAGAATAAGCTTGTAGATAACTGACCGTTACAGGATTCCAGGGCAGAATACGCTTGTAGGTAACTGACCGTTACAGGATTTCAGGGCAGAATAAGGTTCAACTACACAATTCTTGTCTTCAAATGGGGATACTTGTGCAGAACAGATCCCAAGTACCCAGTACACTGTTGAGGATCCATCCTTCTTAAATGCTGTTCAGAATCCATCCTTTAACACTGTTGAGGATCCATCCTTCTTTAACACTGTTGAGAATCCATCCTTTAACACTGTTGAGGATCCATCCTTCTACCCTGTTGAGGATCCATCCTTCTTTAATGCTGTTGAGAATCCATCCTTTAACACTGTTGAGGATCCATCCTTCTTTAACACTGTTGAGGATCCATCCTTTAACACTGTTGAGAATCCATCCTTTAACACTGTTAAGAATTCATCCTTTTTTAACACTGTTGAGAATCCATCCTTTAATGCTGTTAAGAATGCATCCTTCTTTTAAACATTTTTGAGAATCCATCCTTTAACATGATAAGAATCCATCCTTGTTTCACACTGTTAAGAATCCATCCTTGTTTCACACTGTTAAGAATCCATCCTTGTTTCACACTGTTAAGAATCCATCCTTGTTTCACACTGTTAAGAATCCATCCTTGTTTCACACTGTTAAGAATCCATCCTTGTTTCACACTGTTAAGAATCCATCCTTGTTTCACACTGTTAAGAATCCATCCTTGTTTCACACTGTTAAGAATCCATCCTTGTTTCACACTGTTAAGAATCCATCCTTGTTTCACACTGTTAAGAATCCATCCTTGTTTCACACTGTTGAGAATCCATCCTTGTTTCACACTGTTAAGAATCCATCCTTCTTTAACAGTGTTGAGAATCCATCCTTTAACACTGTTAAGAATCCATCCTTGTTTCACACTGTTGAGAATCCATCCTTGTTTCACACTGTTAAGAATCCATCCTTCTTTAACAGTGTTGAGAATCCATCCTTTAACACTGTTAAGAATCCATCCTTCTTTAACAGTGTTGCAAGTCAATCCTTCTTTAACACTTTTGAGAAACCATCCTTTAACACTGCTAAGAATCCACCCTTAAACGCTGTTAAGAATCCATCCTTCTTTAACACTGTTGAGAATCTATCCTTCTTTAGCACTGTTGAGAATCCATTCTTTTATACTGTTAAGAATCCATCCTTCTTTAACATGTTGAGAATCCATCCTTTAACACTGTTAAGAATCCATTCTTCTTTAACATGTTGAGAATCCATCCTTTAACATTGTTGAGAATCCATTCTTTAATGCTGTTAAGAATCCATCCTTCTTTAATGCTGTTGAGAATCCATCCTTTAACACTGTTAAGAATCCATCCTTCTTTAATGCTGTTGAGAATCCATCCTTTTACACTGTTAAGAATCCATTCTTCTTTAATGCTGTTGAGAATCCATCCTTTAACACTGTTGAGGATCTACCCTTCTTTAATGCTGTTGAGAATCCATCCTTCTTTAACACTGTTGAGGATCCATCCTTCTACCCTGTTGAACATCTATTCTTCTTTAATGCTGTTGAGAATCCATCCTTTAACACTGTTGAGGATCCATCCTTCTTTAACACTGTTGAGGATCCATCCTTTAATGCTGTTAAGAATCCATCCTTCTTTAACAGTGTTGCAAGTCAATCCTTCTTTAACACTTTTGGGAAACCATCCTTTAACTCTGCTAAGAATCCACCTTTTAACGCTGTTAAGAATCCATTCTTCTTTAACATGTTGAGAATCCATCCTTTAACATTGTTGAGAATCCATCCTTTAACACTGTTAAGAATCCATCCTTCTTTAACACTGTTGAGAATGAACTCTTTGATGCTTCTGAGATTCACTGTGTAAATTAGCTTTATTGTCTATTATCTTTGTTTCAGCGGAGGAATATCTCACTTTTGCGTTTGAGAGGTGTCATCGGCAGTGCAAGAAAAACAAACGTCTCATCCTTATCTACCTTATCCCTGTCAAGATGCTGCTGGTGAGTGACTGCAAGTTTAACAGGACGTAGACTAAACTAGACGCAGACTTAACAGGACGAAGACTAAATTTGAGGCAGACCAAACTAGACGCAGACTAAACTGGACGCAGACTAAACAGGACGCAGACTTAACAGGATGCAGACTAAAATGGAGGCAGATTGAACAGGACGCAGACTGAACAGGATGCAGACTAAACTTGACGCAGAATGAACAGGACACAGACTAAACAGGATGCAGACTAAACTTGACAAAGACTAAACTTGACAAAGACTAAACTAGACGCAGATTGAACAGAATGCAGACTAAACTTGACGCAGAATTAACAGGACGCAAACTAAACAGGATGCAGACGAAACAGGATGCAGACTAAACAGGATGCAGACTAAACTGGATGCAGACTAAACTGGACGCAGACTAAACTGGACGCAGACTAAAGTGGATGCAGACTAAAGTGGATTGAGACTAAACAGGATGCAGACTAAACTTGACGCAGAATGAACAGGACGCAGACTTAACAGGATGCAGACTAAACTTGACAAAGACTAAACTGGACGCAGATTGAACAGGATGCAGACTGAACAGAATGCAGACTAAACTTGACGCAGAATTAACAGGATGCAGACTAAACAGGATGCAGACTAAAGTGGATGCAGACTAAACAGGACGCTGATTGAACAGGACGCAGACTAAACAGGACGCAGACTGAACAGGACGCAGACTAAACTGGACGCAAACTAAAGAGGATGCAGACTAAAGTGGATGCAGACTAAACAGGATGCAGACTAAACCGGACGCAGACTGAACAGGACGCAGACTAAACTGGACGCAGACTAAACTGAATGCAGACTAAGTGGATTGAGACTAAACAGGATGCAGACTAAACAGGACGCAGACTAAACTGGATGCAGACTAAACTGGACGCAAACTGAACCATGTACACTAGATGCAGATGAAGCGTACATGTAACATGTAAGTTTTCATGTATTCACTGTGATGGAAGAGCATACATCCTGTATCAATTACATCCACCACGACCCTACGAATCGTTCGTTCATGTTTACCTAGGAATATATAGTCATGTGTTGATCTTGTCCTCTCTCTCCAGGGACAGATGCCGACATTCGCCGTTCTACACAAGTACAACCTCAAGCAGTTTGCAGATGTTGCTCGGGCTGTGAGGTAGGGGAGATAACTCATGCACATGAATCGAGAATAATCTAACATTCCTTGAATTTGGTGAATGTCTGTATAGACATTTGTGAACACTGTTGAGAATCCATCCTTCTTTAATTGTTGTGAAGCCATCCTTCTTTAACACTGTTAAGAACCAATACTTCTTTAACACTGTTGAGAACCCATCCTTCTTTAATGCTGTTGATAATTCATCCTTCTTTAACATGTTGAGAATCCATCCTTTAACTTGTTGAGAATCCACCCTTCTTTATCACTGTTGAGAATCCATACTTTATCACTGTTGATAATCCATCCTTCTTTAACACTGTTGATAATTCATCCTTCTTTAACACTGTTGAGAATCCATCCTTCTTTAACATTTTGAGAATCAACCCTTCTTTAACACTGTTGAGAACCCATCCTTCTTTGACACTGTTAAGGTCCCATTGTTCTTTAACACTGTTGAAAATCCAAACTTTTTATAACACTGTTGAGAATCCATCTTTGAACACTGTTACCAATCCATCCTACTGTCTCTGACATTGTTGTGACACCCTTCAACACTGCTGTTAGTTTCTCTAACACTACTGTGACTATCGGAGTCTCTAACACTGTCATCACGGTGTTCCCCAGTTCAGGCAACCTGCTGCAGCTGAACACAGCCCTCCTGAAACACGAGGCGTTCTTCATCAAGTGTGGCATCTACCTGATCCTGGAGAAGCTGAAGATCATCACCTACAGGAACCTCTTCAAGAAAGTGTAAGTCTGATATCCAGCTCCCGTCAGTGCAGGTGTCTTGAAACATTCCGACTTATCCAGCTGAGTAGGCTCCAGTACCTCCTACACATGGCAAGAAGTACTGAGGGATTGGACGTACACCTACAACCACCGATGTGCACGCTGTGTAAATCCTCACAGAATCAGACTTACGCAAAGTGTGCACAGTGTTTTTTATGTTTATACCATAAATACAAATTCATATTGAAGTCAACACTTATCAATTAAATTCTGATATTAAATTCAGAGTCCTTATTTAATCACTGACACAAAAAGACTAAGACAGTGACATCGTTCTATGCTGTAATGCATCACAAGCCCTGCCCTCCCTACCATCAACCAATCAGGAAACGGTAGACCGCCTTTCTCTTTGCAAAATACTGTGATTAGCCAATCAAATGTCACAGAATCACTTGCAAATTATTCATTATTAGGTATCACAAAAGATGTCAGCCGTGAAGATCCGGGTCTTCAGCAACCCATGCTTGTTGTAAGAGGCGACTAATGGGATCGGTTGGTCAGGCTCGCTGACCTGGTTGATGCATGTCATTGTATCCCAATTGCCTAGATCTATGCTCATGATGTTAATCACTGGAATGTATGGTGTAAATTATTTGCAGACATCCATCCTAGTCTGGATATTGGTTAGTTCGGCGTTAAACAACATACGAACACAAAAAGATGTTTTAACCTTTATGATACATCTTTATCTCTATTGCTTTGTTACAGATACTTGATCCATCAGAAGAACCATCTCCTGCCTCTCGACGACTTCACCACGGCACTGAGACTCATGCAGGTATGTTCCCAATATAATCACAACAACCACTGGCTTGTCTGGTCCAGAGTTGATGATATACAGGTTGTCATGACGCCAGTACTCACACCATCAATCACTGGTTTGTCTAGTCAAGAGTTGATGATATACAGGCTGTCATGACATCAGTACTCACAACATCAATCACTGGTTCGTCCGGTCCAGAGTTGATGATATAGGCTGTCATGACATCAGTACTCACAACATCAATCACTGGTTTGTCTGGTCCAGAGTTGATGATATGAAGGCTGTCATGACATCAGTACTCACAACATCAATCACTGGTTTGTCTGGTCCAGAGTTGATGATATACAGGTTGTCATGACGCCAGTACTCACACCATCAATCACTGGTTTGTCCGGTCCAGAGTTGATGATATACAGGCTGTCATGACATCAGTACTCACAACATCAATCACTGGTTCGTCCGGTCCAGAGTTGATGATATAGGCTGTCATGACATCAGTACTCACAACATCAATCACTGGTTCGTCCGGTCCAGAGTTGATGAAATAGGCTGTCATGACATCAGTACTCACAACATCAATCACTGGTTCGTCCGGTCCAGAGTTGATGATATAGGCTGTCATGACATCAGTACTCACAACATCAATCACTGGTTTGTCTGGTCCAGAGTTGATGATATGAAGGCTGTCATGACATCAGTACTCACAACATCAATCACTGGTTTGTCTGGTCCAGAGTTGATGATATAGTCTGTCATGACATCAGTACTCAAAACATCAATCACTGGTGGAAGCGAGAACTAAGATGTAATTTTAATGAGATTGGTTATATTCCAATACACAGAACTATTAAAGATGTAGCACTGTGTGGGTCTGAGTTCTAGTCATGTGTGAGACTGCTGCTTGTTGTCAAAGGTTTATGTATGTGCCCTATGTTTGTTCCAGGTTGAGGACATCGATGATGACGAGACGCAGTGTATCATCGCTAACCTAATATTTGAGGTAGGTGTCTTGCTCAGGTTTCACCTAGTAGGATTAAGGGGTAAGCCGGGGATCGGGTGGACACAATGGCAGCTCACATGGACCTGGATGGTTAAAGTCATCAGCACACCGTTGATCTGACAAATGTGTGTCTTCACTGTGCCATCCCACACACAATTAGGACTGTCAATGACTTTGTATTGATACACCTGTCCATAGGGCGATCTTGATACAATACACGACACAATACACAATACAATATACTATGAATGAAATTTGCCATTTGCCATTCTTGGAGACAACCTAACCAAAAAATGTTTAGTAGATTTCAGGTAATTAAGCCTTGAGTTCCCATGTTATAACAAGCAGAAATAGTTTGTCACAATTATTGTTTGTTTGTTGGTTGTTTAACGCCGCACTCAGCAATATTCCAGCTATATGATGGCGGTCTGTAAATAATCAAGTCTGGACCAGATAATCCAGTGATTGACATCATGAGCATCGACCCACACCATTGGGATACGATGACATGCATCAACCAAGTCATCACGCCAGACCACCCGATCCTCTTACGACAAGCATAGTCACCTTCGCCACAGGACCGCCTCCGTGGTCTAGTGGTAGTAGAGCGTCCGCCCGGAGGTTCGCGGAAGGTCCGGGGTTCGATCCCCAACCGCGTCATACCACAAGACGTTAAAAGATGGTACCTGTTGTTACCCTGTCTGGCGTTCGGCATTAAGGGGCTAAAATAAGGACTGGTCGGCTCGGAGTCAGTATGCTGTGTCTGAGTGGGGTATTCATGTTAAACTGTGGCATGGTATCTCAGTGAGCTAGCACTATAAATCGGCATCAGTCCGGACTAGTACAAGCAGCCACACAAACACATACGTGTACATGCACATCGCTATATAAGTGCAATAATCTTGGACGCAACGTTAAACCTTCAATTATTCTTGTAACATTTTGTATCAATACACGGATATTTCGTTTGGTTTCAGAACAAAATCAAAGGGTACATCTCTCATCAGCATCAGAAGCTTGTTGTCAGCAAACAGAACCCATTCCCCGTGCTGGCCACAGTTTTATAGTACACCATCAGCAACATCCGAATCAATTCTTAACTTCAGCATCATTGTGGACCATTGTGGAGCATTGTGACATCGTCAGTTACCATGACATCAAAATCAAATGTCATCATTATTCTCTCTGCTACTGAAGCTGGTTAGCTGTACTTTACACACACAAGACAATACCTATCAGACTTAAAAAATAAAAGAATTGGTTCTCAGGCAGTGACTTTCGAAATATAGTGCGGGCGGGCAGTGTTTGTTTTTTGTTTGCTTGTTCAAAGTAGTATGTTACCAAATAAACAGTTGTGTACCATCAACCTGGGAAGAGCCTCCCTATATACACAAGCATACAAACTCCTGCTGCTGCCATTACTATAACACGAAATATGTGCTATATTGGATCACATTGTTTTTAAGTGAAAGGATTTTTTTTAAAATAAGTAAAAATGGAAATAAAAACGAAACGTGTGGCAGACTCTATGATAAAGCAGGCAGTGCCTGAAAACCAAGACTATTATTTACCACTATTTACTGATTACAAACTGAAATAGTTGGATGATTAATGGAATCTTACTCTCGTCTTTTGATATCAAACATATCAAGACAGGACTCAGAGTTATAAACGTTTATCAAATCGTGTTGATATATTTGATATCAAAAGGCAATCGGGAGAAATACTCTACTTAGCTGATTATGTCCAACTCCCGTCTCTCCTGGGAGTATTGCCAAAGTAAGGATGAAGTATGTTTCACATCTTCCTGAGGCACGGGAGTTCACTGACTGTAACAGTCTAGTTTCCACCCTTGCCGAACCACGCTGCAATTTCTGGCCTTGGTCGAAGTGTCACCAGTGGTTGTTATGAGTTATGTCCCTTCTATGTCCCTCCTATTGACCAATCAGATTCCACCATGCATTTGAATTTGCTTCAAACAAAATGATGTCCCCAGAAGACGTTCTGATCGATAATTAAAATCTATGTTGTAATAAAACGGGTCTTACTTCGCGAAGTGTATCAAATCATATGAGCACCTTGATGAAGAACATGAAAAGATTGGGGAATATATCTGTCGAGTTGGTGGTACATGTTTTTCAAATCCTGCAATCGACTGAAATCTGCTCGGCACTTTAAAAATTGGGTGTCAATTTCATTGTGATTTTGATTGGACTCAATAGTCCCGCCAAAATATAACTCCATAAATTTCGCTTAGTTTTGCAAGGGAGGAAAATTGGACTTTTACAGTCAGTTATCGCACTTGCCTCGGGAAGATAGATGTTTCACGGCCATTGTGTTGTTCACATGTACATATTCATCTTGATGTTCCTGTTGTATATATCATATACATCTCACTGTACAAATAAACATTAAACATGTCCATTTGTCTGATTGTTTTTACTATAAAGTGTAGGGTTGTTTATATGCTACTCAACACAAGTTAACAACTAAAGATTCAGATTCAGAGAATTCAGGTCCTAATCAATCTAATTAAAATCAGATCTTTTACTCTGATACCATACCTCTCTGTGTGAAGATCTGAGGTAACCTCCATAGGGAGTCATGTCCGATGACCCTACGTTAACTTTGACCCCCCCCAGTATACATGAAGGCTGCATGGGTTCTTGAGCCAATCAGATATCAGCTTTCTAAAATGATATGGCAGCTGACTCGTCACTGAACCAAACTGTATCCATTGTGACCCGTGAAGATCTGGGGTAGAAAAGGTCTTCAGCAACCCATGTCGTAAAAGACGACTATGCTTGTAAGAGGCGACTAATGGAATCCGGTGGTCAGGCTTGCTGACTTGGTTGATGCATGTCATCGATCCCAATTACGGGATCGATGCTCATGATATCAATCACTGGATTGTCTTGTCCAGACTCGATTATTTACAGACTGCCGTCATATAGCTGGAATATTGCTGAGTGCGGCGTTAAACAACAAACAATTGGGACGCGATGACATGTCTCTCTTATTGTGACAGACAATACTGGATGTTGAAATACACAGACACAGCATGACTGTAACACTTTATTGACATGTTACATACAGACAATACATTGAGGTTTGTGTACACAGAGCAACATGAAGGCCGTCACTACTGGCAGAGCCAGAGCTGTACAAAATGGAGGAAAAGTGGTAAGCTTGAATACAGATTTACTGTTTCTCAAACAAAGTTCACGCCAAAACCAACATCGAATTCCCTGCCAAATTGACAAGCATAAATATTCATACAGGAACTGGAAATATGAAAAACATTTTCAATTTTAAAACAAACCAGCTACATCTCTTGGTCCATGATAACTAAAAGCTGAAATACAAATATATTTTTTTCGTTTGGCATAATGCATTCTCAGCATGACAACAGATTCTGGAAAAGGTTGATATCTGATCAATTAAAAACACACATATTTCATTTTCTTGTCTATTTAATTGATTAAGGCTCAAAACAGGACAGCATAATTATATACTGAACAAACAAAAAGAGTTGGGATCAGGAATATTTTGGGGAATATTTTTTGTAATGAATCGAGAAAAGATATCCCCCCAAATCTTCATGATCCCAAACTTATTTTGCTCAGTATATATATTGTCCTGACTGTTCTTGCTACATATATTTAAGTTGGATAGGGATACGATATACTTCATACTGTTAGTATCATGAACACCAGAGGACATGTTATGGAAAAGTGTACTTATATTTATCATAATATGCCATGAAGCTTACAATGTTCCGTACTATGAGAGCATCACATACTATTCCTGATTCAACAGTCTTCATAGTCATCCATCCTGCATTATCAAGGGTGTTATATCTCCATGCTAGTAGGTTAAATACCTAGGACCCATTCCCGACTTCAGCTTCATTTTTGAAGCCGGTTTGAATGACATGATCCTAAAAATAGGACATAATGGAGTACGAAGACACTGGACTATAGAGGATGTTTGATGTTTGTTGTTTAACGCCGCGCTCAGCAATATTTCAGCTATATGACGGCGGTCTGTATATAATTGAGTCTGGACCAGACAATCCAGTGATAGACATCATGAGCATCGATCTATGCAATTGGGACATGATGACATGCATCAATAGAGGAAGAAGCCCTTCCAGATACTCAAAACAGCCCTATCAAAATTTGAGAGTTTTGTCATGATATCTCTGCCATTTGTCTTGAATGAATATGTTATAAAAGTTGACTGAGAATAAAATCGGTGTTTATTTATCGGAGGCCTTGTAAGGATGGTTTCACAGATGTCTTAATGATGAAGTACCATAGCTTGAGCTGTTTATCACAATCCACTGAATAACTTACCAACATAACAGAAAATAGACTTCACAACATTCTCGCACAACATAGATATCACAATACAGGCGCCGAGCTGATAAAACTAATCTGGGCCATGGAACAATCTTGACCTTTCCCTACTCGATACGACCTTGACCCTTCCTGACCAAGACCATACAACCTTGACCCTGCCCTACAGAATCCATGCGACCTTTACACTTCCATACACACTGTATGAGACCTTTCCCTACCAGACTTGCGGCCTTGACCCTTACCTACACGATCTCTATGCGACCTTGACCCTTACCTACACAGACTCCATATAAAACAGTGTAATACAGGCTGATTTCACGTAAACTTTAATATTTAGGCAATAAAAGTGTATTCAGATTAGTAGGTGTTTAATAGTCATTTGATGCACAGCAATGTCATTTGGGTGAGTGAGTGAGTGAGTATTCTAGCAATCTCACGGCGGGGGACACCAGAAATGGGCTTCATACCTTGTACACGTCGGGAATCGAACCTGGACCTTCGGCATGACGAGCGAACGTTTTAACCACCAGGCTACCCGACCGCCCAAATGTCATTTGGAACTGATAGCATTGGGCATACACAGATTCAAGCACCCACTCCTATACATTTTACAAATTAGCTCATCAGCTTATTCATATTCATTTTTTAATTTTTTATTGAAAGAGTAAACTCAAACACTACAAGTTTGAGGTCAGTAGGGAAAGGTCAAGGTCAATAGCTACACTTAATGGCACTTGGTAGCATTTGTTGAATACTGTGCAGAATTGTGCCCCTTGGGCACGCCAGACACCTATGATCGCAACCCATTCTGCCCCGATTATGTTTCTAGATTTGTCACCTCCATACTCATGCTTGTGGGTTTCATCAATGTGGTAAACATCTGAGGCCTGCTCCACTTACAGTTATGATACAACTGGAATACCGTTCAAGGCAGCTGAAACCAAACTCACTCATACCCGAAATACAGTTGTCAAAAAAGGTCACAAAGTAGATAAGAATCAGGATTACTTTCTCAGATATGTAACAAATTTAAAAATGGAAAAATACTACCTACCTGCCCAGTCAGTTTGGGGAAACAAGAATATTGATATTGCCTTTAAAATAATATTAACAAGGAAGAGAGTCTACTCTCAAAGCATGTGAAGAAGGCAAAATCTGTTTCATTGAAGGCTTCAAGGATGTGATGTGCAGATCTACCATAACCAGCAGAGACAGTAACAATTACTTAAACAATCAAGAAGGGGAGACAACTTCAAAGGGAGATAACTGGATTCCAAAACGTTCAAAACATCACATTGTTGGCATACACATCCCGAGACAGGGGGGGGGGGGGTCAGCAAAATTGTAATTCACTTATTCAAGTGGTTGCCTTGATTCAGATATGTAACCTCTGACTAGTTCAAGCAGAAACTTACTAAATCATGAATATCATATCATTAAATATTTTATGCCCCTTTCTCGTTCCACGTGCAATTTCAATGATTATAACCCCAATACTCTATCACTGAAATGGGCTTTGAGTTTTTATATATCGCACATCTGGCAAACAAGATCAGTTCCAGGAATACAATGCTCTATAGCAAGCACAAACAAGAAAACACAGTGTTTGTCATCATTGTAAACAAAAAGGTCGTTTCCATGACAACAGAACCGCCTCATCACCAGTTAGTGGAATGAGGAAAGATGGCTGGCAAGGAAATGTTGAAAATGTAAGTAAAATGAACGTTTAATGACAAAATATGCATGTTGACATCTCGAAACATGTTTCATATTTTGTGAAAAAAAGGATGCTAATGTATTACGTAACAATGTTTCTTAGTCACATTATCTCACAAGTGATGACATCTTCCCGAGGCAAGAGAGTTAACTGACTATAAAAGTCCAGTTCCACCCTTGCTGAACTAGGCTGGAATTCCGGGGTTACATTTTGGCTTGAATAATGAGACTATGCATAGTCTAATCAAAATCTTGTAACGAACTAGACATTGTAAACAACATGGATTTCAAAGTGCAGTCGACTGCAGGCTTTGCAAAAAATGTGTACCGCCAACTAGGCGTCGACAGATATTTTGCAAATATTTTCATGTTTTTAATCCAGGTGCTCAAGTGATTTAATGCACTTCGTGGGGTAAGACTCGTTTTATTACAAAATAGATCTTGATTTTCGATCAGATCTTGACTGGGTGCCGCCATTTTGTTTGAGGCAAATGGAAGCGATATGAGCGATGGAATCTGATTGGTTAATAGGAGGGACGTGGAAGGGACATAACTCGTAATAGCCACTGGTGACGCTACGATCGAGCCTTTAAAATTCCAGCCTAATTCAGCAAGGGTGGGAACTGGACTTTTATAGTCAGTTAAGTCCTTTGCCTCGTGAAGATGAAGTGATGAGAGATGAACTCTTTTTACCACCAAGAATACCAACAAACACGAATGAGCACACACTGAATTCAGCTCTTTATAACAAACAGAAGCAATTATGTTCATTGAATGAATAATAGAGTCTGCTTCATAGGACGCAGGAAATATGAGTTGTTGTTTTTAAAAGGCAACTAAAAATGTTTTTTTGAGTGATGTACTGATGCCCGTGAAACATTTTCTTTCTCTTAAGCCAAAGAACAAAATAAATATGTTATGATGAGTTAACATGTTTTTCAGTATTCAATTCCAGTTTCACCATGTTTATTCAAATACATTGCTACATATATGCATGTTTGTTTACAATGTAGAAAGCTGAACTGTAACATGGGCAGAGGTAAAACAACAAGAGTAGATGTACTTTCAGAAATAAATAACAACAACTTGACATGGTTTTCCATGACAGGGAACACAGATACATACATAGAAGACTGACCCACAAAACACTGAACACATGGATCTGCCGGGCTCTCATTACCGTATTGTCCGTATTAAGTGTCCCGACTACATCAGTCTGTAAATGATCGTCATAAGTGATTCATAGTAAGCTCGAAAATTTACAATACATTTTGTATTTCCTAGTGTATATTATAGATGTATTACAGAAAACAGCAGTGTATCTAGATTTATATAACTGCCAAGAAACTATCATTAAAATGTTCAATTTCCATCAACATTTCAACCAAATTTGTTCAATATTTTAACTTGTTGTGTATGGTTTAATAAGCACCACTTTTTTTGTCAATTATCTATTTTCCCAGGTGCCTATTACAGCGAATACGGTACTAACAATATGGTTTTAGGGGCATTCACTGAAGTCTTTTAACACCTTTACCATCGACATGTATTTCAATAGTAAACATTTAAAGCACCCATGTTAAGTCCCTGCATTTATATATTTTGGTTCAAATAATTTTGTTTACAAATAAACTTGAGATGGTCACAACAAAACTACATTTGTGAAACTCAATATTTGGTAAATATATTTGGCATGAAGGTTTGGGGGTCAGTCGGTTAGTGGGAAAAAATAAATACATGGTACTACTGCTTAATAAACATTAATCATTAACACATTTATATTCAATGACAGCAATATTAAAAGTGTCTTATATATACATGACAAGGATTGGTTCTACGGAAGTGCCAAGTCTCCATAAACAAGATTTTCCAAAATGAGAAGAGACTTTGATTCTCATGTAATAAACCTTTGAGTGAGTGAGTGAATGTTATTAATGCACAATCAGCAATATTCCATGCATATCGATGCAGCCTGTAAATAATCCAGTCTGTACCTGTAAACCAGTGACTGAAAGCATGAGCACCATCTGGGTCACGATGACATGCAGTCAGCCAAGTCACAGAGGCTGACCACCTGACCACTTTAGTTAACTCTTACAAGTAGGAGTTAGGAAAGTATTATCGCCAGCGGGGCGGTCGGGTAGCCTAGTGCTTAAAGCGTTCGATCGTAATGCCGAAGACCCGGGTTCGATTCCCGATATGGGTACATTGTGTGAAGCCCATTCCTGGTGTCCCTCGCTGTGATATTGCTGGAATATTGCTAAAAGTGGTGTAAAACCATACTCACTATTATCGCCAGAATACTTATGCAAATACAAATTTGCTTGTTTGTTGTTTAACATTGTACTCAGCAATATTCCAGCAATATGTCAGTGGCCTGTAAATAATCAAGTCTGGACCAGACAATTCAGTGATTGATATTTTGAGCAACAATCCCAACTGTCTGGGTAGGATGACACTTCATCAACCCAGTCACTAGTCTGACCACCTGATCCATTTGGTCACCTCTCTGACCAGCATACATTGCTGGGGACCTATTCTAACCCTGGGGACCTATTCTAACCCTGGGGACCTATTCTAACCCTGGGGACCTATTCTAATCCAACTACCAAAGAAATCAAATTAAAAAGACCAGAAAAAGACCATTGTCGATATTTCTAGAATCAAGAAAGATTTGCAAGATGTAAAGAAACAGTTTAATGCAGTTATCATTGTGCATTAATGTTACCATGGTTACTAATGTAACCAACAACAACCTTTTTGTTTTGCTTCTGTTTGTTTTAAAACAACAAAAACAAAAAAAATGATAAAAACTGCTCTTTTTATTATGCATGACAAAGAAAATGAAAAAAATCAACATAACATTTTAAAAAAATCATCTGTTGGTCTTTAAAAAAAAAAAAAAAATTGGTTCCCAGGCACTGACTTTTACAAATATAGTGCAGGCGGGCTGGCGGTGCTTTTTTTGCCTTGTTCAAACAAGTATGTAACCAAATAAACAGTTGTGTATGATCCCCCTGGGGAAAAGGGCCTCCCTACATAAACAAGCACACAAACTCCTATTGCCACCATGACCATAACACGAGATGCACAGTAAAGCAGTGAGCATGTAAGGGAAGTAACTGCTTGCTAAATTGGATCACATGGTTTTTAAGTATAAGGATTTCTTTTTAAATTTTGAAAATGAAAATAAAAGAGAAAAGTTCGGCAGATTTTATGATTATGGTGCCATGCCTGAGAACCAAGACAATTATTTTTTTAATCTTAATACCATGTTGGATTTTGTCTCCTGTTCTTCAACCTGGGTAACCCTGAACACATAGTTTTTAATTTACTGATAATTGACAGTTTCAGCTGACGGTAAGATGCAGTTCACAAATACAACCTACCAACATCATCAACAGTTATCAATGCAATGAACAGTGACTGTATGCAGATCTGGACTTGAAGGGTACATACAAAACACAGAGTAGAGACTGAAGACAGTCTAGCTTTACAACAAGCATACAACTGGTGACACAAATAGTCAATGACAGCATCACATCGTACAACTACTACCATCTTGTACTTGCCTTGTACTTCAGCATTCATAAATGATCACGAAATGAAAAAATAAAACCGATAGTTTCTTGGGTATTTTCTTCTATATCTGATGTGGACGGCAGCCTATTTTTTTCATATCCTAAAGTGTGCTACCAAATTTAATGAAATTTTATTAATCTTCATCCAGACCAAATTAATTTCCTACATTTTATTCAGTTAGCATGACAAACAACAGGAGGCAATAGTTGATAAATAAAAGGGTTGTCAAAGATTGAGGTTAATTTCACAAACGTTTTCATTTATGTTTAAAAAAGTACATATTTAATCAAATAAATCACATTTGTTTTACTTTTGCAAACTATTAGGCTTGACTCCTCTGTATAAGGACATTATTCTTTTATTTGATGGATGACAGATTCGTTTTGTCAAAGTCAGAAGTTGGAGGAAGGAATAAGATTTTATAAAAAATGTTGACATCAAATTTCTTTTTTAAACTGGATGACAGATTGTTTCTATATTACTTGGTGGGTAGGAGTAAGGGGATAAGAAAATAAAAAATAAATGAATTCCATTTCTTTAGCCCCGATTTGCTACAAGCTTTGTCTTTTGTCCAAAGACAAAGGGAGTTAATTCTACAGATCTGTGTAAAAGTGAAGGGACATAACTCTAGGTTTACTGTGCAAGGAATTTTGCTACAACTCATGAACTGAACAATTTTTCAAAACATTAATGTCCAAAAGAGCATCACAAGTTTTATGGGTGATTTTGGTTTCAAAACACTGAGTAATCGCAAAACAATTTTACGTGTATGACGTGTCGGCAGAAAACAAATATGTGTAAATTTGGATTATTATGATTTTCAAATTTGAAGAAAAAGGGTTCTGCGGATCTGTGATCCAGAAATATAAAAATAATGGCCTAACAAGAAAATACTTTGGTCCCGAATTAAAAGTGAAAAAATAAGATGGACGTGTGGATAAATAATATCAATAATAAGTCTATATTGTGTTTATCTTCATGATGCCAATCTCATAATGGTTTTCATTGAATAAAACTTTCCAAAAAGTGAATATCATGCTTTTTACAATGAAGTACAATTATTTGTAAATATATGAATATATTTGGTGAGTTTTATTGAAATGTATCGAATTTGAAGAAAAAGAGAATGCACAAGTTTTCCCGACTTCGATAATTCCTTCTCATGCTTTTGGGTAACATGCCAACAAACTTGAAGCTAAGTTACAAGCAACTTGAAGCCGGATATTCATCTCGGTCAATAAACCATACAAACCAAAACACGAATATACGGGTACTAAAATCCAGAATATTGATGTAGTTGGATTAAAACAATATCAGAAATTGGTTTGGCTATGCTGCTAATATAATCTGTTCCTTTGGTTACAGTGAATGTTCATTTTAAACATCAGAAGCTGGACACATCATAAGGATGTCTGTATTAATCTTTTTTCTTCAAAGGTATTTTTCGGTGTTGTAACAAACTGAACTTTAATTTTAATTTCATTTAAAAAATAAGTATCTTGAATCTGAAAGCCAGCTCATCAGCTAAGGATGTCAGTATATATATACATGTGTCTTTCAGGACCAAGGCTTTTTTCCAAATCACAATAACTTAATGTCACTGACCAAGATGGAGAGGAGGTCAGGGGTCACGTAATGAACTTTAACCTTCAGAGAGTGTGGGTCAAGACACTTACTATTTCAACTTCCAAAAGGGTTCTATTTCGTCTGAAGGTTTATGACATCACAACATTTCACTGTAACTGTTTTACCAAGTAAATATGATTATACATGTAATATGTTTGACTTGCACTCTATGCGTTAAAACCATTGTTCAAATATAATACTCAAAAGAAGTCAAAGAACACCTGATTCTTTCATATATCAATAACAGCTCTGTTATGTTGACTTCTTTGAGTAATATATTTTAAAAGAACTACAGTTTATGAATGAGAAAAATATTAATATGAATATTAAGAATAAATTCATAAAGAAATAAGTTCATAAATATTTGCGCTGGTTCTTCGTTCACGGAGTACCTATTGATACGGAAATGATCTTGTCGTGTCTTGGACAAATGTTCCACAAATTGGAAGTTGGCAGTTCAACATGTGTTAGAGATTGATGCCATCCTGGCTTGTTTCCAGTCAACCGGTCTGTCTCCCTGTGCCAAGACATCTTCATTATCTCTGGGTGCTTCTCCTGGCAAATAGATTCCTTCCCCTCCCATCAACATATGTGGCAACCATAGTGATAGTTGCCATAGCAGCAAACACAGTGTCTCTCTCAGCCAATCACAGTCAAGAAGTCCTCACACTGACCAATCAGAGCAGAGATTGCTCTATCATGATGCTGTCGTAGCCTTCTGGTGGTTGGTGGTAGAACTTCTCAAACTGGACATCTAAGACGGCACCATCATCAACTTAAACAAGAAAATATGCATTTTATGTGTGCTCGTTGACACAAGGCCACAGTTTGTTATTCTTCAGGAGACAGGTACAGACAACCAGAGCAAAAAATAATAATAATCAGAAAATAAAATAAAAAAATCTAAATAAATTTGATATCATGTTATATGGTCTATCGATCATTGTTTGATTTGAAATATGAAAAGATACTACAATAATCAAACAAAAAAGTAAGTGTTAACTATTAAATGGATAATTCTTGCTCGAATGTCTCATTTAGTCTCTGGCCACTGCAAACACATGAAAAGAACAAAGCCTTACTGACAGGCAAAAGTACATACCGTATTCGACTTAATAAGAGCCCCGCTCTAATAAGCGCCCACAGAGATATTTGCTTATATATTGGCGAGTGAACAATCCCAATTAGCACCCCTTCCGATTGATGAATGTATACAAGACTTATTTATTCACATATAATACGCACAAAAACTGACCGACCTAAACAAATAAACTGAATTAATGACCGCCAACACGTCCAAACTGACAATCATTTTGACCTATTCAAGCTCATTGGTACTAAACCTTTAGCTAAAAATCTGAAAACCTTATATGGTTCTACATATGCTTCGCATCAATTATTTCTGCAATGGTACAGAGATGATAGTTATGCTATCAACATGATCAAATGCACAATAACTCTGCAAAAATAAAACATGTAAAAAAAACAAAGGAAAAGCAACATACAATATACAAAACTTGTCAGTCAAATTTGAAACCTCTATCAAACAATGAAGTATATATATATATATATATATGCTTTCCTGACAACTGAACGTAGTGAGGTCAAAGAAAATCAGGTTCTGTAAACTAGTTGCATGGACAATACCATAGAACACTGGGTATGTTGTGCCTCGGATGCCTGTGAATGGGACGTTGACAGCATCCCCATTGATGTAGAAGTTCATCTCAATGTGGTTGTACGTGATGCCCTGAAACAGAAACATGCTTGTGTGTCATGCCCCAAAACAGAAATGTGCTTGTGTGTTGTACCCTGACACAGAAATGTGCTTGTCATGCCCCAGAACAGAAATGTGCTTGTGTTATGCCCTGAAACAGAAACATGCTTGTGTGTCATGCCCCAAAACAGAAATGTGCTTGTGTGTTGTACCCTGACACAGAATTGTGCTTGTCATGCCCCAGAACAGAAATGTGCTTGTGTGTTGTACCCTGACACAGAAATGTGCTTGTGTGTTATGCTCTGAAACAGAAATGTGCTTGTGAGTTATGCCCTGAAAGAGAAATGTGCTTGTGCGTTATGCCCTGACACAGAAATGTGCTTGTGTGTTATGCCCGGACACAGAAATGTGCTTTTGTGTTATGCCCTGGAACAGATATGTGCTTGTGTGTTGTACCCTGACACAGAAATGTGCCTGTGTTTTATGCCCTGAAACAGAAATGTGCCTGTGTGTTGTACCCTGAAACAGAAATGTGCTTGTGTGTTGTTTCCTGAAACAGAAATGTACTTGTGTGTTATGCTCTGAAACAGAAATGTGCTTGTGTCATGCCCTGAAACAGAAATGTGTTTGTGTGTTGTACCCTGACACAGATATGTGCTTGTGTGTTATGCCCTGAAACAGAAATGTGCTTGGGTGTTGTACCCTGACACAGAAATGTGCTTGTGTGTTATGCCCTGAAACAGAAATGTGCTTGTGAGTTATGCCCTGAAACAGAAATGTGCTTGTGTGTTATGCCCAGACACAGAAATGTGCCTGTGTGTTATGCCCTGGAACAGATATGTGCTTGTGTGTTATGCCCTGGAACAGATATGTGCTTGTGTTATGACCTGACAAAGAAATGTGCTTGTGTGTTATGCCCTGACACAGAAATGTGCCTGTGTGTTATGCCCTGAAACAGAAATGTGCTTGTGTGTTGTACCCTGACACAGAAATGTGCTTGTGTGTTATGCCCTGACACAGAAATGTGCTTGTGTGTTGTACCCTGGAACAGATATGTGCTTGTGTGTTATGCCCGGACACAGAAATGTGCCTGTGTGTTGTACCCTGACACAGAAATGTGCTTGTGTGTTATGCCCTGACACAGAAATGTGCTTGTGTGTTGTACCTTGGAACAGATATGTGCTTGTGTGTTATGCCCTGACACAGAAATGTGCTTGTGTGTTATACCCTTGAACAGATATGTGCTTGTGTGTTATGCCCTGACACAGAAATGTGCTTGTGTTATGACCTGACAAAGAAATGTGCTTGTGTGTTATGCCCTAAAACAGAAATGTGCTTGTTGTTTGTTTGGGTTTTTTACACGGAAATGAGGTGTTTTGCCCTGACAAAAATGTGCTTGTGTGTTATGCCCTGAAAGAACAATGAAATTTCAAAACTTAGCAGCGTCATATTAAGTGTAGCCATCAAGTATCAGTTTCACAAAGGGCTTAGGTGTAGATTTAGAGCAACAAAAGCACAGATCACTATACAACATTTAGTCAATTGATAACAGCTATTGTTTCAAAAAATCTTTCAGGAAAACAGTTTATCAGGTGAATGTTCTCTCGGAAATATTAGAAGCTGATCAAGATTCGTGTGCACAAGTCTGTATGGACCATCTCACCACGATGTCTCCTTCCTGCGCTATTTGGGCCACCTTGGCGAACTCCTCGTTGTTGTGGTACAGCGTCCCATCATGCCTCAGTATCCACGAGTCAGTTGTGTCACCCAGAGGCACCACATTGATGTTACACTTCCGTGTGGCCAAGCCCACGCCCCATACACCTGGGCACAAAATAACAGCATTCTTCACAGGCAACCACGGTTACTTTTTTGTAGTTTTAGTTCAGCAATGATATGGATAGGAACATCAGTGAGGTGAGGTGAAAAGGGGCTTAACGTTGTGTTAAATGTTATTTCACTCACATAGCGACATGCACGTAGGTGCAGCTGCTTGTACTAATCTGGACCTATTCCTGTTTCATAGTGTTTGTTTGTTGGTTGTTTAACCTCGCAATCAGCAATACTCTGGCTATATGACAGCGTTCTGTAAATAATCAAGTCCGGATCAGACAATCCAGTGATTGACATCATGAGCATCAATCCAAACAATACGATGACATGCATCAACCAAGTCAGCGAGTCTGACCACCCGATCCCGCCAGTCGCCTCCTATGACAAACATTGCCGCCGCTTACAGTAAGCAATGGTTGATGAAGACCTAATCTAACCAGATCTTCACGGGTCCATATAGTGGCAGGCATGTGTGCAGCTGCTTGTACTAGTCTGGACTAATGCCGGTTTCATTGTGCTAGCCCACTGAGATACCATGTTGTATCTTGACAAGGATACCCCAGTCAGACACAGTATACTGACTCCGAGCCGACCAGTCCTTGTTTTAACCCCTTGGTGTGATATAGCAGTAGACTATACTCACAACCATGGTCTGAAAAATTCTACTTATCATATAACTTCAAATTAGCCTCTAAGTGCTTCCCCAAGCGAGTCCCATGTTTTAGTTACAACAAACGAGATGTTCCACACATGTGAATATTCACTGCCCTAGAGTTCACTCAGCATTATTCCAGCTACATGACAGTGGTTTGTAAATAATCGAGTCCAAACCAGACAATCCAGTGATTGACATCATGAGCATCGATCCACAAAATTGGGATACGATGTCATGCATCAAGCAAGTCAGCAAGCCTGACCACCCAATCCCATCATCACAGGCTAGCAGCTACAATTGGGTTTGAAATAAACATGTGACAATACAAAATCAGAAAGTATTAGTGACCAGATGGAAAATCTGTGGCTGGGACTTCTATTTTGTAATTTGGGACCCCCATTGTTTAAACCATGTAAACTGAACCCCTTCAAGCAAATGTTTTGAGTCCCTAGACCATAAAAATAAATCCCTGATGTCTGCATGTGACAATCACCACTGTCATAACTGTATCTTCAAGAGAATGAGTGAGTGAGTATGGTTCAATGCCGCTTTTAGAAATATTCCAGAAATATCACGGCTTCACACATTGTTCCCATGTGGGGAATCAAACTTAGGTGTGATGGACAAACACTGTGTTGAAGAGAACCTGATTAACTGGTAAGTAGTTTCCTAACTGTCACCACGGTTACTCTTCTCTTTACTTAAATATATTGAGGTTTACTTTTTTATGTCCTGGACAGTACCTGAGCTCTGTATTTTGATTTCAAAGTATGCTTTGTTCTGTACGATGGGTGCGTTGGCAAGTGCGGCTCCTGTTCCACATATCCTCTTCCCGCTCTTCACAATCACAACATCATTTCCTGGAACAACACAGAAGGATATTCATCATATTTCGGTATAAGAATAACTTTCAAAGCACAAGTCCCTGCACGTTGCAATCTGGGAACAAGATTTAGAGAACACTTGCCCAAATGTCTTAGTTTCAGTTGTGTGTGTGTGTGTGTGTGTGTGTGAGTGTGAGTGAGTGAGTGAGTGAGTGAGTGAGTGAGTGAGTGAGTGAGTGAGTGAGTGTGTTAGTGAGTGTGAGTGAGTGAGTGAGTGAGTGAGTGAGTGAGTGCATCAGTTTCGTTAAAGTCCTCACGGAATTGAAAAAAACCTGTTTTTTCGATCTCAGATTTTAAATAAATGCAGTTAATATACAAAATATATATATATTCAAACAACCCAGTAGTACTAATTGGGCATTGGCACAAATACAGCGTATCAAAGGTTTTTATGTCTTTTTACACGTAAAAGTGTGTAAAAATATAAACAAAACAGACTATTGTGAAACTGAGCATAACCAGGTGTTAGTAGATCAAGGTGAATGTCCATGACCTATGACACCTTCACGACAGGTGAAAACAGGTGCTTGAAACCCACGTGCATGTGATTTGTCAGTGGTTAGTGATTTGTGAGTGGCATTGTGGGATAGTGAATCATCGTCAAAATATCAGAAAGTAAAAGTAACATATTCCCTTCTCAAACAACAACTTACATGTCATTATTATTATGTACATAAACATAGCTGTTATTTTTATTGTTGTTTTGATTACTTTTTTCCAGGCTAATTTGCATAATGCCTATAGCCTGTTTCTGCCTTGTCAATTTTTGAATGTTGAAAGTGCCTACAAATTACCTCCTGTAAAGTACATTTTGTATTGAGCACTGCAATAGAACTAGCAAATCCAGAGTAGTATTTTTCCAGTTGTTTTGTTATTTCATATTTACATCTACGTAATGCTTTGTGTCGATTATTAAATCCAGCAAAACAGGTTTTTTCATTTCCATGAGTACTTTAGTGTCCCTTTAAACAGTACATGTACTTCTGTCACTGTGTGTCATCTTGAGAGCCCGAAATTACGCAAAATGCTTACACTTTAGAGAAACCCATGAGCACAGGTATGGCGCTGATAAATAGAGAAACATAATCAGTAGGGCCTGGACGATACACCAACAGTGTGATCCGATATGTATCACGATACTTTGCTCATGATCCAATACGTATCATGATACTGCATGTGCGTTCATCTGTGGCGCATTTATCACAGACAGGATGGCCAAATACCTTGCACACTGACGATTTACAGTTGGCAGTGTCAAGTATGGCACAATAGATTAAAATATTTACATTTTCAATACTAATTATCACTACTAATTGTTACTTATATCGAGAAAGAAATCGCGATCCCTTGATGCATCGGTATATCTTCCCAATACCAATAATCAGGGTGAACCAGGCTACGAACCCACAATTATAGGATTATGGCACATCTAATAAACAGTGAATTGAGTAACAGTGCTTCAAAGTATATAATGTTTTCACAATAAGTTTAGAGGCGGCAAGTAAATTTGAGTAGAGGCTAATTTCTAATCTAAACATTCTTATTTCACAGTTATTTGTGTTTGCATGTGAATATGCAAGTATATTTCATTTATTGCCTGTTTAAAACATAAAAAATAAGGCACTGATTTTTTCGTCTCACAATAGTAGCCGTTTTTGCTTTGGGCGAGGCTCCTTTTTCACTGAACCATTTTTCACCTGGTACAGTTTGGATGAGGTGGTGTTTAGCTAACTGCCAACAGCCCAAACCAACATGCCAACAAGCTACAAGGGTTGAGGACATAGAAGGAACCCATGTTAAATTGGAGAATCGAGTAAAGTCTTCAGTGTGTGATTGAGGAAGTGAGTTGGATTAGACACCTCTTATATAGAAAATATAAATATAAATATTACCACAGTGTCACATCAAGGGACAACAAAAATGTGCTACACAGATTGTGCAATTGTTGGGGATTTGAACCCGGGTCACTAAAAGCGGTAGAAAGTAACATTTTCAGTCCACTAGTCCTTACAATGATAACATATAGCAAAACCCCTAAAAATGGCAAATTTGTACTAGTCCTTATGATACCTTAACCATTGCGCAGTTTGGCGAGGACTATAAGGACTAGTGCCAATTTCGAACGCTGCACAAAGCGATCATAAATAGTGCTAAAACAATCATAACTCGCATACTTCAACATGGCCTTACGACCAGTGTTGCCATTTTGTTTGAAGAATAGAGTGTGTATCTCCATTCTGATTCTCATATATTAACGTATGTGTTTGGTAGGTCTTTCAATTAAGTGTTTCTTGAATTGTTTGATAGGCATTACTTTGAAGTGGACGGTTGACAAAGTAGACACAATTTATGGATACAAATTCTTTTATTACTGTAAAGGCGACGTGTCCTTATACCGCGGTCAAGAGAGAAGAGAGTCTTATTTTCTATGTTAGTTCACAACAATTATGTTATCTTAATTTGAGATATCGCATATTGCGTACAACGAATCATGATAGGCCTGTAGCACAGTGGGCTGCTAACATTGACAGCGATGCTTAACTAACGCTTATACTTATAGTGTCGCTTTTGACCAACAGATATCCATGGTGTTGATATTGATGACATCGTATTGACATGGCTATTGCACCTAACTCAAGCCCTGTCAAACTTCCTTACACGTCCGATTCATTTTACCTGAGCAAAGACAATAGCATGATTAACATAGAAACGAACCCATATGCGTTGTGTCTAATTTCACAATCGGGAGTTCCTGTAACTTGATGTGGCCCTGCCCAAAGCCCGATCCTGGCCAACAACAACGAAAACAACAGAAACACGCAGCCATCTTGCTTTCGGGAAATACCCGGAAGCGGATATGACGTCAGTGGGAATTCCCTTGTGAGCCTCAGCGCAAGTAAACAAATGACTTGCTTGAACGCTGTTTAATAAGAAACTTTGAAACATATTTTTTCATGTCCAAATTAAAACATGTTTGCACTGCACGAGATATAAGGAGATAGACAGACCATACATGGTACAGCTGAAATGTAGCCTATAAACAGAGACCCTATACCGGTATATGGTCTCTGATATATATTACCCATAAGGGTAGTCTAAGGATGGTTTTAGCAATTCTCAGTGCTGATTGGTCAGGTGAAGTCATATGACGTCCCAGTGCTTCATTCTGCGAACATGCAATATGACGTCTCCTTTGTTACGACGTCACAATTTTTTTTGCATTACGTCATCAGAGTGAGTATGGTTTTACGCCGCTTTTAGCAATATTCCAGCAATATCACGGCGGGGGACACCAGAAATGGGCTTCACACATTGTACCCATGTCGGGAATCGAACCCGGGTCTTCGGCGTGACGAGCGAACGCTTTAACCACTAGGCTACCCGACCGCCCCTTACGTCATCAGAACAATATACTGTTTTCAGTGAAGTTTCTTAGTAGAGTTGACATTTCATGCGTTTTTTTTCTTCATTTTCTCTCTTAAAAATAAATGAGTAAAATAGAGGATATTCCCATATAGCCTCTCATAGAATGACGGATGAAGGGAGATATTTCCACGACATTTCACTCGACGCATGGAATATATCCGATTTATTGCCCAGGTGGTAAGATACTAAATCCGTACGTCACACGTGTGTCGTACAAGGTTGACCTTGTTTTATTCGTTTTGATTGGATAACCGTGACCTCTGTCACACCGGAACTACTTTTTTCATTCATAAAATAATCGCGAGCGTTGCAGAACTGAAGCAATCTCATGAAAGCGAGAGACATTTACACACACTTTACTAAACAAACAAGATAGTCACACGCATCAACTTCACATTGCATTCTGTTTAGTTATGCACAGAGCTACAACAGACATTATATAATCGAGCTGTATCCATTTGTAATGTACTGCTAGTCATCGATCGAGGGTCCCTATGAGGGTAACGCACCCAACCACTTTCTCGACTTTCAATTTGATTTAACATAAAATGATAAGCGTGGAGAAATGAAGTCAGTTTTAACTATCTGGATATATATTTGGACATACGTTGGATGCTCTGGTTGTGTCATCAGTCTCCCCTTCGAAGCGTATTTTGTGGCATTGTTTCGTGAGGTGTTTGTTCATGAATAAACATACACGACTGCACGACCAGATCACCCAAAGTGAACAGTTCCGATACAAATCATTTAAAAACTCCGTGGGAGTGTGCCTGACTTTTGATTTTGTGGCCCAGAACATCCCAAATGCGAACAATAACATTCCCTAACGTAAAACACTGTGAGTAGATCACGGTTGTCTTTTCTTATTCCGATGGTGACCTTGCCCTTCGTTTGAAGCTGTCACTGACATGCAAGCAGACTTGTTTGTTGATTTTAACGTTTTCAATATCGGGTTTTACAGTTAACATGAATGTCTTTGGCGAGCGTGGTATCTGACCTCGCTTTCGCTCTATCAGATACCATAGAAAGTCCACTCGTATCGTAAAAATGGTATCTAACGTGAATGAGTGTAGTATTCTCTATGTATTATTTACTTTTTGTGTATATGTCTACCGGAACATTCTACCATGAATTTGAAAATTACAGGTTCGAAATCTACAAAGAGAATGTATTTTAAGTTTTGAAGACAACAGACCGCTTGGAATTTGGCGCTTTTCTCTATACGACTGGGCCCGTGAATATCTCTTTAGCAACCCATGCTTGTCGTAAACATCTTCCCGAGGCAAGAGAGTTAACTGACTTTAAAAGAACAGTTTCAACCCTTGCTGAACTGGGCTGGAATTCCTGGTCTCGATCGTAGCGCCACCAGTGGCTAGTACGAGTTATGTCCCTTCTATGCCTCTCTTATGGACCAATGAGATTCCACCTCTCGTATCACTTGCATTTGCTTCAAACAAAACTGCAATCTCATTAAAATCAGATCTAAGTTCTCGCTATCGCTAAACTTTGTTTCGCGGCAGTGAGAACTTGAATCTGATTTTAATGAGATTGACAAAACTGCAACCTGGTTTCATGGGTATGCTGCGCTGGCGCTACACTGACCTCGCGAAGTGCATCAAATCACGTGAGCACCTTGATTAAAAACATGAACAGATTTAGAAAATATCTGTTGACAACGAGTTAGCGGTGCACATGCTTTGCAAATCCTGCATTCGACCGAAATCTGCACGACAGTTGACGTACCGGATTTTGATTTCGGAGCTCGATTTTGATTTGACTATGCATAGACTCGTTAGTCCAGGCAAAATGTAACTCCATAATACCAGCCTAGTTCGGCAAGGGTGGAAACTGGACTTTTATAGTCAGTTAACTCCCTTGCCTCTGGAAGATGGTCGTGAAAGGCGACTATGCTTATCGTAAGAGGCGACTAACGGGATCGGGTTGTCAGGCTCGCTGACTTGATGCATGTCATCGTATCCCAATTTTGTGGATCGATGCTCATGATGTCAATCACTGGACTAGCTTGTCCAGACTCGATTATTAACAGACCGCCATAATAAAGCTGGAATGTTGCTGACTGCGGCGTTCAATGACCTGGAATGACGTTGTAATGGTGACGCGCGGTGTAGAACGAAAGATTTGCAAGGCTTGCTTAATTTTCTTGAGGGGTGCCCACCTCATGTTAGCTTTAGAAGTTGCCGTGCCATATGTTCGACAACTCCACACAAAACACTAGGCTCAACCCATGCTATATTTGCTAACACCAAAGAGTTTGCGTGTAATTTAGTCATGAAGTAGAATGGAGATAAACATACTGTGTTTTCAATGTACAGCTGCGCGTTCGGTTCCAAATTCAATTTAGCGAGGTTTAATCTACAGCTACAAGTAACCTAGCTCTACATTGAGTGAGTGAGTTGTGTTTAACACCGCTTTTAACAGTATTCCAGTTCTATCACGACGTGTCAGCTTAATATGAGAGGAAACCCCAAAGTGATGCAGGTCTCAGACGTTTACCACTTCGGTGAAACCCAAGAGCACGGACATGGTGCTGACAAACCTAGAAACATAATCAGGGCGAACCGGGATTCGCTACCACAACCATAGGTTTCTGGCGTGCCAAAGGGACGCAACTCTGCACAGCGAATCACTGTGCCTTAGACGACTGGGCCACCTGTGCCCCCGGATTACGTACTGGCTGTCCCTAGTGAATGAATTGTAAGTCCCCATTAGATGCCTTCATATTGTTCAGTGACAGGCTGTTTCTCATGTTTACTCCGGGCAGTTCTGCTGAAATAAGAAAATACTGTAGGAACATATCATCCGAGCGATTTGCGGGCACTAGTGAATGCGAGCATCACGAGCATCGATCCACACAATTGGGATACGATGACATGCATCAACCAAGTCAGCGAGCCTGACCACCTGATCCCGTTAGTTGCCTCTCACGACAAGAAATGTCGCCTTTTACGGCAAGCATGGTTGAGAGCGGCGTTAGGCAACACACTTAAAAGCATGACTTCGGGCATTCCTCCCACAGTCGACACGCTGTAATATGACAAAAGTAATATTCAAAGCGGCGCAAAACCAAACTCACTCTCTCACTCATTGTCGAGTGTATGATGACCGAATGACCACCTCCGTGGCGTAGTGGGTAGAGCGTCTGCCAGGAGAAGGGAAGGTCAATGGTTTGATCCCCTGATCACGTCATACCAAAAAACGTTTAAAGATAAAACTAAAAAGATGCCTAGCGCTCGACATCAAGGGGATAAAATGGGGACTGATCTGCGAGGAGTCAGTAAAATGTGTCTGAGTTAGGTTTGAATATTAAACTATGTCATGTTATCTCAGTGGACTAGCACTATTAAACCGGCGAAGTCCGGGCTAGGCCGAGCGGCCACCCACACAAGTGCATGCACATGGCTCTAGAAGTGCAAAAATCGTTAAATAAAAAACCCATTTAAATCCCGTTTCATCTCACCTCACCTACGATGACTGAAACGAAAGAAATTGCACTGCTTACAGGCATCTACCACTTTATTATGCAGAGTTGCTTCCCCTAGCCGTACAAGGATGTGATAATCAATATTTTGTCAGCATCTACTCGGTGGTTTCACACAAGTGGCAAACATCTTTCACTTGAGGGGCGGTGGGGTCTCCAAGAGGTTGAAGCATTTGCGCGTCACGCCAAAGACCCAGGTTCGAATCCCCACATGGGTACAAGGTGCGAAGCCCTCTTCTGGTGTCCCCGCCGTCCTATTACTGGGATACTGCTAAAAGTGACTTGAAACCATACTTACTCACTCACTCATTTCTGGTATCCCCGACGTATATTAAAGTCACTAATGATCTGTTTCACTGAGGCATTTCTCTCGCTGTGAGCTTGAACGCTGGAACATTACTAAAAATAACCCTGTTCAAACCAGGGTTAAACCCAACTCACTCAATCACTTAATATGGCCATGGGTATCGTGGCCTTCTTTGTCATTGTATGAACAATGATTATTTATTTATTTATTTATTTATTTATTTATTTATTTATTTATTTATTTATTTATTTATTTATTTATTTATTTATTTATTTATTTATTTATTTATTTATTTATTTATTTATTTATTTATTTATTTATTTATTTATTTATTTATTTATTTGCTTCGTGATACATTGATTATGTAACATTAAAGTCACAGAACTCATTTCCCTTCGACATCCAGCCACTCAGACACATTTAATACGTGAAATTAACTCATCACGTGAAATACACACCTGTCATTAAGCATACTGAAATGAAAGAAATTGCATTTCGCCTCCGTAATATGTTATCAGATAAAATCTATTAACCCATTATAGAACAAAATATCCCCCATTACGTTGCCTCGCTAAATCGAGTCGGATACAACTTGTATTATTACGGCTGT